GAGCCTTGATCACTACACTCCAGCACTCTAGCCTGGGAGATAAGAGCAAGACTCTGTTGAGAAAGAGAAAGAGATATATGAGACTGGAGGTTAAGCAAAGGGTATATTATGAAGGACCTTTAAAATGCCATATTAAGTTAGAACTTTTTCATAGGCAACATGAGAGGTCACTATAGGCCTTTTAGAAGGTAAGTGATACGATGATATGAATAGATTTGTGCCTGGCATTAGGTCACTTAAATATTTTCTAATAGATTGAGTTATAATCTGGCTGTAGTATGGAAAATGGATAGAGATGGCAAAAATGGAGGCAGAGTGACAAGGCAGTATACTGCAGTAAGTCCAAGAATATAGTGACTGACTTACTCTAGGGTAGTTTCTATGGGGATAGAGAGAAGTGCATGGCTTACATGTTGAGGAGGTAGGTTAGACAGGGCTTAGTGATTTGGTTGGATGTAGGGAGTGAGAGAGCGGTGACAACTGAGGGTCATGCTGTGCCTTTGTCTCAGACAGGTGTGTAAACACACTGAGATGGCAAAGCCATGCACTGAGATCTGAAACTCAAGTGGAAGAACTAGTAGAAGTATGCGTGGACAAAGAGATAAATTAAGTTTTGACCTTTTTGGTTTGAGGTGGCTGTGGATTTCCAAATGGAGATGCCCAGTAGGCAGATGGAAACCCTAGAGGGAAGGTCTGGGTTGGAGATCCAGTGTGATCTCTGTGCCTCATTCTCCTTGCCTGTATGCAAATGGAGGCATTAGGATCTACCTCATAGGTTTGATTTGGGGGTTAAATGGAGGTCATTCAGCCAAAAATTACTGCGTTCCTGGTGTATACCAAGCATTTTCCTATAATAGACACTGGGAATGCAGTAGTAAATAAAACACACAAAAAATAATTCTTGTTCTCATGGAGCTTACATTCTAGCATGAGAATACAGAAAAGAACAAAATAAATAAGTAAATTTTATTATATATTAAAAGGTGATAAATTATATGAAGAAAAATAAAGCAGAGAAGTGGGGACAGGGAGTGGTAGGAGGCTTGCAGTTTTAAACAGGGTGGTCAGAGAAGGCCTTGCTGAGATGACATTTGAACAAAGACCCAAAGGTGGTGACAGTGAATCGAGCGAGTCATGGCCTATTCAGGGGAAAAGTAACCATATAGAGGGAAAAGCAAGTGCAAAGGTCTTGAGGTGGGAATGTGTTTGATGTATTTGAGGAAGAGAAAAGAGGCCAGCATGGGTACCAGAGCAGAGTAACAGAGACAAAATCAAAGAGGTCAAAGGGAAATGCAGAGCACATAGAGGCTTGCATTGTATTTCAAGCAATATGTCATTGTAAAGGTTTTGGCTTGGGGCCAGGCTGTGGCCCATGCCTGTAATCCTAGCACTTTGAGAGGCCAAGGTGAGCACATCTCTTGAGCTCAGGAGTTTGAGTCTGGCCTGGGCAACATAGTGAAAACCTGTCTCCATAAAAAATAGAAAAATTAGTAAGGTGTGGTGGTGTACACCTGTAATCCAAGATATTTGGGAGGCTGAGGTGGGAGGATCACTTAAGCCTGGGAGGTTGAGGCTTCAACGAACCATCATGATGCCACTGTAAGACCCTGTCTCAAAAAAGAAAAAAAAAAAAGAGTTTGGCTTTTACCCTGAGGGAAATGGGAGGGTTCTGAAGGTTTTGAGCTGAGGAGTGATAATGATCTGCAGTGTTTGGAAGACTCATTTGGTGCTGTAGGAGTCAAGGAGTCAGCTAGGCACAGGGAGTGTTGTGAATAGACTGTCCAGCAGGGGAGCAGCAGTCAAAAGGTGCAAGCAGGGAGACCAGTTATTAGCCAGGGAAAAACTAATGTATGTAAAGTGCTGTTCCGAGCTTTGCACTTAATACACGTTTAATACATGGTATCAACTATGTGAATACCTATCAAATTCTACCATTAATGAAATCAAGACCTCCTTTCTCAGGAAACTAAGTGAATTATCTCTGCCACTTTTTTGACAATTATTTAACGTATTTTGAATTATGTTACTTCTGTATATTTATTTAAATACATATTTCTGACTTTTCTCTCCATTTATGATGTGTGTGTGTGTGTATACATATATAATTATTATTTTTTCTTTCTTTCGAGACAGGGTCTCACTTTGTTACCCAGGCTGGAGTGTGGTGAGGTGACCATAGTTCACTGTAGGCTTGACCACCAGGCTCAAGCAATCACCCTGCTTTAGCCTTCCAAGTAGCAGAGACAACAGGTGTGTGCCACCATGGTGGCTAATTATTGCATGTAAAAATTTATCACTACCGTTTTTTTTTCTTTTTTTTGAGACTAAGTCTCGCTGTCAGCCAGGCTGGAGTGCAGTGGTGCAATCTCAGCTCACTGCAACCTCCACCTCCCAGATTCAAGTGATTCTCATGCCTCAGCCTCCTGAGTAGCTGAGATTACAGGTGCCTGCCACCACACCTGGCTACTTTTTTTTATTTTTAGTAGAGATGGGGTTTCACCATGTTAGCTAGGCTAGTCTCAAACTCTTGGCCTCAAGCAATCCACCGGCCTTGGCCTCCCAAAGTGTTGGGATTACAGATATGAGCCACCACACCCGGCCCATCACTACAGTGTTTTCACTATTAAAGTCTATGATCTTGGTCTTTCCTTTGTGCCTTTGTATAGGGCCAAAAGAGAGAGATTGGCTACTTTGATAACCTTAAAACAAACTCCGGGAATATCACCAACAGCCTGACCTTTTTAACCAAATCCAGCAACAAGAACTTCATTGTTTTTCTCAATAAAGTTCAAGCAACCACCATTGGGTACAAAGGCTGTGATTTTTCTTGCCATTCTTGATCAGCTGGACGCTGGCATACTTCCTGACGGCAGAATTTGGCTGCTTGGCTTCAACCCCTACTTTTTCCAGCATAATTACTTTTGTGTGAGAAGTACCTCTAAAAGAACCGTTGGCCTTCAGGGTTGTATCCAAATGGGCTTCTTGTACTGTTTATCATGCCACTTCTGGTCTCGTCAGTGACTATGGAGCTTCCTAGCAGCAGGAAGTCCATGACACTTGCCAATCCTGCAGGTGTCATGGGCCTGAGTGAAAGAGCTAACTTTTGTAGAGACTGAGTTTCACCAGGTTGCCCAGGCTTGTCTCAAACTCATGGGCTCAAATGATCCGTGCACTTCAGTCTCTCAAAGTGTCTCCATTTATATGTTAAATATTATGTCTTAAACATTTTTAATCTCCTTAGGAACCAGGCAATAACAAGATGACCAGTTAAATAATAACAAGATAACCAGATAAATAACAGCCATGCCACAGTATCAATAAAATCACCAACATCAGCAAACATTTCCTGAGTACTTACTGAGTGCGAGAGGCAATATAAGGAGATAGGTAAGAGAGCATGAGTTCTGGAATCAGACTGTGCTAAAATACTGGTACCAGTCCCTCTTGGGCAAGTTATTTAACTGACCTGTGCCGAAGTTTTTTCATCTGTAAAATGGGAGTGATGATAGTATATATTCATTAGGGAGGTGAGGATTAAATTAGATAATATATATATATTCTTGTTTAAAAAAATCTATTTAATTTTATTTTTTAAGAGAAAGATCTCACTCTGTTGCCCAGGTTGGAGTGCAGTGGCACAATCACAGCTCCCTGTAACCTCAAATTCCTGGGCTCAAATGAGCTTCTTGAATAGCTGGGACTACAGGCATTCACAATCATACCTAGTTAATTTAAAAATTTTTTAATTTTGTAGAGATGAGGGTCTTGCTATGTTGCTCAGGCTGGACTGAAGCTTCTGGCCTTAAGTGATCCTCCCACCTCATCCCTCTGAGTAGCTGAGATTACAGCTGCGAGTCATGGTGCCTGGCTACAATGTTTATTTAAATGAAGCTCCAATTTTCAAGATAATATGAGTATGCTTAGTCTAGTTGCTTCCACATAATAATAACAGCTAACATTTATTGAGCTCTTATAATGTGCTAAGCATTTCACATGTATTATTATACATTAGCCCCACAATTGCCCAATCAGGTAGGTATTATTATTAACATTCTCTCTTTATAGATGAGGAAACTGAGGCTGAGAAGTTAAACAATGTATCAAATTGTGTACTAACAGCAGGCTTTACTAAGTGTCTTTGAATTGGAATGAAAAATAGAATTTTGTGCATCCTTTGTTGTACATCTGACAGAGAGATAGGAGAGTATAAAGAGACTACCTACTGAGGGGCAGAAGAATATTTTTACATTGTTGGTGGTACTCTGTACTCTTAAGCCTCTCTAAGTGGGAGACTGGAATGCTTTGAAAGAATAAGAGTTAAAAAGACTGATAATGGCAACATTTGTTTAATTTCTATAATACAACGATAAAAATAAATTGAGGTGATTTACTTTTAGTGATACTGGAATAAATAACACACATGGGTATGTTAAATACATAACATACATGGGTGTGTGTTATGTATTTAAAGGATGATAATTAAAGGTTTAAAGGATGAGAATGTTTCCTCAATCCTTTATTCTCATGTCTAATTCTGGCTCTGCTCTAGTCCAAAGGCTACTTTGGGAGGTCTGAATTTGCTGTACCTTATCTCCAAGTCAGAGATTTTTTTGAGAGCCTCTGGTAGTTTTAGCATGAACAAGAGTCTTATATTTCAAACGGATTTCTAAGCCCACCCAAAATTATTCCTGGAAAAGTCTTGTTCTGCTGGGATTCTTTGGCCTGAGATAGAGGCGGCTGAAATTCCTTGGTTGTCTTAGGTCCTTCGTGGGGACCTGACATGGTCTGAGGTCAGCCTTGCAGTTTTAGAGCTGGGCAGGACTGTGGAGATGAGGGAATCAGGTCTCATGTTGTAGCACACAGGCATTTGCCCAGATACCTTCTCTTTAGTTTTGGACCAGACCCTGTGGAGGTGGATGTTAGTAAGAGGTGACTGCCATGTTAATATCTTTATAGAGACCTCTGAGAAGGCTGTTTTTGCTCCTTTCCTTCTCACTTACCTTACTATTTCTATTATAGACTTTCTGGGCAGGGCTGAAGTCTCTACAAGCTTTGACAGGATTTCAAACAATAGGATCCCTGGGTTGCCAGCTAAATCCAAACAGTTCTCCTTTTCTGGAACTATGGAGGGAAAACAAAAGAGAGATTTAAAAATACCTTCTGAAGTAAGAAATTGACCACCTCTTTACTGATTATTTACAGTAATATCAAGTCAGGAACTAGAGGCACAGTAAAACATTAAAAGTCTGTTCTATTTGGTAGAAGGGCCACTTTGGTTACTGAGCAGACAGAATAAAATGGAATGTTAAAAAATACGTCTAGTTCTGGCCGGGCGCGGTGGCTCAAGCCTGTAATCCCAGCACTGTGGGAGGCCGAGGCGGGTGGATCACGAGGTCAAGAGATTGAGACCATCCTGGTCAACATGGTGAAACCTCGTCTCTACTAAAAATACAAAAAATTAGCTGGGCGTGATAGCGCGCGTCTGTAGTCCCAGCTACTCAGGAGGCTGAGGCAGGAGAATTGCCTGAACCCAGGAGGCAGAGGTTGCGGTGAGCGGAGATCGCGCCATTGCACTCCAGCCTGGGTAACAAGAGCGAAACTCCGTCTCAAAAAAAAAAAAAAATACTTCTAGTTCAATAACTTCTAAGTAAATGTAGTAATATTTTTAATACAAACATGAATTTTATGATAAGGATTACTGTCTGGTTCTAGGCAAAGATTCTAGGCAAACTCCCATTACTATAGTACTACTTATAAGAAATAACTTTTCTTTATCCTAAGAATAGTTCATAGCTTATAAATGAATATATTTTCAAAACTGTATGTAGTATTTGGAATCTGAAATGTATTTATCCTAGAAAACATGAATAGTGGTTAGCTTTTCCAAGGCAGCTTGTTAAACTCATAAACAAGCCATGAGAGGACTAATGACAATATTTCAACTACACCTACATGTCATTTATAATCTTAGGGGGAAAATAACAGAAAAATTTGACACGGTTAGTGGAAGTAAGTAATGCTTTAATTAGTGTTCTCTAACCTCTGGCAGACTCTCCAGCCCAAGGACTGAAGGTAGAGGCTTCATCAGTGTGAGGAAGGTATTTTTTCAAGAACACCATACTATCAACACCCTAGATTTACATAAGAGAGTGCATTTTTCTTTTTCTGAAAAAATGTTTGATTTTTTTTAAATGAAAGGAATGCCTCCCAAAGTAGTGAATATACCTGGTAAAGAATTCAGACACTATAAAAGGTAGCCAGGCCGGGCGCGGTGGCTCACGCCTGTAATCCCAGCACTTTGGGAGGCCGAGGCGGGTGGATCACGAGGTCAAGAGCTCGAGACCATCCTGGTCAACATGGTGAAACCCCGTCTCTACTAAAAATACAAAAATTAGCTGGGCATGGTGAGCGCCTATAGTTCCAGCTACTCAGGAGGCTGAGGCAGGAGAATTGCCTGAACCCAGAAGGCGGAGGTTGCGGTGAGCCGAGATCGCGCCATTGCACTCCAGCCTGGGTAAAAAAAAAGAGAAACCCCCGTTCAAACAAAAAAGAAGGAAATAACAGGTAGCCAAATTTTTCTACACCAGTCACTCCCTCAGTGTTCTCACTGGAGACCAAAGGGCAGCGTCTTCTGCAGAAGGTGTTTGGACAGTGCAAGTGCCTGCTTGATGGAGTTAACACTGTACCAATTTGTTTAGCAAATACGGTTCTGGAAAAGCAGTACAAAAGTAACTCACATCCAAGGCTACACCTTCCTGACCTGTCCGCCGACTGGAAGCCTGTGAATGATGTTTGCTGTGTAGTGAGTTGTAGCTGCCCAACTGCCTTCTGTTCATAACGTCTCTACTCACCCACTGCCTTGAGGAAGCGATTCTTATCTGTTAGCACCTTGATAAAGTCTGAGAAGTTCACCTTCCCATCTCCTGCAACAAAAATCTGAGACTCAGGACAAGGATAAAATGTATTTTAATTATTAGAGTATATCTTAAATATAAAAATTAAAATACTCTGGATGATTTAATATTTAAAACCAGAGCATTTGAGGGCTTGAAATATGCTCAGGTGAGCCCTGGTCTTCTTGAAGTGGTCTTAGCACCGTTACGTGAGTCCTCCACAGCCCACGGAAGCAATGGTGGCTGTAAACATCCAGCCAGGAGGACCCAGCCACTGCAGTCTGTCCAGCTGCTCCTTTCTCAGAGACTGGCCATGTTTGCAAGGAATCCATCCTCTCTTCCCATGCTATAGCCCCCTTATTATTCCTATTATAACATACCCCCAAGCTGTACCTCATTTCCTCTAAAATTGAAGGATGATGAGTATTATTAGAGGGGTATGTGTGTGTTTCTGTGAAATAATAGAAAATTTTGACACAGTTAGTGACACGTGAAACTGATGTTGATTGAATGGGGCACTGGCATTTGGGTAGAGAGAGGTGAGAGGAGACAGGATGCTGAATATATTTTTCACACAGCATATCAGCTTGGGCTACTAATAATCAGGTAAGTATATGCACTAAAAATATTATATGTATGCTTTAAAAATAACAACAAAAGTGCTGTGGCATTTAAAATTCAATATAGGTGGGACTTGATGGAAAAATAAAGATTTGCTCTGTTTTGATTCAAACAGAAACAAAGGGCTTGACTTCTCTTGGTAACATGTCATTATTAACATTGTTAATGCCTTTGTATCTGTTATTTCAGGGCACCCTCCACGTACAGCTTCCATGTACATCAGGAGAGGAAACCTGAATTTGATAATGAAATCAGGCAATCACTCTTGGCTTCCACACAGCATTTTTCAAATAGTTCATTTTCAAGCATTAATTTGATTTCACAACTTGTACGCATACCTCACTGATGTCCTGAAAGGGACACACACACACACACACACACACACACACACACACGTGGGTGTCTCTTGAAGAATATATATGTGTGTGTATACACAGATATATATATGTGTGTATACACAGATCTATATATAATATACACATATGTGTATATTTGTATGTAGCATTCAAATGTATAGTCTACAAACATAATATACATATATATTTGGAGGGGCAAGTAAATAAGGTTTGTTTCTCATGTTTATACAGTCATTAGAAGAAAATCATGTTTTCACAAATATCTTTTATGGGAAAAACAATGAGAAGCCAAAGGACTCACGATCAATATCAGCACATTTCAATTCATTATAGACATCATGCTTGGTTAGACTCATTCCCAGCTTAGCTACAGTGCACATCAGTCCATGGAAATCAATACAGCCAGTTTTGTCCTTGTTGAAGAAGTTGTAGGCATCTTGGAAAGCTGGGGAAATAGAATTAAGTTATTCAGGACAGTTATTCAAGAAGAAGTACATACACTAATGGGACTAGGACAGGCAATACAGTTGATTGGAGATCATGTTCTAAAAAGAGGATTGAGAGAAAAATGAGTGCTTAATAGATAAAAATAACATTTCTTATAGAGGACCGTATCCTACCATGGAACTTGAACTGGAATGAACTAATTGTTGAAAAACCAAGTGTTGGTAGGTAAGCTGGCCTTCCAAAGATATCCACACCCTAATCCCTTAAACCTGTGAATAAGCTGTCTTACATGGCAAAAGGGACATTGGACATGTAATTAAGATAGACTATTCTAGGCTCAATTTAATTACATGATCCCTTATATAGCTAGAAGCCAGAGAGATGTGGCAGAAATCAGAGAGGTTTAGAGCATGACAAAGACCTGACCTACCACTGCTGGCTTATCAGCCAGGAACTTCTCTACCTGTTAAAGAGGCTGAGAAGCTCCTGGCTGATAAATGGCAAGAAAACTGGAATGTCAGCCCTACAAGAGAAAAGAACAGAATTCTGCCAAAAATCTGAGTGAGACTGGAAGCAGATTCTCCTCTGGAGCCCCTAAATGGGAGGCCAGTCTGGCCAACATTTTAATTTCAGTCCTATAAAACACAGAGAAGAGAAATCAACTGTGCTCACCTGGACTTCTGACCTATAGAACTGCGAGATAATAAATTTGTGTTGTTTTAAACTGTTAAATTTGTGGCAATTTATTACAGCAGCAATAGTAAAATAATTTGTCAAATTGGACCCAAATTATATACATGTGTGTGTATGTTTTGTATGGATCCAAAGTTTTTCAAAGAAACAGTCAAGGTGCTAACTGGAGCCAAAATTAGATATGTCTTTTCTAAAATTAGTGAATGAGGAAATAAACCTGGAACAAAATATATCTGAAGTGACACCCGAATAAAACTTATTTCATATCACATTCAAGTCTCAGCATCTCTATGTATAAGAGTGAATAATCCTACAGAGATAATGATACCTGCTCTATAAGTGTGTAATGTAAAAAGATAACATCTTTCTCCTTGATAAAAGGTAGGCTTCTCTAGGGCTGGAACCAAACTGTCTCTGACTTGTTTCTGTTTTCTCCCATTATCTCTTGTATGTTAATAGGCAGTCGACAAATATTGATTGCATGCTTTCCATGGACCAGGTGTTGCTCCAAGTGCTTAGGATATATTAGTGCACTAAATAGACAAAGATCTGTGCCTTCATATAAATGTAATAAATAGGTAAATTAGATGCCATTTTAGAAGGTGGTATGTGCTATAGAAAAAAGAAAAAGTAATTCTGTGTGGATGATTAGGAAGAAGAGAAACAGAATTCCTCCAAACTCCCATCCCCATGTCTGCTTTCTGACCAGCACCTGAACCTGCACAGTGTGCCTTTCTCTCCGTGCTGCAAAGAAACTGGGTGCTCTCACCTAGAGCCAATCCCTCTCTTGCGGATTGGAACTCATCCCCTCTCTCATATTTAAATTCTCTCATTTTAGGTAAATTCTCAAAGAATTTACCTAAAAAAAGGGTCCCCTCTTAGGTAAGGGAAATACCATTTTTTAATTTTCTATTATATCAATCCTATAGGCTATTTCTCCCTTAAAAAGTACATTGTGACCTCATTTCCCCCTCCAGTTATTGCTACCTCTGCCATTTGTCTCTTCTTCTATTAAAAACTTAGTCATTTATTTCTATCATTGTGGACTCATGGATGTTTATTATATACTTTGGGTTATAATCCAATTCTACATTACTAATTTTTATTGCTCAAATAGAAAAAGTTGATGGAAGACAGGGCATATGGCTACAGATGCTGGTAAGGAGGTAGAAATGAAGGTGAGAGTTTAGGGAAATTCTGTTCCGATTGCTTCAGTTTTCCTCAGGAAAGCAAAGAGACCAATGACAGTGAGGATGGGAGATGCTGGGGATTTTGAAGTGTTCAATAACTATTTGTAGAATGAACAAATTAACCTCTCACAGGAAAGTTGTGAGGATTAAGTGCTGTAATGAACACATTTTCTAGGTTCCATATTTGATGTTTTGCTATCTGGGGCCTTGCTGGTCCTGGAGGGACTGCTCCTCTCAGGGCTGGTCAATTCCTACAGATAGTAACTACTAGCTTGTGAGTGTGCCTTTCCTCTGCAAATCATCCAATTCCATAGACCATATTCCAGAGACCATATCCTCAGCCACCTGCCTTCTCCACCTCTTACAGTCAGAGTCACTATTTTCCCTGCCCTAGTCATCCCAGGGCTAGGTACCAGACAACAAGAGGTAGCCCTTACATGCCAGAGCCCACTCTGGAAACTAGCTAACCCCATACCTGTTTACCCTGCCTTGTTCATTCCTTTTTGCAGAAAACACAATAGAGGTTCTTGTCCACATGCTGCCCCTGCCCACCTGCTGTCCGACCCTGGTGCCTCCTCTTGTGGCCCTACCTGGTTGGCAAGCTATGCCCTGTTTCTAGGGATCTGTGAGTATGAATACTTCCTTGATGACCATCATTTTTGTGTCTGCATGTTTCACCATATCTGACTGAAACAGATCCCTTAGAATGAATACCAAAGTATCTTAAGGCACTTTATAAACCTTAAAGGTCTATAAAACTATAAGCTGTTATTATTAAGGCATTTAGCTCAGTTTTATAATGAAAAATGCCAATCTGATCATGGCAATCTTTTGTGTTTTCCAAACTGGAATTCCCAGCAATAAAGGTTGATTGATTGCAGAATGAACCAATTAACCTCTTGTAGGAAAGTTGTGAGGATTAAGCACTGCAAAGAACACATTTTTCAGTTTCCATATTTGATGTTTTGATATCTGGAGCCTTGCTGGCCCTGGAGGGACTGCCCCTTTCAGGGCTGGTCAAGGTTGATTGATTCTTTGATTCATTTCTGTCTTTTGGGTCAATTTCTCAATTTAGGGGAGTAAAGCATCAGCCTCTCGGGAAACCAGACACAACTGAAACACAGCCACATTTGACTTAATTGAGTTTTTCTAGCGCATCGTCCTTTCCTTTTTCTCTGGCCTTTGTAGATTCTGTTCTTTCTGCCTGGAACACTCTGTGCTCTTTGCTTGATTTACTCCTATTCATCAATCACCATTCTCTGGGACTCCCCTTCTCCCCTCACAAGACCACAGTAGGAGACTTTCCTTTATGCTCCTATTATATTCCACACTTTTCCTATCATAACTTGTGTTATATTGTAATTTAAATAATATATTCAAAAAATTCATGGCCTTTTTTTTTTTTTTTTTTTTTTGAGATGGAGTCTCACTGTCGCCTAGGCTGGAGTGCAGTGGCACGATTTTGGCTCACTGCAACCTCCGCCTCCCAGGTTCAAGCAATTCTCCCTGCTTCAGTCTCCCAAATAGCTGGGATTACAGGTGTCTTCCACCACGGTCAGCTAAGTTTTGTATTTTTAGTAGAAATGGGGTTTCATCATGTTAGCCAGGATAGTCTCAAACTCTGGATCTCAGGTGATCCATCCTCCTCAGCCTCCCAAAGTGCTGGGATAGGCATGAGCCACTGTGCCTGGCAAGTTCATGGTTTGGACCACGTCTGACTTGTTTTGTTATGTTTCCCATGCCTAGTACATTTTTGGCATTAAATAAATATTTGTTGTTTGGATGAATAAACTTTAGCCAGTGTAGCTCATTTTATCATTATATTTTTTTCTTTGAGAAACCCTAGGACTCTAGCTGTGTTTTTGTTCTTTATTACTTGATTTATGTTTGTTCTTTTTGTTCTTTTTGAATTTATTCTTTTCCACACCTACAAGTTCTTCTTTGAATACAATATTTGACCAGGACTGCCTAAATTCTAGGGAGATGTCCATTTAAAAGCAATTTCCTTCTAGTCCCACAAAAATTTCCTTTCTCTCAAATGATGGTGGTGTAGACAACCCTTGAAATCTCAGATCTTTCTTAGAGAAGAAAGGATCAGACATATTAAGGAGCTGTTTTTTCCGCTTCAGCTTTGAGGATGATTCTCATTACCTGCCATTTGTGAAGCATTTAACTTCTTTTCTGTGTGTTTTAATTGGCATTGAGGAGATCCTGGCAAGCCTTTATCCCTGAAGAAAGATAGGAAAATGTTTAGATTTACTACATATGTGAAACCAGCATATTAGTCCTACTCATCAGTTTTTGCTTAATGGAATGACTGTAGCATCTCAATGTATCCAGTCTATCTGAAGGGACATTTTATTTAGGATAGCCAATAGCTACAGGATGAACAGTGAGAAAATGTTGGCCACTGATATCCACCTCTGCCCTAAACTTGCCCATCACCCCTCCCTTAAAAAATTATAATTTCGGGCCAGCCATGGTGGCTCATACCCGTAATCCTTGCCATGTGGGAGATCAAGGCAAGAGGATCACCTGAGCCCAGGAGTTCAAGACCAGCTTGGGCAACATAGCAAGACCCTGTCTCTACAAAAAATAAAAAAAAAATTAGCCAGCATGGTGGCACAGGCCTGTAGTCCTAGCCACTCAGGAGGCTGAGGTGGGAGGATTGCTTGTGCCTGGAAGGTCGAGGCTGCAGTGAGTCATGACTGCACCACTACTTTCCAGCCTGGGTAACAGAGCAAGACCCCATCTCAAAAAAAAAAAAAAAAATAGCAGTTATGATTTCCCCCATTTTACAAAATAGGAAACCAAAGCTCAGAGCAATTAACTAATTTGTCCCAGGCTATACAGATAGTAAATGGAAGATCTGAGATTCAAACCTAGATTTGTCTGATTCCAAAAATCAAGGCTATATTGCTTTACACTATTCTTGTTGTTAGAAATAGAAGTTGTTTCAATTTTCTTTTCTGGCTCCAACTCTCAGCCTTGAGTTTCAAATTTTAAACCAGTATAAACACTGTTGTGGTGAATACCCTTATAGAGGAACTTTTCCATCTATGATGATTTTACAGTTTTTTTTTTGAGATGGGGTCTTGCACTATTGCCCAGGCTGGAGTGCAGTGGCGTGATCTCAGCTCATTGCAACCTCCACCTCCTGGGTTCAAGTGATTCTCCTGCCTCAGGATCCTGAGTAGCTGGGATTACAGGCGCCTGCTACCATGCCCAGCTAATTTTGTATTTTTAGTAGAGCTGGGGTTTCACAGTGTTAGCCAGGCTGGTCTCGAACTCCCAACCTCAAATGATCCACCTGCCTCAGCCTCCCAAAGTGCTGGGATTACAGATATGAGTCACTGAGCCTGGCCTTACAACTCTTTTTTTTTTCCCCACAACTTTTATAACTATTTTACAAATGTCAAATTGTATTTTTACCAGCATATGTATGTGTGTGTAAGAGAGAGAGAGAAATATAGAGATACTTCTGAAAAGTTTGAAACCCTGGGTGACTTTTCACTTACTCAGGAAAGTAAAATCTGGAAAACGCAGAAACATATTAATACTTTCAAGCTACTTTGTACAGATCTAAAGTAGTTTATTAGTTTAAGAACACAAAAATATGTCATGCAAAACTGGGTTTGCTTATATTAAATAAAATTTAATTACATTTCAGTAAATGTAATTTAACTGCAAAATTTAATAATGACCAACTTTATAAATTTAAAGTGTCTTTAGTTTTGATACTTGTAGAACTAAAAGTTTAAAAAATATGAACTCTCATAGTTTTGTGGCTTTACAAGAAGCAGTTTAAAAAGTAAAACTAGAAGAAATACTAAGCATTGTATTACTAAATTATGGTTGATTAATTTAGTAACCCCTAAAGTACTTATTAGATTCAATTCAGTTTCAAAGAGGGGCCTGGGAGAAAGGGAGGTGACAGTATCAAAACTGTTCTTAACTTCTGAAAGTGGAATTTTATCTAACTTGTCTTATTTTCTCAGCTTTTACTAACATTAACTTCTTCTTCACGTGCTTCCTCTTCTTACCTACTTGAATTTCTTTGCTTTTTCTTTCTCTCACTCTTTCAAGACAAAGCTTCCCTCTGTGGTCCAGGCTGGAGTGCAGTGGTGTGATCGTGGCTCACTGCAGCCTTGACCACCCAGGCTCACCTCAGCTTCCTGAGTAATTAGAACCATAGGTGTATATTACCAGGCCCAGCTAATTTATTTATTTTTTTGAGATGGAGTCTGGCTCTGTTGCCCAGGCTGGAGTGCAGTGGTGCAATCTCGGCTCACTGCAACCTCTGCCAAGCGATTCTCCTGCCTCAGCCTCCCGAGTAGCTGGGACTACAGGCGTATGCCACCACACTAGGCTAATATTTTCTTTTTTCTTTTTTTTGTATTTTTAGTAGGGACCAGGTTTCACCATGTTAGCCAGCATGGTCTTGATCTCTTGACCTGTCCACCTCGGCCTCTTTAAAGGGCTGGGATTACAGGCATGAGCCGCCGTGCCCAGTCTAATTTTTTATTTTTTCTAGAGACGAGGTCTCCTTATGTTGCTTAGGCTGGTCTTGAACTCTCAGGCTCAAGTGTTCCTCCACCCTCTACCTCCCAAAGTGTTGGGATTACAAGTGTGTGCCACTGTGTCCAGCTTGTAATTTCCGAAGCTCAGGTTTGCCCTTACTCAAATAGGTTATTTTATATGTATTGTAAAGATGTTCCTTGATTTATGATGGGGTTACATCCTTATAAACCTATCATGAGTTGAAAATACTGTAAATTGAAAATGCATTTTATTTACCTAACCTACATAGCTTAGCCGAGCCTACCTTAAATGTGCTCAGAACACTTACATTAGCCTACAGAAGGGAAGAATCACCTAGCACAAAGCCTATTTTGTAATAAAGTGTTGAATACCTATATTTTATAATAAAGTGTTGTAATTTATTGACTACTGTACTGAAAGTGAAAAACAGAATGATTGCATGTGTATTTGAAGTAGAGTTTCTACTGGATGCATATTGCTTTTGTACAAGTGAAAAAATGGGGCTCAGTGGCTCACACCTGTAATTCCAGCACTTTGGGAGGCCGAGGCAGGCAGATTATGAGGTCAGGAGTTTGAGACCAGCCTGGCCAACATGGTGAAACCTTGTCTCTACTAAAAGTAAAATAAAAATTAGCTGGGTGTAGTGGCGTGCACCTGTAGTCCCAGATACTCAGGAGGCTGAGGCAGGAGAAATCTCTTGAACCTGAGAGGCAGAGGTTGCAGTGAGCCGAGATTGTGCCACTGTACTCCAGCCTGGGCAACAGAGGGAGACTCTGTCTCAAAAAAAAAACAAAAGCAAAAAACAAAAAATGGTAAGTTGAACCATTAAGTTGGAGACCATCTATATTTCTAAATATAAACAAATTTCTCTTGCATGATATAAAAGATGCAGTAGATGGAGAAATATTATGTTCTCAAGAAGCAAAAGGAAAGTAGAATTCAAGGCAGTGTAAAGTTTTTTTGTTGTTGTTTTTTTGAGACAGGGTCTTGCTCTATTACCCAGGCTGAAGTGCAGTGGTGCAATCTCAGCTCACCCCAACCTCCGCGTCCTGGGCTCAAGCAATCCTCCCACCTCAGACTCCTGAGTAGCTGAGACTACAGGTGGGCACCACCACACCCAGCTAATTTTTGTATCCTTTTTGGTAGAGGCTGGTCTCAAATTCCTGGGCTCAAATGATCCACCCACCTCAGCCTCCCAAAGTACTGGGATTAGATGTGAGCCACCATGCCTGGCCAGGCAATGTAGAGTTCTTATTACCTGTCTTTAAAAAGACACTCTTGGCACAATCTCAAACCTTACCTTGGAAAAAACATTGGAGAAAGACATATTTACAAAGTTTCAAATGACTGAAGAACCTTGCATTTGGAATGAACCCAATCCAGCCTCTCATCTACTGTAGGAATCCCCATTATATGTAGTATTGTCTAGTTTCTGCTTAACTACTTTCAGTGACAAGGAACTCACTTCCTCAGAAGATAGCTTGCATAGTCAGTAACACTAGGAAAGATACACTCAAAATAGAAAGTAAATGTTAGGTGATTGAGAAAAAGCTATTGTTAATGTTACAGGCAAATCTCCCTTCCCAATTTTAGCCCAGAGTCAGTCATGGCTAATTTACCAGCTTTCATTTACTAGCTACATTTGGAATATAGACCCTTTTTCTACACTTTAACTTGCTTATGGGTTTAGGCCTTCTTTAAGATCTTCCAACTTTTTTCTTCTTTAAACTGACACTCAAAATATCTCAAGGTATAACTGATAACTCCTTGAGCCTCTTAGGGTATTCTGTATCCTAACATAATTCTGCTCTTCCAATCAAAAAGGATGTGTATCTTTTTCTTTTCATAAAAAATATTTCTCTTCAATTCCGATGTTTTGTTTTATAACTAAATTTATAAAATAAATATTTAGAGTATTTTAATTGTTTCATCATAATCTTTATGAGTATTTAATATATTAATAATCTTAATAATTATACATTTTTAGGAGCTTCCCAGTAAAGACTGGAAAACCTGCTAGACAAAATTCTAAGAGTGGTAACACTAATAATTCTTTATCATAATATATTTATCACCCTTAATACATTCATTACCTACCTTTTACTGTGGGAGATGGGTACTTTTGTTAAAGGATTCAGCTTAAGTTTTGATTTAATTTCTGAAACTGCCATGTCGCCAGTGACTCGGTCTGGAATTCAGAATATACAATTAAGAAATCAGTTTACAGATTAATTTTTTACATTCTTTTGTAACTTTTCAGCTCAAAGCCTGGAGTTTGAAAAGTCCAGGACCTCAAGGAATGGTAATACATGCAAACTCAAGTTAGAGGTATTCATAAAGTTGGAAGGCAATGTGGAAAGTCCCCTTTGTTGTTCACAGATTTCTAAGCAAAGTTGCTTGTCACTGTTTCCCTTTCAATTAGTGTCACTCTGATCCTATGTAAAAATAAATGCTAAGCGAAATAAACTGGACACAAAAAGACCAATGCTATATGATCGAACTAATATGTATAATCTAAAATAGTCAAACTCATAGAAGCAGAGAGTAGAATGGTGGTTGAGGAAGGAGATATGGGGAGATGTCGGTCAGTGATACAAAGTTTGAAGATGGATTCTGAAGATCTAACAAATAGCATCGTGACCATAGGTAACAATACCATACTGTACACCTGAAATTTGCTAAGAGACTAGATTCTAAGTGTTCTCACTACACACACACACACACACAAATAGTAACTATGTGAAGTGATGGATGTGTTAATTAGACTGGTTGTGGTGATTATTTCACAATGTATACATCTGTTAAATATGTACACATTAAATAATAAAAATGGTGCCATGTGACACAGATAATGAGCATTCTGGAAATATATGGAAAAAGTTATTTAAAGACACTATTTTATTATGAAATCAGTAGAACATTTCAAGTCATAGTTGACAAAGAATAAAATAGTACAGCATTTCTAAAGTATTTGCCTACTTGTTTACATCTTAGATGCCTGCCTGGTAATAAGTAGATTTTCCCAGGGCTTATTTTTGGGAGACCCATCCCTGCCCTGTCACTTCTTGGGAACCAACATTTTTTGTTTGTTGTTGTTTTTAGTTGTGTAAAAAGCCTTTATTTGGAGGGGAGCAGGAATTTAAACAAAGAGGTCAAGTCCCGTGTCATCATCTGACTCTTTGGACACTCCTCCTCATCTTCTCCTCTGCAGCAGCGAGGGTGGAACCAGCAGCAGGAGCTGCAGAGCCTGGGGCAGCAGAGACAGCCACAGCCCCACCGGCAGGTACACTGGCAAGCTTGCCAATACCCTGGGCAATGACGTCTTCGATGCTTTTTCCATTCAGCTCACTGATAACCTTGTTGAGCTGGTCGTCGTCCGCCCAGATGCCTACGTTGTCCAGGATCCTTTTGTCCTTGGCGCTGGGGGAGCGGTCGCCTCCGAGGGCAGCCAGCAGGTGGGAGGCGACGTGGCACATCCGGGCGGCAGCGGCGGTGGCGGCGAGGCCTCCACGCGTGCGACCTCCGCGGAGTCAGGGAGGGAGAGCCCAACTGGTCTTGGTTAACAGTAGGAATGGGGGTGGGATACAACGCAGTTCTGCTACCCTAGACTCCGGAATGAACTCGTTAATCACCGCCGCCTCCCTAGTCCTCCCTTTCCACTCGCATAGTCTGATAAACAGGGCTTATTTATAGACCAGAAGCTAGGGTAGGGCTTCTCCCTTTGTTGCTCTTTTCTTTCCAACTATCTTTTCAAAATGTGGAGTGTATTTGACAGTTCACTGACAAGAAAACTAGGTTGCTGACTTAGGAATAATGGACAATCGAATACTATTCAATCATGAGGAAAAAAAGTCTCTGAATGTTTGGTTAGAATTTGATCCATTTTCCCAGGTCTTCACCTCAGAGCCCAGAAAGCATTTGTTTCTAAACGACTCAATTACAAGTCCTCAAAATCTGAAAACCTACCACAGAGCTGGCAACTCCAGAGAGGCTCAACAATTCAGGCACTTGAAAGATGCTGTGAAATCATCCCATGCCTCAAAATAATCATTACTTTAAAAAAATACCTTCATTTCTCATAGATTATAGATTTTTTTAAAAAAAGACTCGGCATAGAATCCTATAAAATCCTGATATTTACCTACTTTTAAGCCGTGCTACTTACCACTTCTGGGCTTCAGTCAGATCAGGAATCCAATAAAGGGTTTGTTCCATCACATAACTGTGACCTCATTCACTGCTCAGGCTCAGGCCCAGGGAGAGAATGACCCAGGAGCTACTTCCAACCTGACAGCAAGCATGTTTTCAGTGTGGTTCTTTCAGCACCCTTGGTGTATATGAGGGTGTGATTTATAAACTCTGAACATTTTGACACTGTTGGGATTTCAGGGAAGGGGAATTATTTTTGTTTCAATTTCTATATTAATATATTTTCATGTTAATGTCTTCATCAGGCCGGGAGTGGTGGCTCAAGTTTGTAATCCCAGCACTTTGGGAGGCTGAGGCAGGCAGATCATCTGAAGTCAGGAGTTCAAGACCAGTCTGGCCAACATGATGAAACCCTGTCTCTACTGAAAATACAAAAATTAGCTGTGCATGTTGGCCCACTCCTGTAACCCCAGCTACTCGGGGGGCTGTGGCAGGAGAATCGTTTGAATTCGGGAGGCAGAGGTTGAAGTGAGCTGAGATTGCGCCACTGCACTCCAGCCTGGGTGACAGACTCTGTCTCAAAAAAAAAAAAAAGTCTTCATCAGTCAATTGAAAGATGTTCAATTAAAACATTTTACTCCGCTGCTTTCACTGCATGGTGATTATGAATCATTTCATTAATTGTTTAAGCCTAGAAAGAGAGGCAAAAAAACTCTCATAGGCTTGTAGTCTTTGGTATTATTGGGAAAAGTGATTTCAAAAGAGCAATTACAGAAAAGATTGTTTTAAGTAGAAACCAAGGTATTTATGATCTGATGTGTCTCATAGCATTGTAAATTCTCTAGCACAGGAGTTAGGAGTGTCTTTAGTCTATCATGGCTAAGCACAGATATCTCTGGCACCCAAGGCTTAGCAAGTTATGTAGTTAGACCCGTAAAAATGCTTCAGTTTTCACTTAGTGGCAGCAATTCTAGAGGTTTCCTATTCCCCCAGAGTGGGAATAGGAAACCTCTAAAATTGTTCATTATGAGCACAATTTGACTTTAACCTAGTATTTTTAAACTTAGTACACTGCCTCCCATTCTGGCCAGGAACACACAGGGAAAGAAAGGTAAGGCTTAATTTATAAATTAATTCAACAATTATTTATCAAGAGCCTACTATATTAAAAGCTACCTTGATTTTTTTTTTTTTTTTTTGAGGTGAGGTCTCACTCACTATGTTGCCCAGGGTTGAGTGCAGTAGCAGGATCATGGTTCACTGCAGCCGCAACCTCCTGGGCTCAAGTGATTCTTCCACCCCAGCCTCCCCAGTAGCTGGCACTACAAGGTGCAGGCCACCATGCCCAACTAATTTTTTGTATTTTTGGTAGAGATGGGGTTTCACTATGTTGCCCAGGCTGGCCTCGAAATCCTGGCCCCCACCTATCTCCTTGGCCTCCCAAAGTGCTGGGATTACAGGCAGGAGCTACTGTGCCCAGCCCTATTGTGTTACAGCATTCTTTATATATTTTGGAGACTAGATCCTTATCAATTATATCATTTACAAATATTTTTTCCTATTTTGTGAGTTTTTTTACTTTATTGATAATGTCCTTTCAACTACAGAAGTTAGACCTGGAATTTTAAATGTCCTTTTGTTGGTCCTGGAATTTTAAAGCTGAAAGATAATAGATCATCAACCAAATTCAGCCCACCGCATTTTTTGAAAGAGACAAGTTCTTGCTCTGTCGCTCAGGCTGAAGCGCGGTGGTGCAGTGATGGCTCATGCAACCTCCAATTCCTGGGCTCAAGCAATCCTCCCACTCAGCTTCCCGAATAGCTAGGACTAGAGTAGGCAAGTGCCAACACCTCTGATTAATTTTAAAATTTTTGTAGAGAAGGGGTCTCGCTGAGTTGCCAGGCTGGACTCATACTCCTGGCTTCAAGAGATCTTCCTGCCTTGATCTTCCTAGGCCTCCCAAGGCTCTAGGATTACAGGTGTGAGTCAGTGCTCCAGATCCTCACCCATTTTATTTTACTGCTAAGGACACTAAGGCCCAATTAACTGAATTAATTTCTTTAATGGCAGAGTCAGAAACACCTGCTTTGTAAATTACACTGTGATACCAGGTAGGTTACAGTGTTCTTAGAGGTTTAAAAAATCACAAATGGAGCATTAGAAAAGAATATAAATATGTGAGAATCACATGTGATTCAGTGTGGTGTGGACCTTAAGGCACAGGAACTTAGAAAGACAGTTGGAGAGATAATGGTATTCATTCACCTTATGGACAAGTAGATGGAGGATGGAAACTGACAAGACAATTAGGGAAAGTAACTATGGGATTAAAAGATGTAAGTCAAAGTATTAATCCCCATCTTTACAATGGCTTCACATCAGGTTTCATACTCACCTTTAATGTCGTTTGCAGTTTTCAACTTAGGTAGAGTCGCCATTCCTTTTGCTTAAAGACAAGATTAAGAATCAAAATTACATAAATTTCTGATGTTATGGAAAGTAGAATAGGAGGGCATGCTTTGTCTTATTTTTTTTCCCCAAGTGAGTGAAAAAATTAAGAAAGTGTCAAAGATATATGGGATATCCATCTTCATTCATATTGTTTCTTTTGGTGCCTTAATGTATTGCACTCCAAAAGCAAAAACTGAAAAGCACTATAGTGTCAGCATTGAAATCAAGACTATTCATTTATCATCTTTCAGGATGTAAAGAAGTAAAATGACTTTGAAAATCTGTTGATTCAGGAGGAAGATGATCTCCTACCCCCCTTTTTTTTTTTTTTTTTTTTTTGAGAAAGCGTCTTACTCTGTTGCCCAGGCTAGAGTGCAGTTGGTGTGATTCAGCTCACTGCAACCTCTGCCTCCTGGGTTCATGCGATTCTTCTGCCTCAGCTTCCAGAGTAGCTGGGACTACAGGCGTGTGCCACCACACCTGCTAATTTTTTTGTATTTTTAGTAGAGATGGGGTTTCACCATGTTGGCCAGGCTGGCCTTGAACTCCTGACCTCATGATCCGCCCGCCTTGGCCTCCCAAAGTGCTGGGATTACAGGCATAAGCCACTGCACCCAGCCTCTCTTATCCATTTCATTTTCATTAATGCTTTGTTTAGGAAGGTATTGACTAATTAGTTACCTTTTAATGATATAGATATTTCTTTCTAGTGAATTATCCTATGAAATATCTGGGTATAATATATATCATAATTAACTCACTGCAAAATCTTCCTTTACCCCACCCCTTTCCATGGCCAGAACAACAAGCAAACAAAACCCTAATAGTACAGATTTAACTCTTTTTCTTTTCTTTCCTCTAAAAATGTGGGGTAGTTTTGTTTTCTAAGCATGAGGAGATTAATTCTCAGAAGAAAAGTGTGGATATAATAACTCAGTTTCCTATACTTGGTTTGGTTTTGCCTGGCCAGATAAACCAATAATGTATTATTTTAATATCAAGAAAGGTCCGTGGCAGATTATGAAAACATGGAAACATGGAAAATGTTTGGCGATACCTTTAGGTTATAGAGGCTATATAAGGTAATATGCAATGCAGAAAGCAGTACATACAAAGAAGAAATATTTTTCCTATGGGAAAAGGATTAACTCCAATATAAAACACATGTTTTCTTAATTAATAAAAATTAAAATTTTCTTAATTCTGTAGAATTAAGAAAATCTATACCTGTGAAGCACCTTTTCTTTCTCTGCCTCTGATCTGTCTCACTCTCTCTCCCTATTGCTTGGCTCTTCTCTCTTCCTGGATATTAATTTGCAAGAGGCACCCTATGCCATTCTTAGATACTGCATGTGGCAACATTCTGGTTGAGAATGTGACTTAGAAGATGACAAGAAACAGACTTTATTTTTATACAGTAACTTTTTTTTCCCCTACATGTATGTTAGATTTTCTCTGTGCCCCTAGTAAGTACAGTTTTAGAAATTCTCATGTGGAACCTTACAACCCAAGTGCCTCTGAAGGCCAGAGTGGAGCTCTGAATGTTCACCACCAAATAACAGAAATTTTAACAGGCCTTGAAGTTGTTAATATATGATTGTTATTTTTATGTTATCATTCTTAGGTAGCTGAAATTCACCTTTATTCTTTAGAAAGTAGAAATGAATGATACTTGATTATGACAGCAAAAAAAAAAAAAAAAAGAAAAGAAAAAGAAAGAAATGGTGAAATGGAAATTGGAGAAAAAGACATTTAAGTGTGAAAAATGCCATTGCCCTTATGTCTATGTCTAATTATCTGAAATTGGGATGTGAAGACTTAAATCATAATAGTATATTTGAAGGCAAATGTGTCAAGATGGCATTAAGAAATAAAATTTGTTCTTTAATATACATGTATAAAACTTTTTTTTCTTTTTTGAGATGGAGACTTGCTTTGTTGCCCAGGCTGGAGTGCAGTGGCATTATCTCAGCTCACTACAATCTCCGCCTCCCAGGTTTAAGTGATTCTTTTGCCTCAACCTCCTAAGTAGGTGGGACCACAGGTGCGTGCCTCCATGCCCAACCAATTTTTGTATTTTTAGTAGAGATGGGTTTTCACCATGTTGGCCAGGATGGTCTCGAACTTTTGACCTTGTGATCCACCCACCTCGGCCTGCCAAAATGCTGGGATTACAGGCGTGAGCCAGTGCGCTCAGCCAAAAAAACTTTATAAGTGAAAATGGAGTATTACTGTGTGAATCTTTGAAATAGAAACCAGTATTTGAAACTTCTAAAAATATGAAACATACTTTAAAACGTCTAAATTTTCTTTAAGGCACTGTAGACTTCACATAATAAAATATATTGCAGTGGCAGCAGGTGGATTGGGGTTTATGAAGTGAAGAAAGCATGTGGGTGAGCTGGGTAGCCATGTGAAATGTATATGTTTGATAAAGAGACTGGAAGAAAAAGAAAGAATAACATTAGAAAAACAAGGGGAAGCTGGAGCAAAAGCGAAAATATATTTTTAGAGACAGGGAGAAGATAACAAAAGAGGAAAAAAGAAGTGGAAGAGGAGAAAGAAGAATAGAAAAGTAAGCAAAGAGATCTGTAGTGTGCCTTCATGGCTTTATTACACATAGCTAACAGCCAGTTCTGATATGGATGACTCGCCTGTGTACCTGGGGTTGTTAGTTTAACAGAACTGTTTGTTCTGAGTTGCCCAGATAGGAGGGATTATCTTAATAATGACCTTGATACAGCCTCTTTGGTTAGTGAAACTTCAATTATCTTTTTTTTTCCCCCTTCCCTCCCTGAAACTTCGATTATCTAAAAGCAGGAGACTAGAATCTCTATCAGATTTCCCAGATCAGAGGTAAAAATTAACTTTTGTGAGAGTGGGAACCTTGCTTTATCTCTTGTTAATTGCTAAACTTTCTTGAACAGTGTCTGGGTGCTCAAAGATACTTATTGATGAACACAGAACTTATACATGGTCATGGGAGGTGGTTTCCAGTATCTCCAGTTAGCAGCATGATTTTAAATGCTGGGGATAAAAACCACCAAGTGAACATTCCTTAAAGTTTTCTGGCACCACCAACAAAAGCAGCAATAGATGGGATAGACTGGACTTATTAAAAGGTATATATATTTTTCTTTTACAAATAAAATACAACAGGACTAATTTGGAAATGTTAGGCATAGGTACCCAGAATTTAAATTTATCTTCTATCAAAATTCATTTTGTAGATACTTGCATAACATATCTTAAATTATTCTTACAGCCTCCTTTTTTTTTTTTCATTTTAGAGAAAAGGTCTTGCTCTTTCACCCAGGCTGAAGTGCGGTGGTGCAATCATAGTTCACTGCAGCCTCAACCTCCTGGGCTCAAGTGATCCTCCAACCTCAGCCTCCTGTGTAGCTGGAACTACAGGTGTATGCCACCATACATGGTTAACTTTTGTATTTTTGTGTAGAGATGGGGTTTTGCTATGTTGCTCAGGCTGCTCTCCAACTTCTGGCCTCAAGCAATCTGGCCACTTTGGCCTACCAAAGTGCTGGGATTACAGACATGAACGACCATGCCCGGCCACATCCTCCTTTTTGAAACACAGTCAGGCTTTCAGAGACACACCAAATTTCTTTTTTGTCACACTTGTTGGGAAATGCAGATGCAGAGAACAAATCAAAATTACTTAAAAATGAATTCAAGATTGACGTTGTACGTGTGTGGGAAGAGGGCAGAGACAAGTTTTACCTTGCCTCTGTTGATCAATTTCACAGCATAATGTTCATATCTCCCATTCATCCTTTCTGTGCAAGCATGGAACATGGCATTTTGGTAAAAAGAAACTTATTTTAGAAATATTAAATATAAGAGACCTACAAACAAAAAGTACTGAGACTATGTATTAAATTTCAGAGGCATCCAGAAAGGAACTTTAGATCATTAGCTATATTTATTTATTTTTTGAGATGGAATCTCTTTCTGTTGCCCAGGCTGGAGTGCAATGGCGCAATCTCAGCTCACTGCAACTTCCACCTTCCAGGTTCAAGTGATTCTCTTGCCTCAGCCTCTTGAGTAGCTGGGACTACCGGCCCATGCCACGATGACTGATTAATTTTTGTAGTTTTAGTAGAGACGGGGTTTCACCATGTTGGTTGGGCTGATCTCAAACTCCTGACCTCAGGTGATCCACCTGCCTCGGGCTCCCAAAGTGCTGGGATTACAGGCACGAGCCACCATGCCTGGCCTAGCTATATTTATAAACAAGTAAGATTTTAATATGAGTAAGAAAACAGAATGTAAATACATTGGATATAGATTAAAATGCACAAAAATTATGTACACATAAGGAAAAAAATTTGTGGTGATAAAATTATGGATTATCATTAAAGGACACAATTAAGAATTATTAAAATTTCCCTTTTTTCTTTTTGTTTGATAAATATAGGAATTTTCTAGCCAGGCATAGTGGCTCATGCCTGTAATCCCAGCACTTTGGGAGGTGAAGGCAGGCAGATCACGAGGTCAGGAGTTTGAGGCCAGCATGGCTAATATGGTGAAACCCCATCTCTACTAAAAATATAATAATTAGCTGGGCATGGTGGCACATGCCTGTAGTCCCGGCTACTTGGGAGGTTGAGGCAGAAGAATTGCTTTAACCTGGGAGGTGGAGGCTGCAGTGAGCTGAGATTGTGCCACTGCACTCCAGCCTGGGCAACAGAGCAAAAAAAAAAAAAAAAATTTCTATAATGAACATGTATTACTTTTATAACCAAGAAAACACATATAAAGGTACACATACAGCATCAGATTATAATTTAATATTGTATCATAAAATTTCACTTACGTTTGAGCTTCTTCAGACCCTCCATTATTGAATTAACATTAACCTTTCCATTTCCTGTAAAATATTTTGGTTCAGATACAGAAGCATTCACATAAAAATTCATAAAAGTTGTAAAATTATTAAAAACAATGTATTTGGCTATAATTTCTTCCGTGAGTTAGAAGAACTAGAAACATTGGTTTGCTTTGGAATTTGGATTCATTTTTCTGTCAGGTGAATATGATGGAAAAAAAGATGAATTTTGTTTTGGCTCTGTCTGGCTCTGTCCTTCAGGCTGGAGTGCAGTGGTGTGATTATGGCTCATTGCAGCCTTGACTTCCCTGGCTCATGCGATCCTCCCACCTCAGCCTCCTGAGCATCTGGAACTGCAGGTGTGTGCCACCACACCCAGCTCCTTAAATTTTTTTTTTTTTTTTTTTTTTTGTCGAGATAGGGGTCTCCCTATGTTGCCCAGGCTGGTTTTGAACTCCTGGCCTCAAGTAATCCTCACACCTTGGCCTCTCAAAGTATTGGGATTTCAAGTGTGAGTCACTGTACCTGGCAAGGATGAATCTTTAAAAGAGACACCTATCTCTACTTTTTTTTTTTCAGGCAAGGTCTTGGTCTCTCTCCTAGGCTGAAGTGCAGTGGTGTGATCTTGGCTCACTGCAACCTCTGCCTTCTGGGTTCAAAAGATTCTCGTGCCTCATCCTCCCAAGTAGCTGGGATCACAGGCATGTGCCACTATGCCCAACTAATTTTTATATTTTTAGTAGAAATGGGATTTGCCATGTTGGCCAGGCTGGTCTCGAATTCCTGGCCTCAAGCAATCTACCCACTTCAGCCTCCCAAAGTGCTGGGATTACAGGCCTGAGCCACCATGCCTGGCCCTATACTTTTTAAAAAGCAGTTCATCTTTTCTGTGCTTTAGGAGATTGTATTAATCAAAGGAACAAAAGTAAGAAGGAATAGGGTATTCTGAGGAAACTGTGGGTAGTTCAGTTGGTTTGGAGCATGACATGTTGGAAGCAGTGGAGGAGAAAGCTGAAAAGTACATGGGAGCTGTGTTGCAGTGGGTTTTGTTTGGATTTTTTTTGGGAACACAGGAAGGAGTCATGAAAGCTTCTGACCATTACTATGTAAAGATTGATCTGAAGGCAGTCTGCCTTCAGCTGGAGTTGGAGACCAGCCTGGGCAACATTGTGATAGCCTGTCTCTACCAAAAATACAAAAATGAGCTGGGCGTGGTGGTGTGTGTCTGTAGTCCCAGCTACTTGGGAGGCTGAGGTAGGAGGACAGTTTGAACCCAAAAGACGAAGGTTGTAAGGTGAGCCCAGGAGCTGATATGGTGCCACTGCACTCCAGCCTGGGAGGCAAAGCCAGATCCTGTCTCAAAAACAAAAAACAAAATCTCTTCAACTGAAGAGAGGAGAGGAAGAAAATATGGGCAAATAGGAAGAAATGAAAAACTAGAGAGAATGGAAAATGGAGATATGTTTGCAATTGATAGGTTCAAATTTACAGCTATAAAACCATGATTTCAGAAACCTAACGGTTCAGTGTCTCATCTCCTACTTTCAGTTGAGCTTAGTAGAGAAAGCGAAGTATGTCTCCTTTCTTCATCCTTGTATTCCTAGTACCTCGTATAGGGCCTGACATATTCAGTGACCAATAAATATTTGTTGGATGAATAAATCAATATACTCTTTTAAATTCAACTCCAGGCCAGGCGTGGTGGCTCATGCTTGTCATCCAAGCACTTTGGAGGCCAAGGCGGGCGGATCACCTGAGGTCTGGAGTTCAAGACCAGCCTGACCAACATGGTGAAACCCCGTCGTTATTGGAAAAAAAAAAAAAAAAAATTCAAGTCCACAGCTGTATAGAAACTCTCTGACAACATCACTGAAGCAATATAGTAAGAAATGCTATCCTCAAATGCACTTAGAACATCTTTTTTGGGGTTATCAGAATAAAAAAGAAAGTGGTAGAAATAAAAAAGTATTTATATAGCACAAGGGCCAGTGAGTAAGCCATGTAAATAGACTCAATAAACAACAATAAAAATTTCAATAAATCAACTAACCCCAAATTCCCCTTCCTTCCCCTGAGTATTGCTTCCTCATACTCATTTTTATTTTCTAGTTTCACTCACTGTAATATTTTTCAGGCTGAAATCATACCCTCAGGCACAACTTAGCATACTGGTTGTACTTGTGATTTAAGAAATGAAAGTCGGCCGGACACGGTGGCTCACACCTGTAATCCCAGCACTTTGGGAGGCCGAGGTGGGCAGATTATGAGGTCAAGAGATCGAGACCATGGTGAAACCCCATCTCTACTAAAAAATACAAAAATTAGCTGGGCATGGTGATGTGTGCCTGTGGTACCAGCTACTCGGGAGGCTGAGGCAGGAGAATTGCTTAAAACCGGGAGGCGGAGGTTGCAGTGAGCCGAGATTGCACCACTGCACTCCAGCCTGGCACCTGGCAACAGAGCAAGACTCTGACTCAAAAAAAAAAAAAAAAAAGAAATGAAAGTCAGGCACATTCTTAACATATCTTGTCTTGTCTTTAACTTTTAGGTCTCTGCTAGACAAAGGGTGGTTTGTGCACCAGCATCATTGGCATCACCTGAGAACTTGTTAGAAATGCAGAATCTCAGGCTCTACCCTATACTTAAACAAAAATCTGATTTTTTTTTTTTTTTCCGGAGACAGGGTCTCACCCTGCTGCCCAGGCTGGAATGCACTGGTTTGATCATGGCTCATTGCAGTCTCCAACTCCTGGGCTCAAGTGGTTGTCCTGCCTCAGTCTCCCAATTAGCTAGCACTACAGGCATGTGCCATGATATCACACCAGCCTTCCCATAAGTTTGGGAAGCTATGTTCTAGGTGTTACAAAGTTAAGGATCATTTCTGAGGATGTTATGTACAGGATGACAAAAAAATTTTTTTTTTTTTGAGACAGAGTTTCACTCTTGTTGCCCAGGCTGGAGTGCAATGGCATGATCTCAGCAGCTCACTGCTACCTCTGCCACCTGGGTGTAAGCGATTCTCCTGCCTCAGCCTCCTGAGTAGATGGGATTACAAATGCCTGCCACCACGCCTGGCTAAATTTTTGTATTTTTAGTAGAGATGGGGTCTCACCGTGTTGGTCTGGCTGGTCTTGAACTCCTGACCTCAGGTGATCCACCTGCCTTGGCCTCCCAAAGTACTGGGATTACAGGCACGAGCCATCACCATGCCCAGCCCAAAAATACACTTCTAAGAAGGCAACAGAACTATAAAACAAATACGTCACCATTAAATGTCAAATGAGGCATCAACTCCTTCATTTCTTCTTCTGTGAGTTCAATCCCTTCGCTTGCTAGAAAGTTATCTAAGTTCTGGACATCAATCATCTCTCCTTAGAAAGAGTAAGAAATGAAATGCAGAAATATTACAGAATTATTTGCAAAGTACAAAGAACACTATCTGTGCTTATATACATTATCATCCAGAATAGGAGGGTCAGAAACCAAAATCTTTAAATCAGAAGGTGGATACAAAGAAGAAAGTAACCAGAGGTTAGGAATTGACTGGTGGGTTGCTGAAAAATCCACAGCAAATTAAAATACATATAGGGACTAGTTTTATGTAACAACATTACAGATTAATGTAACAGGGGAAAGATAAAATTGCATCACTCTAACACAGGAACCATTTTTAGTTTTTTATATCCCATTTTGGTCTTTGGCAATAAGACTGTACTTTTACAATGCAGAAATCTAATATATGTACAATCCCATATTTTGCTTTTCCAACCTAAAATCATTCTTTCATAAACATGTTTCCAAGTTGCCACATAATTTTTTTTTTTTTTTTTTTTTTTTTTTTAAGATGGAGTTTCACTCTTGTTACCCAGGCTGGAGTGCAATGGCGCGATCTCAGCTCACCGCAACCTCCACCTCCTGGGTTCAGGCAATTCTCCTGCCTCAGCCTCCCGAGTAGCTGGGATTACAGGCACGCACCACCACGCCCAGCTAATTTTTGTATTTTTAGTAGAGACGGGGTTTCACTATGTTGACCAGGATGGTCTCGATCTCTTGACCTCGTGATCCACCCGCCTCGGCCTCCCAAAGTGCTGGGATTACAGGCTTGAGCCACCGTGCCCGGCCCTACATAATCTTTACAGTAAGCATTTTAACACGTTATCCCATTAAACTGACATATCATGGTTTATGTAGTAATTCCTGTAGGGTTAGATATTTCTAATCAGTTTCAATTTTCTCACTATTATGAGAATGAAAGTCCTTAAGGCAGAACATTTTTAATTTTATTCAATAAAACTATTTCCATAGGATAAATTTCTAAGAGTGGGGTTAGTGGGAAAAGGGGTATGAAAAGTTTTGTGGCTCTTGATATCAATTACTACTTGTAATAACTCTTTTTTTTTTTTTTGGCGACGGAGTTTCACTCTTGTTGCCCAGGCTGGAGTGCAATGGCACAATCTTGGCTCACTGAAACCTCCACCTCCCAGGTTCAAGCGATTCTCCTGCCTCAGCTCCAGGGTAGCTGGCATTACAGGCGTGCAACACCATGCCTGGCTAATTTTTTGTATATTTAGTAGAGACAGGGTGTCACCATGTTGGCCAGGCTGGTCTTGAACTCCTGACCTCATGATCTGCCCGCCTTGGCCTCCCAAAGTGCTGGGATTACAGGCATGAGCCACTGTGCCTGGCCTGAAGAACTCTTTAGGGGAAAATTTTGGAGATTAGTATGGTCAGTGATATATAAATAGATGAGTTATTGTTTACTCAACTTCAGCAGCATCCACAAAAATGGAACATATGTTATATGAAAAATATCTGAATACTTATGAATGGGAAATATTCTTCTCCAACATTAATTGCAAATATTAAGATGCTATTTATAACATATTTCCATTACAGCTTGCAGCTCACCCTTGATGTAACTGACAGCATCCATTAAGTCTTTCATATCAACTGTTGTCTCACCTGTAAGGCAAGGGAAGTATACCTCAGAGTCAGATCAACTGATGTTACTGAGACCTTCAACATTTATGCTATATGAAGTTCTGAAGTTATGAAGAGCATAAGACTTCAGTAATCTTTTCTTCTTCTTCTTTTTTTTTTTTTTTTTTTTTTTTGAGATGGAGTCTCACTCTGTTGCCCAGGCTACAGTGCAGTGGTGTGATCCCAGCTCAGTGCAACCTCTGCCTCCTAGGTTAAAGTGATTCTCCTGCCTCAGCCTTCCAAGTAGCTGAGATTACAGGTGCATGCCACCATGCCCAACTAATTTTTTGTATTTTTAGTAGAGATGGGGTTTCACCATGTTGGCCAGTCTGATCTTGAACTCCTGACCTCAAATGATCCACCCACCTTGGCCTCCCAAAGTGCTGAGATTACAGGCATGAGCCATCACGCCAAGCCAGAATTTACTAATGTTTACATTTTTCCTTATAATTTTATGGACTTATTCTCAGAGATAACAGTGTTATCTTAGAAACAAAGAAAGTTTCCATTGTAACAAATCTATTCAATTTTTCATTTTTCTTTGCTTTAAAGAGACTGGTTACAGTTAAGTATAGGGAGAGAATAAATGACTCTGACCCTATGTACTTTTATTTAGTCAGTTAATCAACAGCACTTTGACAGGCTTTGGGGATACAAAAGTAGGCAAGGTGACGGAGTTCTAGCTCTCAAGGAGTGTACAATGTAGTGAGAGAGAGAGATAATTAACATATAAACAGAAAGGATTTGACGTACTGTTAAGATGCTGTCAAAAATAAAATAGGGCAACATAATAGAGAGTAATAGAAGATGGGACTGATTTAGACAGAAGGTCAAGGAAGGCCTCTCAGAAGAGGATCTATTTGGGTTGAAGCTTGAATGATGAGAAATGAGTAGCCATGTGAAGAACTGGGGAAGAATAAGTAGAAAAAAAGTATGTACAATAGTCGTATGGTGGGACTGAATTTGCCATGATTGAGAGACAGAGGTCAGTGTGATGGGGCTAGATAATGCAGAGCCTTGTAGGGCATGATGATAAAGTCTGGACTTTATTTTGGTTGCAATGGAATGTCACTGGAGGCCTCGGAAACATGGAGTAACCTGACCTGATTTCAGCTTTCAAAAGACCACTCTGGCTGGTATGGATAGGATAAAGAAACTGGGGAAATGGAGAGCAGACAGGAGCTTGTTTCAGTGGCCCAGTAAAGAGATGACAGTGGCTTGGGCTGTGGTTACGGTAGTGGAGATGGTGACAAGTGATGGATTCAGGACATATTTTTCAAGTTGAACCTAGATTTCTTTTTCGAAATTTTGTTTTCCCTTCTTTCACAGGTGTTGATGAACCTAGATTTAAATGTGGAATATGAAGGAAGGAGAAATCAAAGATGGAACCTAGTCTACCTTCCCCAGTCAACGGGGTGAATGGGATGCCTTTAATGAGATGAGGAGGGCGTGAGATTTTTTAGTAAAATTAATCAATAATTCCATTAAATTGGTGATAACTTTTAGAAATCCCAGTGGAGATATCAAATAACTAGTTTGACATGCTATTGCTAACTTAGAGAGATTGAGCTGGAGATATAAATTTACTTTACCAGCTTAGAGAAGGTATCTGACCCAATGAGACTGAATGCAATCTCCTAAGAGGAGAGTGTAGATGAAAAGACAGCCAAGGGTCTAACCTTGGGTCACTTCGTTATTTAGAGATCTTGCAGGGGAGGAACAGTCAGAAAGAAAACTTAGAAGACAATGTCAGCGAGGGAAGAAGAAAACCAGGGGAGTATGGGGCTTTAAAAGTCTAGAGAAAAACACATTTCTTTTTCCTTTTCTTGAGACAGGGTCTTGCTCTGTCACCCAGGCTGGAGTGAAGTGGCACACAATCACAGCTCGCTGCAGCCTCCGCCTCCCAGGCTCAAGCAATCCCCCGGCCTTAGCCTCCCAAGTAGCTGGGACTATAGGCGCGTGCCACCACGCCAGGCTATTTTATTTTTTTTGTAGAGACAGGGTTTCACCATGTTGCTTAGGCTGGTCTCTAACTCCTGGGCTCAAGTGATTCACCTGCCTCAGCCTCCCAAAGTGCAGGGATTACAGGCATGAGCCACCACGCCTGGCCAAAAAATGTATTTCAATAAAAAGGGGGTGGCCGCTTATGTCAAATGCTGCCAACATGTCAAGTAAAGTAAGAACAAAGTACGGACTATGAGCCTTGGCAAGAGGTAGGTCATTGACAATCTTGTTGAGAGCTTGTTTGGTGCCATTGTGGAGATAAAAACCTGACTGGAGAATGCTGAAGGGTGAATGGGAGGTGAGGATATGAAGACAATGAGTAATGACAACTTTTCGAGGCAACTCTGCTATGCAGAGATGATGTGGTAGCTGGCAGGGAACAAGTGTGAGAGAAAAGCATAGCTGCATGTCAAGAGAAATATATAGAGAGATACTGCAAAGAGGGAGAAATTGATGATGCAGGAGAGAGGGGAAATATTGCAGGAGGTAAGTCTTTGAGAAGGCAAAAGGAAATAGGATGCAGGGTGCAAGTGGAAAGGCTGGCCCATGAAAGGAGGATTCTTCCCCTTTATAGCAAGACAAAAGGCAGGGCATGGCTGGGCATGGTTATTCATGTCTGTAATCCCAGCACTTTGGGAGGTTGAGGTGGGTGGATATGAGGCCGGAGTTCGGGACCAGCCTGACCAACATGGAGAAACCCCATCTTTACTAAAAATACAAAATTAGCTAAGCGAGGTGGTGCATGCCTGTAATCCTAGCTACTTAGGAGGCTGAGACAGGAGAATCGCTTGAATCCAAGAGGCAGAGGTTGCAGTAAGCCGAGATTGTGCCATTTGCACTCCAGCCTGGGCAGCAAGAGTGAAACTCTGTCTCAAAAAAGACAAAGAAAAAAGGTGGGGCATGTGGGCATAGGTATAGGTAAGTTCATAGAAACAGAGGTAGGAAAATGAGGTCTTTCTTCTCTAACTGCATCTATTGTCTCTATGAAGTTTGAGGTGAGATCATCAGTCGAGAGTTGAGGTGAAATTTGGACCGAGAAGGTGTGAAATTGTCTCTGAGAGTGAGAAAGTAAATTTACTTGGAAAATATAGCAGAGACTTTTTTGGCAGTGTTAAGGAACTTGAAGTTTCTGCCTATTATGTGAAGTGAGTTCTATTGGCACGGCTTTGTGATCTTCTCTGGCAATGTTAAGCTGTTCAGGAATAAGCATGAAGTAAAAAGATGGCCGAGTTTTTGCCAAGCAAATTTGAAGTTCTGAGAGTTTGTAAGCTTATATGATGCTGAAGCAGTGAATCTAATTTAAGGAAGGAAAAAAACTGAGACATGGTGATGGTGTTGAATAATAAAATAGTAGGGTCAAAGGTGTGAAGGTCTCCACGTGGCTGGAGTAGCTGGAGTTGGAGTTATGTACTCTGTTCTGGTACAACACGTGATTCAGTAGCATCATGTCATCATATTCAGTTGGTAAATGGACTAATGTCACACTAACGTGAAAGATGTGTTGGCTCATACATAATCTTTCCTAAACAAGAAAAGAATTCTTCAACAAGAAAAGAAGAAAATCTTAGGTTGGAGCTACAGCTGGAGCCCTTTCTGTTTCATATTTTAATAAAATTAAAAAATGAGTGCCTGTCAGGAGAATCGCTTGAACCCAGGAGGGGGAGGTTGCAGTGAGCCGAGATTGCGCCATTGCCCTCCAGCCTGGGTGACAGAGCGAAACTCCATCTCAAAAAAAAAAAAAAAAAAATTAGTGCCTGTGATGCAGGAAGGGGAACCAGCTTCACTGGCTGAGAGCTCTACTTCCACCTACACTATTTCAGAATGGCAAGCCAGCTCTTTAACTCCGTGTGTGTGTGTGTGTGTGTATTCTTAAATATCTTACAGTTGTTCTGTTCTATTTGCCTGGGCTGTACAAGTTTCCTTGTGCTTTTGGTAGTGTTCTGGTTACAAATTGGTATAGATTTTGAGTGTGCTTCCAGAATTTTCTCCATAAGCTCAGTTACTTTAGTGGATAATTTTACAAAACAGGAGGTTTTTCAGGAATTTCTATGTGGTGTTATGGCAAAAATATCTGCATAGTAAATGAACTGGAAGGATAAAGGTTAGAGAGTGAGTCTATGAAATAGAGATTTTGGAGATGAAGTATTAGGGAAGGACAAGCTCTAGGTCATTACTATGTGAGTGGTAATCAAGATAGAAGGGAGGAAAAAATGACTGAAGTGAAAGGTATCAAGGAACAAGAGGTCAGAGTATTGAATGGGTGACCTGTATCAGATGTTTTTAACCTGGGTCTACTGACCCTGTATTGCTAGAATTCAGGGAGGTCTTGAGCTGGAATGGAAAAAAAAAGACTTTAAAAAATAATAATAGTAAAGATAGGGTCTTGCTATGTTGCCTGAGTTGATCTTGAACTTTTGGCCTCAAGCAATCCTCCTGCCTTGGCTTCCCAAAGTGTTGGGATTACAGGTGTGAGCCACAATGCTTGGGCAAAAGTGTGTCTTTCTTTTCACTAGTGATTAACTTAAATTTATTATTTTCTTCAATTATTAATATAGGCAATAAACCATGAGAATAGTGGAAGAAGCTGTGACTTTGTCACTAATATAAATCACTGACATTTTCAAATCATAATATAGTTGTTCCAAATACGTTGAAATGTTGCTTATGCTCATCATTACTTTATTTTTTATTTATTTTATTTTTTTTGAGACAGAGTCTTACTCCGTTGCCTAGGCTGGAGTGCAGTGGAGCGATCTTGGCTCACTGCAACCTCTGTCTCCTGGGTTCACATGATTCTCCTGCTTCAGCCTCCCTAGCAGCTGGGATTACAGGTATGCGCCACCATGGCCAGCTAATTTTTTTTGTACTTTTAGTAGAGACGGGGTTTCACCATGTTGGCCAGGCTGGTCTCAATCTCCTGACCTCAAATGATCTGCCCTTGGCCTCCCAAAGTGCTGGGATTATAGGAGTGAGCCACCGTACCTGGCCCTCATCATTACTTTAAAATTATAAAAATAATTTGATCCAGCCGGGCACGGTGGCTCAAGCCTGTAATCCCAGCACTTTGGGAGGCCGAGGCGGGTGGATCACAAGGTCAAGAGATCGAGACCATCCTGATCAACATGGTGAAACCCCGTCTCTACTAAAAATACAAAACATTAGCTGGGCATGGTGGCGCGTGCCTGTAATCCCAGCGACTCAGGAGGTTGAGGCAAGAGAATTGCCTGAACCTAGGAGGCGGAGGTTGTAGTGAGCCGAGATCACGCTATTGCACTCCAGCCTGGGTAACAAGAGTGAAACTCCGTCTCAAAAAAAAAAAAAAAAAATAATAATAATAATAATAATTTGATCTGCTACTAGAAAGTGTTAAATGTTTTAATAAGTACCAGTAATTTATATTTTAATGTTTTGATACATTATATTTTAATATAGTTAGTTTCTTTGTAATCCTATTATTTTATTTTATACATTTTAAAACATTATAATCAGAAGTGATCCATTCATCAGATTTCCAAAGGAGTCCATGACACCAAGTCAAAAGCCCTTGATCTATATGAGAGATACTGAACAACAAGGACAGGAGTAGCAGAGAAGGAAGACAGGGAAGACAGTGAGCCCAGTGCTGTTTCTTATAGGAGGTTTTAAATTGCATCTTGTCTTATTTATTTATATAAAATTAATAATTAATAAACAAATATGTATTCTATTAAGAAATGTTTTTATAACAGGAAAAATTAATTCATAGATAACAGAATTTCCTTTCTTCTTCATCCTGTTCTTTTTTAACAACTTTTCTATCTTCCTCATTATCATCACCACCACACCACCATCCATCATCAAACATTTACTGACTAGTCTAGACTGTATTACATGCATTATATATATTAATTTCAGAGCAAGAAGTGATCATAGAGCCACATTTAGTTAAACTACCATTTTCTATATGAAGAAACTAAGATTAAGTGGTGTTAAATTATTTGTCAGCAAGTCTGTGGCAAAACAGGGACCAGGACCCAGCACAAAGAAATAATGTATACTACATGAAGAACGTATGCTGGATTCACCAGGGAAAAGAGAAGATTTTTTTCCCCATTAGACACTGTCAGATGACTTTTTAAAAAGTATATAAAGCAATGGCAAATTTATCAGTAAGTCCCTTTCCTCACATTTTCATAAGAACTAAATATTATCAATCTTGTTAAGTTTTGCCAGTCTAATGAGTGAAGATAGTGTTGTATTGTGTTTTATTTTGCATTTTCATGATTATTGGTGAGGTTAAACATCTTTCCATATGCTATTGGATATTTATATTATATTTCCTCTTCTATGAGTTACCTATTTGTATATTTGCCTATTTTTCTATTATAGTATGTTTCTTATCAACGTACAAGGGCTTTTGCTACCTTAGGGATATTAGCGCTTTGATTTGCAATTATTCATTTCTAATTTATCGTTTGACTTCTGACTTTCTTAAGTTTTCTCTTAAATGTTCCCTTCAATTCATTTTTCTTTCCACTCCTTAAGTGTGTGGCATTCCCAGGCATGACTGAGGCTTCAAGTGGCATCCCTGACATATCTTTTCAAAAACATTTTTGAAGATGGTATTTCATCATGAGTCAGAATTAAGTTTTTACATTTACTTCAAAAAAGGCTAATTTCAGCAATCTAATGGAGGGGCTTAATGTTTCTGTGAAGAGCATAGAGATATTTGTAATACTCACCCTCAGTTGGTAGTTGGGTCATGAGTTCCTCAAGTTCCTCTTCCTTGATTTTAATTCCCATGTTTTCCAAAAATGTCTCCATTTTTTTTATTTTGACCTTTGGCCCTTAAGAAAGAAGCGCATGGAATAAGAATATGAGTATTGATGCTTAAGAGTGAAAAGTGTTAATCATGGTCATGCATCAGAAATCCTAATTGGTGGTTAAAGCACAAGAATACAAAGAAACTATTAATGTGTGTGTATGTGTGTGTCTCCCTAGATTTAGATATGTCTGTTAAAAGTTGGAAAGAATTGAGAAAGATAACTGCTGAATTGTTAACAGTATTTACCTTTATGAGGAGGGGATTTGTGGAAGATATGAGAACTTCCATTTCTTTTTTATTTTTAGAAACAGGGTTTTTCTCTGTAGCCCAGGATGGAGTGCAGTGTTGTGATCATAGCTTACTGCATGCAGCCTTGAACTCCTGGGCTCAAGCAATCATTCTGCCTTAGCCTCCTGAGTAGGTAGGATTATAGGTGTGTGTCACCATGCCCAGGTAATTTTAAAATTTTTTGTAGAGATGGGGTCTCACTATGTTGTCCAGTCTGGTCTTAAACTCCTGGCCTCAAGTGATCTGCCTGCCTTGGTCTCCCAAAGTGCTGAGATTACAGGCATGAGCCACTGTGCCAGCCTGTTTCAGTTTTTTTTTTATAAAGTGGTTAGAGTTGCATAGATTTCTCATAGTATTTTAGTGTTTTAAAACATCTTTTTCTAATTGACGATTGAAATAATAATTATTTACATAGAGTTAGTATGGAAAGATAGGGTATTTTTCTTAATACTGATTCAGGGTCTCTGCTTTGGTTTTCCCTGAGAGGTTAATAGAGAGGAGTAGGCAGGTCTAATGACTCATGGTTAAAACAACAACTAATTATATAAGGCTAGCCAGAAAACTGTTAGAAACTTCCTATAGTGATATGATGTTTTAACTTATATCCCAAAAATCCAATGCATTCAAAGAAGATAAGTTATGTCTTAACAGTGAATCAGTAAATTGGCAGGAAGTGAAGTTGGAACATTTAAAAGAAAATGCCAAACATAAGAATTTTTTTTTTTTTTTTTTTGAGACGGAGTTTCACTCTTGTTACCCAGGCTGGAGTGCAATGGCGCGATCTTGGCTCACCACAACCTCTGCCTGCTGGGTTCAAACAATTCTCCTGCCTCACCCTCCTGAGTAGCTGGGACTATAGGCTGCACCACCATGCCCAGCTAATTTTTGTATTTTTAGTAGAGATGGGGTTTAAGACCAGACTGGACAACATAGTGAGACCCCATCTCTACAAAAAAGGTCTCTGTCCTCCTACAGAGACCAGGATGGTCCGATCTCTTGACCTCATGATCCACCCGCCTCGGCCTCCCAAAGTGCTGGGATTATAGGCGTGAGCCACTGCGCCTGGCCTTTTTTTTTTTTTTTTTTTTTGAGAGTTTTGCTCTTGTTGCCCAGGCTAGAGTGCAATGGTGTGATCTTGGGCTCACTGCAACCTCCACCTCCCATGTTCAACCAATTCTCCTACCTCAGCTTCCCAGCTGGGATTATGGGCATGCACCACCACGCCTGGCTAATTTTTGTATTAGTAGACACAGGGTTTCTGCATGTTGGTCAGGCTGGTCTCGAACTCCCAACCTCAGGTGATCCACCCACCTCAGCCTCCCAAAGTGCTGGGATTACAGGCGTGAGCCACTGCGCCTGGCCATGATTTTTTTTACTTGTTTTTTCACCATGCTTCCTACTCACCGTTGAGGGCCTTCACACCTTTGAGCAATCTATTCTTATATACCTTTCCACTAGCTGTAAGACAAGACATAATTCAGAATATGGGTTAAATGACGGGAAGACTAACAAAATCAGCACAAAGACAACATAGCATCCATAATTTCAGGGGAAAAAAACCTTCCAATTTATTTGGAAGTTTCTTCTCTTTCACACTTAAGTAAGAATGAAAACAAAGATAAAGAACGCTTTCCCTTTTATAAATCTATCCATTGGTTGAATTAAATACAGTTATGTCCCTGTTTCTGTCTTTTTTCTTCCTTCTCTTTCTTCCCTGGTTTCCTTCTCATTGGTCATGATGAGATTAGGAAGTGCTCCCAGGGTGACAGGATAATTTAGCCTGGATGGTGGGATACCCCCAGTGAAAGATGTTGCTAGCTTTCAGTATTAAAATATAAGCAACAAAACAGGCAACAAGATTTCTTTTCTTTTTCTTTCTTTTTTTAAAATTTTTTTTGGAGAGATGGACTGACCTTGTGATCGTCCCGCTTCTGCCTCCCAAAGTGCTGGGATTACAGGCGTGAGCCACTGAGTCTGGCCAAGATTTCTTTGGTGTGAGAACTGTGTTTTCTAAAGGAGTTTTACTGGGCATATACATGTATAATTTAAGGAGTTGCCACACACGAGCCCCTAAATCCAAGCTTCAAAGGATGTGCTAAATACTTACTGCGAATTGGCAGAGTTTTCAGCAGTTTCTTGTGGTCCTTATCAGTGAGCACGAGCCCCATTTTCCTCAGCACTTTGCCCAGATTACTGACACTAACTTTCTCTCCTTTGAAAAGATGAGAATTGTTAACAAATAAGAATTTTAGGAAAAGAATAATGATTTCAAATTATGAAAAAATTACTGGCCATGCATGGTGGCTCACACCTGTAAACCCAGCATTTTAGGAGGCCAAATGAAATTTGATAAACTACATAGATTCAAAGGACATGTGGATACAAGGACATATGAGCTTTTCCTTCTCTTTTCTGTCTCTTGCATTAAAAGCATGAATTCTGTTTCTGAACAGTATAAAATCTGTTGAGAATTTATACTTTTAATTCAAGAGAAATAATAGCTCATATAATTCAGATACAAGGCAAATACTATCATATTACCTGGATTATGGGGCCTTTTGACAGGTAAGCATATTTCTTGGCTAGCTTGCATAAGCTTTCACCTTGAGACTTGAAACTGACTTATATTTTGGTTGTTTAAGCAATATAAGGTGGAAAAACATTATCGTTCACAACTCTACATAATATGTCTTTACAGGAAAAATTCCAAAGCAAAGCGTAAGATTATAAAACAAACATTTAACCATTAAATATGTAGGGGTGTCAATTTAGCATGTCACTGATAGCCTGAAGAGAAACCTACTGTTTACATACATTTTTTATGAGACAGGTTTTTTGCTCTGTCACCCAGGGAGGAGTGCAGTGGTGATCATAGCTCACTGCAGCCTCAAACTTCTGGGCTCAGCCACCTCAGCCTGCCAAGTAGCTGGGACTATGGGCATATGCCACCATGCCCCCCCTTTTTATTTTGTAGAGACATAGTTTTGTTTTGTTGTCCAGGCTGGTCTTGAACTCCTGGCCTCAAGTGATCCTCCTGCCTCAGCCTCTAAAAGTGCTGGGGTTACAACAGTGAGCCAACATGTCCAGCCAAATACTACTGTTTAAAAACATTTAAATTTTTTCTCTATAGAGCATTAAGGTCTTAGTTAAAAATGAATGTCCTCACCATGACTTCTGACTTACCTGTAAAAGCTTTTGCTTCATCCATTACCATATTCACATCAACCATTTCATTTTCTGGAAGAAAAGACAAGTCAGACATAGAGGCCAAATCTTAGACAACTGACAAGCAAATTTAAGTTGTAATTAAAGGGTTGGAGTACAGCTATTTTTTCTATTTTTCTCTGGTAATTCTTTGAACTCAAAGTGAAGAAGAAGTAGAGGACAGAAATAGAGGATAGATCAAGCTGTAAGTTTAAAGTAAATATCTATTTAATACCACTTTCTATAAAGTATTAAATGACTCTTAACATTGAGGTGAAGCAAGTTTAATAGTAATCTCTTCTGTAGGTCTTTCTCTTCCTTCAGACCCATAATGGGAGCATATCTTAATAGACATGATTGAATTTGAAACCTAGAAGTCACTTATGTACATAAACAGTGAACCCTTAAACCCTGAAAGAATGCTATCTTCTTCATCTCCAGTTTTGCTTATGTTCCCCACCCCTACCCCTCAAGACTGTAATCTAGTTGAGTGCAGAAATTATGCCCTAATTTTATTATACTACTACTGGGTTAAAATTTTCCACTCTCTAGTTCAGTGTTTTGCATTTAGTATATGCTAGCTAAACAAATGAAAGAATTCAGTGATGCAGAAACAGTCACACTGTTGGATGAGAAAAAAAATTGTCATAAAAAAATAAAGGATTCCAAAATATACCTCATCAGTAACAATATTTTCCACCAGGAAGCATTTTTTAGCATTCCTAGTAAATGTGTAGGGACAATATTACAATTAAACAGTAATTTATGGTGATTTTTTTCATGATAGGAGGAAGGGCCAGATAAAATTATGGATAATTATCAATGTTGTTAAGCCCAGGGAGTGTGAGGTTTTAAACTACAAATTATGGCTGGGCGTGGTGGCTCACGCCTGTAATCCCAGCACTTTGGGAGGGCAAGGCAGACAGATCACTTGAGGTCAGGAGTATGAGACCAGCCTGGCCAACATGGTGAAACCCCGTCTCTACTAAAAATAACAAAAATTAGTCTGGTGTGGTAGCACACACCTGTAATTCCAGCTACTTGGGAGCCTGAGGCAGGCTAATCACTTGAACCTGAAAGGCAGAGGTTGCAGTGAGCTGAGATCGCACCATTGCACTCCAGCCTGGGCGACAGAGTGAGACTCTGTCTCAAAAAAAAAAAACAAAAAAAAACAAAACATTAGCTGGGCGTAGTAGTGTATGCCTGTAATCCCAGATACTCAGGAGACTGAGGCATCAGAATTGCTTTAACCTGGGAGGTGGAGTCTGCAGTGAGCCAAGATTGCACCACTGCACGTCAGCCTGGGTGACAGAGCAAGACTCAGTCTCAACAAAACAAAACAAAAACTACAAATTAAGCCAAAACTGTTTTCTACGTTAGGGCCAGCTACAGGTGAAGGTAGCATGGAAGATGTTTGCTGATAGCAGTGGCCTACTTTAGTTCACCTGACCATCACTAGTTGAGAACAGAAACCCTGGATTAGGGGAGAAAAACTATTTATTTTGGGTTGGCATGTGCTGGCTCTACTGAAAGATGTGCTGTCTGGCTCTCTGATGGAAGCTTGTTTTTCAAGGGGAAGAGACATCTAATAAGGAAATCTTAGTCAGAGGCTCATTCCTTAGCAATTTCTTCCTAAAGTATTATTCTAGCTTTGCCTCTGACAGTTTTGTCTAGTTAAAATGGTCTTATTGAGTTATTAATGAAATTTTGTCTTATTATAAAAAGGTTTACTTGGGAAGTAAGTAAGGGAAGTAAGGGAGGGAGGGAAAGAGGAAAGGACGTAGGAGAATGTATGAAGCAAGTATGGCAAAATAGTAACATTTGTTAACTCTGACCAGTAGGCACGCAGTGTTTGTTATATTGTTCTCTGTTTTTAGGTATGTTTGAAATATTTCCTATGTTTCTCCCAGGTACAGTGGGATCTGAAACACTTACTGTCAGCTGGCAGATGGTCGAGTAGGTCCTCATATTCCTCTTTCCCAACTTCAATTTCCATGTTCTTCAGAAGAGTTTCCAGATTACTGACATTGACTTTTTTTCCTTAGGAATTAAGAGGATGGAATAAGAAATACAAGTAATTCCAAGAAGTGGAAAATGCTAGCTTTATTGTTATTATTATTATTTTTGAGATGGAGTCTCACTCTTGTTGCCCAGGCTGGAGTGCAATGGCATGATCTCGGCTCACTGCAACCTCTGCCTCCCGGGTTCAAGTGGTTCTCCTGCCTTGGCTTCCCAAGTAGCTGGGATTACAGGTGCACACCACCATGCTCAGCTAATTCTTGTATTTTTAGTGGAGATGCGGTTTCACCATGTTGGCCAGCCTAGTCTCAAACTCCTGACCTCAGGTGATCCACCTGCCTTGGCCTCCCAAAGTGCTGGGATTACAGGCATGAGCCACTGTGCCTGGCCCAGAAGATGTCAGCTTTAAATATGTATTTATTTTAAGTGGAGAGTGAAATAATGTATTGGCCACTCAGAAGTATCAGAGTTGAGAAAAGAAAATGCTCCCTCAACACTGAACTATAATTTTCAATTGAAGTAATCATGGATGAAAAAGAATTAGACAAATTTGATGAATTGTGATAAAGATAACAAACCTAAAAGAAAGCAGAATTTCTTTTTTATTTTTAAGATAGGATTTTGCTCTGTCACCATGCTGGAGTGCCGTGGCATGATCCTGGCTCATTGCAGCCTTGACCTCCTGGGCTCAAGTGATCCTCCTGCCTCAGCCTCCCAAGTAGTTGGGGCCACAAGTGCATGCCAGCAGGACAGCTAATTTTCTTATTTTGTGAGGAGATACGGTCTCCCTAAGTTGCCCAGGCTGGTCTTGAACTCCTGGGTTCAAGTGATCTTTTTTCCTTGGCTTCTTAAAGTGCTTAGATTAGGGATGTGAGCCATTGTGCATGCTGAAAGCAGAATTTCAAACTTGCTACAGTGACATATTACTAGCAGTGACTCGCTCAAATATAGTTATACTAAAAGAAGGATGGTAGGTTATGAGGCATAAATTCAGAATCAGTAAATAGCGTGTTAGATATAGTGAACTCCAAGTTTCTCTTCAAAGAATCAGTATGTCAGTATGTTCAGCTCTCTTATTCTTTAATTCTCTATTTTAAAGTTTAACTTCCTGGTTCTCTGTGCCCCCTTGCCTCTAGTTTTGGTAAACAACTTCCCTGCCAGCTCTAATCAATAGTTCACATCTGTTTGCCTGTCCCCTGCTCTGTCCTGACTCATCCTGATCATCTGCTCCAGTCACCTGCTCCATCCTGACTCATCCGGTCACCTGCTTTGACCTGAGTCACCCCCAGTTACCTGCTCTGCCATAACCGTTTTTTCCGCCAAACCACTCACCCTGCCACTCTGGCTCATACTTCTGTTCTCTTTAAAATAGCTAATTGGAATTAGCTTAGACTGTGCAGTCTAACCCTAGCTAACAGGAGAACAACACAGCAGCAGGGACTGCGTCAGGGATAAGAATCTCTTCCCCTCCCTTGTTCAGGTGTGTGTTTGCCATTGTTCCATCTGTGAGACGCACCCTTCTGTAGAAGTAAATTGTCTTACTGAGAAATTAATATTCGAGTGCTACTTCTTTTGCAGCACCAAAAATTTTCATATAACAAGTGGAACAGCGAGATTCCAATCAGTGAGAAATTCAAAAAAGCAAATGTAAAGCACAATTACATTTTAGCTGCTGTTCTCATATTCTTACCTTTGAGAGGCTTCACACTATCCAGTAATTTTTTCTTATATACCTTTCCATCTGTAAGATATGGTAAAATTCAAGTTAAAAAAAGGATAAGAAACTCTTTAATTTTATAAGACATGATTCACCTAGAAATTTACTCTATTTCACCCTTGAATAATAAAAAAGATAAGAACTGCTCTCAATGTGGTCAATCTATCCCCCAGCTGAAACACATAGCAGCAGTTGATGTCCCTTAAACACAAACACACACACAGAGGTGCTGCTTTTTTTTTTTTTTTTTTTTTTTTTTTTCAGAGTCTTGTTTTGTCACCCAGGCTGGAGTGTGTAGTGGTGCTATCTCAGTTCATGGTAACCTCCATCTCCCGGATTCAAGTGATTCTCTCTCCTGTCTCAGCCTCTGGTGCAGCTAGGATTACAGGTGTGCACCACTGGGCCTGCTTAATTTTTGTATTTTTAGTAGAGATGGGGTTTCACCATCTTGGCCAGGCTGGTCTTGAACTTCTGGCCTCAAGTGATCCACCTGCCTTGGTCTCACAAAGTGTTGGGATTAAGGCATGAGCCACTGTGGCCAGCTAGTTCTTCCCCCTTCCCTCTTATTCCTTCCTTCCTCCTTCTTCTTTCTCCTCCTCCTCCTCCTCCTCCTTCTTCTTCTTCTTCTTCTTCCCCTTCTTCTTCTTCCTCCTCTTCTTCTTCTTCTTCTTTCCTCTCCTTCTTCTTCTTCTTCCTCTTCTTCTTTTCTCCTTCTTCTTCTTCTTCCTTCTTCCTTCTTCTTCTTCTTCTTCTTCTTCTTCTTCTTCTTCTTTTCTCCTTCCTCCTCTTCTTCTTCTTCTTTCTTCTTCTTCTTTCTTCTTCTTCTTCTCCTCCTCCTCCTCCTTATCCTCTTCTTCTTTCTTCTTCCTCCTTCTCTTCTTCTTCTTCCTTCTTTCTTCTCTCCTTCTCCTTCTTCTTCCTTTCTTCTTCTTCTTTTCTTGCACTTTGCCCTTCTCTCCTTTCCCTGCCTATGCTCTAGGCCCATGAGGTGTTCCTATCTTTATTCCCTAATGGATATCCTAAAGGGATGATATGAAAAATAGTTATTGACTTGAACAGTAATAAAAAACAATATTTAAATACAAAATTAAAAATATTTTTGTTTTCTGCACAAACTCCTTCCATAAACAGAGGTAAAATTTAATTAGAATGGAGAACAGAGGCCTTATGCACCACTGCAACTCAGGCTTATGCAACCTGTCTGTTCCAGAGGTCTCCATCCTGTGGCAGGAGTATCTGTAGTATTGAAAAACTCCTCAATGCCGGGCATGTGTCTGTAGTAGTCTCTGTTACAATCCATCTGCATTCTCATTCCTGCTCTCTCAGAACCAAACTCCTAAGAAGGCTACAACTCTCATAACTGGACCTTTGAGAGAATAATCTGGAGGAAGTGCTGGACAAAATGAGTAACCACAGCCTTAAGAATATGTAGGGTGGGCCGGCCGAGCATGGTGGCTCACACCTGCAATCCCAGCACTTTGGGAGGCTGAGGTGGGCAGATTACTTGAGATCAGGAATTCGAGATCAGCCTGGCCAACATGGCGAAACCCTGTCTCTTCTAAAAATACAAAAAATTAGCTAGGCATGGTGCTTGGCGCCTGTAAAACCAGCCACTCAGGAGGCTGAGGCAGAAGAATCACTTGAACCTGGGAGATGGAGGTTGTAGTGAGCCAAGATTGTGCCACTGCAGTTCAGCCTGGGGAGACAGAATGAGATTCTGTCTCAAAAAAAAGAATATGTGGGATGAATTCAAATGGATACTGAGCATTTGCTGCCCAGGGTGCAACTTCTGCCCCAAGGGCACTATCCCCCTTGGTAATGTGCAGCCTTACTCTTGCCTGGGGAAAACTGGGGCAAGGAGTGATGGGGGAAAGGATATCTACTGGGGTCTCTAGGACTGGGCAGGAAGCACAGCTCTGAAGCACAGGCTGACCTCTAGGGTATTTATGGGTAGTTCTGTCCAAGTGCCCAGGATGGGAAACTTTTGAGGGGCTGTCTATGCTACTGACTAGACTGGATACTGAAAGTATAAGCACACAGTCCTGGAGGCCCCCTGCTCTCACGTGGTTTTCCCTTTTAATTGCTGGATTGTGGCGCGATAGGAAGGCTGACTGAGGATGTTGGGGGCATTGGGGGGATGCTACCCAACTACAGAAGACTTTAGTGTATAGCTATTAAATATTTAGCAGAGGCCTACTGGCTGAATGCAAAAGAGAACTTTCTCATTTCCAGATTAAAACATAAAAAGAACAGGGTTTCTTTCTTTTCTTTTCTTTTTCTTTTTTAGATGGAGTCTCACTGTGTTGCCCAGGCTGAAGTGCAGTGGCACTATCTTGGCTCACTGCAACCTCTGTCTCCTCAGTTCAAGTGATTCTCATGCCTCAGTCTCCAGAGTAGGGACTACAGGCATCTGTCACCATGCCCAGCTTATTTGTTTTGCATTTTTAGTAGAGACAGTGTCCCTCATGTTGGCCAGGCTGATCTCGAGCTCATGACCTCAGCTGATCTGCTCACCTCAGCCTCCCAAAGTGTTGGGATTACAGGTGTGAGCTACCACGCCCAGCCAAGAACAGGGTTTCTTATGCCAGAATTTCATTTCTTAAGGGGTGTGATGGTTAATACTGAGTGTCAACTTGATTGGATTGAAGGATGCAAAGTATTGATCCTGGATGTGTCTGTGAAGGTGCTGACAAAGGAGATTAACATTTGAATCAGTGGGTTGGGAAAGGCAAACCAACCCTTAATCTGGGTGGGCACCATCTAATCAGATGCCAGCATGGCTAGAATACAAAGCAGGCAGAAAAATGTGAAAAGACGAGACTGGCCTAACCTCCCAGCCTACATCTTTCTCCCCTGCTGGATGCTTCCTGCTTTTGTACGTCGGACTTCAAGTCCTTCAGTTTTGGAACTCGGACTGGCTCTCCTTGCTACTCAGCTTGCAGACGGCCTATTGTGGGACCTGTGATCATGTGAGTTAATACTTCTTAATAAACTTCTATCTATCTATCTATCTATCTATCTATCTATCTATCTATCCATCCATCCATCCCTCCCTCCCTCCCTCTCTCCCTCCCACTAGTTCTGTCTCTCTAGAGAACCCTCTCCAGCGTTCTCCAGAACACAGAGGCTTTCTCACAGTTCTTGCCCAGAAGACTATGCTACCACAGCTCCATGAACAAGCACCATGACGGTATGCTAAATACTCACCACAGATTGGCAGAGTGTTTAACAGCATTGAGTGTTCTTTTTCTGTTAGCTCGATCCCCATGTTGCTCAGCACATGTTTTAAGTTATTAGCTTCAACCTTTTCTCCTTTGAATAGATGGGAATTGTTTCAGAAGAAAATATTAAGAAATTTAATTATTCCAAGTTATAAAAAATGTAATCCAGTACAGCACTATTTCTAATGGCACAATGAGGTATACATATATGAGTTGACTTCACCTTACATAGAGTTATTTTGAGATTCAGTACCTGAAAGCATTCTTTAATCCATAAGCAGATAACACTTCTGATCTGGGTATGGGTCAGGATAACATGGAGCAACAGGGGGGTGGCTCAGGGACTTATGATGTGCTATGGCTTAAATGTTTGTGTCCCTTCCAAAATTCATGTTGAAACTTAACCTCAAATGCAACAGTATTAAGAGGTAGGGCCTTTAGGAAGTGGTTAGGTTGTAGGGGTTCCTCCCTTGCGAATTGGATTAAGGCCCTTATAAGAGATGTCTCATATAGCAATCAGTCCCTTTTTTTTTTTTTTTTTTGTCTGTCTGCCCTTTCTCATGTGAGGACACAGTGTTTAAAGCACCATCTTGAAGCACAGAGAGACCCTCACTAGACATCAAATGTGCCTTGATCTATCTTGGACTTCTCAGCCTCTAGAACTTTGAGAAAGAAATTTCTATCATTTTTGAATCACCGAGTTTGTGATATTTTTTTATAGCAGCATGCATGGATTAAGGCAGATGGTATATAGAATCTATGTAATTCTACCTGCAAGTAATATTTCTGTTTCTACTTCATGGGCTGAATTATGGGACTAATTGTTCATAGTGATCACATTTCCTGATGTGAAAACTTCACACTGAGATTCACTGTGTTCACTGATATTTTTGTTCTTTAAACACTAGTGAAATGAACACACTATTGGCCTACACATCAGACAAGTTAATACCTCTTTTTAAGAGTACTCACAGTTTTCCTAAATCTTTAATATTCCAAAATGTTGTCAACAAGACAAAATTATCAATAAGTGGTAAAAGAGCAGAATGAACTTATCAATGATTTCTGGAGGGGGTGAACTACTGCTTTAAAAGGTAGTTATCTACAAAGCATCAATATCTCAATTTTATTGTGTCTTATATAAATTCCCACTCACCTGTAAAAGCTTTTGCTGCATCCATCAAGACATCTAGGTCAAACTTTTCCTTTTCTGTAAGAAAACTCAGCATTTAGATTGAGAGTTGAAGCTACTGAGACTTAAAAAATTATATAAAATCCTTAAATTGAAATTTAGTGAACAGAATTACAGTGATTTTTTAGAATCATTATTCTAGAATTTTTATTTTTATTTTTTCAATCCAAAGGAGCATGTACTAAAGGGAAAAAGATTCAAGCTTTAAGTATATATTCATTCAACTTAATCGAATACTTACTTTTATTTCATTAACTGTTAGCTGTTAGAAATATTTGGAGTATTATGGTGAGTGATGTTGTGTTTGATTGAAGTTAGCCCTATCCTACAGATCAGTCCTCCTCCTTTCAGACCTAGTTCTCTTGCATTGAGTGCAAGGCTGAGATGTGTTAGAGCAAGAGTTCTCAAAGTGTGGTCCATGGACCTCTATATTCACCCAATATCCTTTGCCATTTTCACTGTGTTGACATTTGTGCTGATGGTGCAAAAGCAATGTTGGACAAAACCGCTGGCATCTTTACATGAATGAAGGCAGTGACAACTAAGTGTACTAGCAGTCATTGTGTTCTTCACTGCACATACTTGTAGTAAGATGTAAACTTCACTTAAGGATGTCCTTGGTAAAGCAGCAAAAGTTATTAATTTTTATTAAATAGTAACCCTTGAGTGCATGAAACACTTATACTGAACTACGACAATTTATTGAGGAAAAGAACTTGTATGATTGTTTGAGTTGCAAGAAAACTAGCTGCATTTTCATGGGATACCATTTTCACTGGAGAAAATGACTAATGGGCAAAATACAGTTTTTCAGAGTTGGATATCTGCCAGACACCTTCTTGAAAATGATCAAAGTAATCCTGTCATTTTAAGGAAAAACCCCAACAACAGATGTTTTAATGGTTGAGTTCAAGATTTAAAACAACAATTTGAATTTTGGAAACCTTATTGTGACTTGATAGTTTCCCAACATGCAAATATTATTTTAATAGGATTGATGGCGATATTAATAAATGTAGTTTCAAACAAGCCAGCATAATAACCAGCTAACACAATGACAGAATCAAATCCACACATATCAGTAATAATCCTGAATGTAAATGGGCTAAATGGCCCACTTAAGAGGCACGGAGTGGCAAGCTGGATAAAAAAGCGAGACCCAATAGTATGCTATCCTCAAGAGACCTATATCAAATTTAATGATACCCACAGGCTCAAAACAAAGAGATGGAGAAAAATCTACCAAGCAAATGGAAATCAGGAAAATGTAGGGGTTGCAATTCTAATTTCAGATAAAATGGACTTTAAATCAACAAAGATCAAAAAAGACAAAGAAGGGCATTACATAACAGTCAAGGGTTTAATTCAACAAGAAGATGTAACTATTCTAAATATGTATGCACCCAACACAGGAGTGCCCAGACTCATAAAGGAATTTCTTAGAGACCTACAAAGATATTTAGATTCCTACACAATAATAATGGGAGACTGCAACACTCCACTGACAGAATTAGATCACTGAGGCAGAAAATTATCAAAGATATTCAGGAACTGAACTCAATACTGAACCAAATTAATCTGATAGACTTCTACAGAACTCTCTACAGAAGTTCTCTACAGAACTCCCAAAACAACATAATGTACATTCTTCTCATTGCCACATGGCACATACTCTAAAATTGACCACATAATTGGACATAAAACAATTCTCAGCAAATAAAAAAGAACTGAAATACCAAACAACAGTGTAATAAAAATGGAGGTCAAGAATAAGAAAATTGCTCAAACCACATAATTACGTGGAAACTAAATAACATGCTCCTGAATGACTTTTGCATAAATAATGAAATAAAGGCAGAAATCAGTAAGTTCTTTGAAACTAATGAGAATAAAGATACAACATACAAGAATCTCTAGAACACAGCTAAGGTAGTGTAAAGAGGAAAATTCATAGCACTAACCACCCACATCAAAAAGTTAGAAAGATCTTAAATTAACAACTTAACATTACAACTGAAAGAATTAGAGAAGCAAGAGCAAGTAGACCCCAAACCTAGCAGAAGATAAGAAATAACCAAAATCAGAGCTGTACTGAAGGAAACTGAGACTCTAAAAACCATTCAAAACATCAACAAAACCAGGAGTTTTTTTTTTTTTTTTGGAAAAAATTTAAAAGGCCACTGGCTAGACTAATAAAGAAGGGAAAGATGATATAAATAAACATAATCAGAAATGACAAAAGGGGGTGTTATCACTGACCCCAAAGAAATAAAAACAACCAACAGAAACTATAAACATGTCTATGCATACAAACTAGAAAACCTAGAAGAGATGGATAAATTCCTGAACACATATATCCTCCCAAAACTGAACCAGGAAGAAATTGATTCCCTGAACAGACAAATAATGAGCTCTGAAATTGAATCAGTAAATAGCCTACCAACCTACCAAAAAGAAGCCCAGGACCAGAGGAATTCATAGCTGAATTCTACTAGATGTACAAAGAAGAGCTGATACTATTCCTACTGAAGCTATTCCAAAAAATTGAGGCTGCATCTAGTCATCCATCTTGAAAAAGAAATTGATTCTGACTCTTTGATTATTTTAGGTTAATGGTCCTTAGTCCCCATTAACCCATCTCCTAGCTTCTGAGTATCCTGGCATCTTCCCTATGGATCTCCTAATTCCTGCAGGTCACAGAAGACAGGGGCTGTGGCAGAGTCACCTGGGCCTCCCTGAGTGGAGAGCACAGAGCGGTGAAGAGTGAAACTAAGCTCAGTTTGTGGGTACAAGGAGACAAAGGCCCTGCCACATCCCTGAAGGCATATTGTTATTTTTAAAGGGAATTAATATAAGTATTATTAAATATAGTTAGTTTCTAATATAATAAATATTAATAGATACCCACAAAAACAGCATGAAGAAGTTTAAAAAAATTATTGATTGATTGATTTATTTTTAACAATGGTATCTCTCTATGTTGCTTAGGCTGGTCTCAAACTCCTGGGTTCAAGAAATCCTCCTATCTCGGCCTCCTAAAGTAGGAGGATTACAGACATGAGCCACTGTGCCTAGCCACATAAAGAATTTTTGAGGCCAAAAAGTTTGAGAACCCCTAGGTTAGAGAGTACATGCAATAATAGACAATATTCAGTTTGCTTGTTGTTTCCTTAACCAACTTCAGTGCTATTTATCATTTAGCCTAGAAGATCCTGATTCCCTACGTTTCCTAGTTCTCTTGTATTTTCCCAAGACCATAGGCTCCTCTGAGGTCAGATGCCCTTGCACCCCTAACAATTCTTAGTTTCTAGTAAATACATTACCCAGCTACAGTAAAAACATTTGCCAAGTAAATACAGTAGTGTTAATACAATGCTGACATATTTTTGGCATTTAATAAATATTTGTTGAATGAATCAATAAAAGAAAAAAATGTATTCAAAAATTAGGACCTTGATCCTTGAATAATGAAGTCCTGCCTTAGTAAAAGATAATTTTTCTAGCCCTTGGGGTTCCATGCTGTTATAAACTTGAAGCCAGACCCTCATGCCAGTGAAGATTCTTGGTGGTCTGCATCCTTACTAATGTTAGTTACCAAGCTCAGTTGAAGAAAGAAGAGACTCCTCTCCTCTTTCTCTTCAGAGTCTTTTCAACTCAGTCCTAATACTATCACAGTTATTATTATTATTTTTTATAAAAAAGATTGGTTAAGCTGAAAATGGTGAGTTCCCAAAGTGTGAGAGGGGAAAAAGTCTGCCTCAAAACACACATCCCCTCTGGGGAACCTGAAAATCCAGATCACAGGAGAAGGACTTAACCTTACCTAGAGCTGAAATGGATTTAGGGAGCCAAGTAAAATATAAAAATAGAACAAGCAGTGGGAAGAATCCTGTAGGCACTTCTAGTCCCCAGCTTGAGCCCAAGGAAGCCATTACTGGCCTTATCTCACAGGGGTTCTTGGGGAGGGCAGCCAGTGGAATTGGGGAGGGGCCACAGGGTGAAGGAAACTCCTAGTTGAACTTTGTAATAATTTTAACTGAGCATGAATTTTTCTGAGCAGAATCCAGTGGGGAGCAAATGGAAAGTACAGATAGGAGTACAGAAAACACAGCTGATGGTCTGGGCAGGTGGGGAAGGGTGAGGTCTGAGAGCCTAATTGCTTTCTCAGTGGGGAGGCTTATAGCCTGGGGCAAGATCTCAGCCCTGCTGCCACTGAGATCTCAAAGTCTGGAAAACATATTTGAGGGAATAATTGAGGAAAACTTCCGTGGCCTTGTTAGAGATCCAGACATTCAAATACAAGAAGCTCACCTAGGAAATTTATTGCAAAATGGTCATCACCTAGGCACACGGTCATCAGGTAATCCAAAGTTAAGATGAAGGAAAGAATCTTAAGAGCTGTGAGGCAAAAGTACCAGGTAACCTATAAAGGAAAACCTATGAGATTAACAGTATATTTCTCAGCAGAAACCCTATGAGCTAGAAGGAACTGGGGCCCTATCTTTAGCCCCCCTAAACTAAACAATTATCAGTCAAGAATTTTATATACAGTAAAACTAATTTCCATAAATAAAGGAAAGATACAGTCTTCTTCAGACAAATGCTTTGAGAATTCACCACTACCAAGCCAGCACTACAAGAACTGCTAAAAGGAGCTCTAAATCTTGAAACAAATCTTCAAAATATACCAAAATAGAACATCCTTAAAGCATAAAGCTCACAGGACCTATAAAACAATGATACAATAAATAAATAAATAACCACACATGGTAATCAGACAACAAATAGCATGATGAATAGAATGGTATCTCACATCTCAACACCAATGTTGAATGCAAATGCTCCACTTAAAAGATACAGAATGGCAGAATGGATAAGAATTCATCAACCAAGTATCTGCTGCCTTCAGGAGACTCACTTACCACAAAAGGACTCACATAAGGTAAGAGGTGGAAAAAGATATTCCATGCAAATGGACAACAAAACTGAGCAGGAGTAGCTATTCTTATATCAGACTAAACAAACTTTAAATCAATAGCAGTTAAAAAAGACAAAGAGGGGTATTATATAATGATAAAAGGACTTGTCTAGGAAAATATTACAATCCTAAATATATATGCATCTAACACTGGAGTTTCCAAATTTATAAAACAATTACTAATAGACCTAAGAAATGAGACAGCAACACAGTAATAAAGGGGGACTTCAGTACTCCACTGACAGCACTAGATGGGCCATCAAGACAGAAAGTCAACAAAGAAACAATGGATTTGTCATGTTTATATTCTAACCAAATGGGTCATGTGATTCTAATTTGCAGGATAAGGCATATTTTGTACATAAAAAAAGTAACAATGGATTTAAACTATATCCTAGAACAAATGGATTTAACATATTTACAGAACATTCCACCCAATAACTGCAGAATATACATTCTATTCATCAGCATATGGAACATTCTCCAAGACAGAACACATGATAGGCCATAAAACAAATCTCAACAAATTTAAGAACATTAAAGTAATAGCAAGTACTCTCTCACACCATAGTGGAATAAAATTGGAAATAAATTCCAAAAAAGGTTTGATGCAAATACATGGAAATTAAATAACCTGTTCCTGAATGATTGTTGGATAAACAATAAAATCAAGATGAAAATTTAAAAAGTCTTTGAACTGAATCATAATAGTGACATAACCTATCAAATCCTCTGGGATACAGAAAAGGCGATGCTAACAGGAAAGTTCATAGCCTTAAATGTCTACATCAAAAAGTGTGAAGGAGCACAAATAGAAAATCTAAGGACATATTTCAAGGAACTAGAGAAACAAGAACAAAACAAACCCAAATCAAGCATAAGAAATAACCAAGATCAGAACAGAACTAAATGAAATTAAAACAAAAAAAAATACAAAAGAATTATGAAACAAAAAGCTGGTTCTTTGAAAAGATAAATAAAATTGATAGACCATTAGTGATATTAACCAAGAAAAGAAGAGAGAAGATCCAAATAAGCTCAATTAGAAACAAAATAGGAGCTATTACAGCTGATACCACAGAAATACAAAAGGTCATTCAAGGCTGTTATGAGCACCTTTACATGAATAAACTAGAAAACCTAGAGGAGATGGATAAATTTCTGGAAATATACAACCCTCTTAGATTGAGCCAGAAAGAAATAGAAACTCTAAACAGACCAGCAACAAGCAGCAAAATTGAAATGGTACTAAAAAATTGCTAACAAAATAAAAGTCCAGAATCAGAGGGATTCACAGCTGAATTCTATCAGAAATTCAAAGAATTGGTAACAATCTCATTGACACTATTTCACAAGATACAGAAAGAGGGATTCCTCCCTAAATCATTCTATGAAGCCAGTATCACCCTAATACCAAAACCAGGAGAAGACATAACCAAAAAAGAAAACTATAGACCAATATCCCTGTTGAACATGGATGCAAAAGTCTTTAACAAAATACTACACTAGCTAACTGAATCCAACAACATATCAAAAAGATAATCCATCATGATCAGGTGAATTTCATATCAGGGATGCAGGGATGATTTAACACATGCAAGTCAATAAATGCTATACACCACATAAACAGAATTAAAAACAAAAATCACATTCTTATCTCAATAGATGCAGAAAAAGCTTTTGACAAAATCCAGCATTTCTTTATGATGAAAACTCTCAGCAAAATCAGCATACAAGAAACATACCTCAATGTAATAAAAGCGATCTATGACAAACTCACAGCCAACATAATACTAAATGGGGAAAAATTGAAAGCATTCCCTCTGATAGCTGAAACAAGATAAGGATGGCTACTCTCACCATTTCTCTTCAACATAGTACTAGAAGTCCTAGCCAGAGCAATCCGACAAGAGAAAGAAATAAAGGGCATCCAAATCGACAAAGAGGAAGTCATACTGTTGCTGTTTGCTGATGATATGATTGTCTACTTAGAAAACCATAAAGACTCCTCCAGAGAGCTTCTGAAAAACTGGTAAAATAATTCAGCAGTTTCCAGATACAAAATTAATGTATATAAATCAGTAGCTCGCCTATACACCAACAGCGATTAAGCTGAGAATCAAACCAAGAACTCAACCTCTTTTACAATAGCTGCAAAAAACAAAAACACCAAAAAAACTTAGGAATATACCTAACCAAGGAGGTTAAAGAAATCTACAAGGAAAACTACAAAACACTGCTAAAAGAAATGATAGAAGATACAAACAAATGGAAACCCATCCCATGCTCGTGGATGGGCACATTCAATATTGTGAAAATGACCACACTGCCAAAATCAATCTGCAAATTCAATGCAATTCCTACCAAAATAACACCATCATTCTTCACAGAACTAGGAAAAACAATCCTAAACTTCATATGGAACCAAAAAAGAGTCTGCATAGCCAAAGAAAGATTAAGCAAAAATAACAAATCTGGAGACATCACATTACCTGATTTCAAACTATACTATAAGGCCATAGACACCAAAACAACATGGTACTGGTATAAAAATCGTCATGTAGACCAATGGAATAGAATAGAGAACCCAGAAATAAACCCAAATACTTGCAACCAACTGATCTTCAACAAAGCAAACAAACACATAAAGTGAGAGGTCAGGCATGGTGGTTCACCCTGTAATCCCAGCACTTTAGGAGGCCAAGGCAGGGAGATCACTTGAGGCCAGGAGTCTGGCCAACATAGTAAAATCCCATCTTTACAAAACACCAAACCAAAACAAAAAAACAAAAAACATAAAGTGGGGAAAGGGCACCCTATTCAACAAATGGTGCTATGAAAATTGAGAAGCTACATGTAGGAGAACAAAACTGGGTCCTTATCTCTCACCTTATTCAAAAATCAACTCAAGATGGATCAAAGACTTAAATCTAAGACCTGAATCCATAAAATTCTAGAAGATGATACTGGAAAAACTCTTCTAGACATTGGCTTAGGGAAAGACTTTATGACCAAGAACCTGAAAACAAATGCAATGAAAAGAAAGATAAATAGATGAGACTTAAACTAAAAAGCTTCTGCACAGCAAGAGAAATAATAAGCAGAGCAAACAGACAACTCACAGAGTGGGAGAAAATCTTTGCAACAAAGGCCTACTATCCAGGATCTATAAGGAACTCAAATAAATCAGCAAGAAAAAAACCCCAAATAATCCCATCAACAAGTGGTCAAAGGACATGAATACTTAATTTTCAAAAGAAGATATACAAATGGCCAACAAATATATGAAAAAATGCTCAGCATCACTAATGATCAGGGAAATGCAAATGAAAACCTCAATGTGATACCACCTTACTCATGTGAGAATGGCCAAAATAAAAAAATAAAAAAATAATAGATGTTGGTGTGGATGTGGTAAAAAGGGAACACTTTTACACTGCTGGTGGGAATGAAAACTAGTATAACCACTATGGAAAACAGTCTGGAGACTCCTTAAAGAACTAAAAGTAGACCTACCATTTGATCTAGTAATCCCACTACTAGGTATCTACCCAGAGGAAAAGAAATCATTATATGAAAAAGATACATGAACATGCATGTTTATAGCAGCACCATTTACAACTGCAAAAATGTGGAACCAGCCTAAATGCCCATCAACCAACAAGTGGATAAAGACAATCTGGCATATATATACCATGGAATACTACTCAGCCATAAAAAGGATGAAATAATGGCATTCACAGCAACCTGGATTGAGCTGGAGACCATTATTCTAAGTGAAGTAACTCAGGAATGGAAAATCAAACATTGTATGTTCTCATTTATAAGTGGGAGCCAACCTATGAGGATGCAAAGGCATAAGAACGATATATTGGACTCTGGGGACTCAGGGAGAAGGTTAGAAAGGGGGTGAGGGATAAGACTACACATTGAGTACAGTGTACATTGCTCGGGTAATGGGTGCACTAAAATCTCAGAAATCACCACTAAAGAACTTATCCACGTAACCAAATACCACCTGTTCCCCCAAAACTATTGAAATAATAAAAATTTATATATATATAAACATTGAAAAAAGGAGATTGGTTTATATCCTGATGGATATATGTTTTCATCATCTCTTCCTATCATTTTTCTTTTCTCTTACCCTCCCCTCATCTCTGTTATCTCTTTCTTCCTTATCCTACTCTTTTATCCTATTCTTTACCTCTCAAATATTCCTTTATTTTATCTTTCCATTCTTTTGGTATTCTTGTCCTCACAGAGACACTCTGAGACACTGTTTGAACCCTGGTGATGATTCTCATGGTTTGATATACCTGATTTAAAGATGAATAACACTAATAATAAGGGAATGCATTTTCAATTATCTGATACTGAGTGTCCTATAAGCACCTCAATTCAACTATATTCCAAAGATTTTTCTTCTCTTCATTCTTCTCTCTCTGCTATCCTTCTCCCTGTTTTTAAAAACTGTTTTTTGGCATTCATGTAAGTGATAAACTTCTGGTTCACAGTTTAATATCTCCCTCCCTTTTACCCACATCAAATCAGTCTTCCCTATATATGTGTGGTTCCCAGGTAAGGCCCTTTTCGCCTGTACCTTATTAACAGTCTCTTAAATTGTAACTCTGTCCCCAGGTTTTCTCTCTCCAACATGTCCTTACTCTTTGCTTTCACAGTGGACTACTCATTATCTACAGGATAAAGGTGTCTTAAATGCTCACCAGTCACTGGCAGGTGAGTCTTCAGGTCCTTGATTTCTTTTTCTTCGAGTCTGAACCCAGTGTTTTGTAGAACACTCTGTAAGTCATTGACATTAACCTGACCTCCTTAATAGAAAGAAGAAAAAGTAGATAAGGATGTCATAAAATGAAAAATACACACTCTCAACCCCTACTCAGAAATGAAAAGAAGAAAGAAGCTATTTACAGTATCATGTGGGAGTCAGGAACAGAATATGCTTCCAAAATTAAACTTGTTGGAGGTTTATATTGGGGAGAAGTAAAGACTTTGGCATTTCTGATGAATTAGACAGAGATGACAACCAAATCATGTTATTCTGTCAAAAAGCAAGATTTGAAACTTGTTACAGTAATAATAAATTATCTCCCAAATGTAATTGTACATAAAGGAAGAGTACAGTTAATAGGGAAAATTTACTGAAAACTATTGGTGTAGTTTTGATCAGATCACTCTGAAATATGGGGATTTAAAAAGAATCAAAATGTATTTTGGATAAATTAAATGTAAATAGTGAAATCATAGAAAAATGATGAGAACTAAGTATATGTGACTCTTCACGTAAAGGATTTGAAAGTTAATCACAGAAGAAATGACTGGTAAAACTAAATACATAAAAATGAAAAATGGTGATATACCAAAATACAACATAATAGATAAAAAGTAGATTTGTAGTTGCCTAGGTCTGAGAGAGTTGGGGAGTATAAGTAGTGACTACTAATGGGTATTGAGTTTCTTTTTGCAGTGCTGAAATATCCTAAAACTGATTGTGGTGATCACACAACTCTGTTAGTATACTAAAACCCACTGAATTATACACTTTAAGTGGGTGAATTGTATGGTATATGAACTATATCTCAATAAAGCTGTTGTAAAAATACAATAAAATTAAATGCAGATAACCAATATTTACAATAGATATGACAATGTGCTAATATTTAATCTATAAAGAGGTCATTCAAATTAATAAAAACAATGTATGGATTCTAATAGATTAAAAAATATAATGATATAAAAACATTTTCTCTTTTGAAAACACTTTTTAATTTATTAACTTTTTTTTTTTTTTTTCTGAGATGAAGTCTCACTCTGTCACCCAAGCTGGAGTTTAATGGTGCGATTGTGGCTCACTGCAACCTTTGCCTCTGGGTTCCGGCGATTCTGCTGCCTCAGCCTCCTGAGTAGCTGGAACTACAGGCGCATGCCATCACACATGCCACCACACCTGGCTAATTTTTGTATTTTTAGTAGAGACGGCGTTTCGCTAGAGGCTGGTCTTGAACTCCTGACCCGTGATCTACCTGCCTCGGCTTCCCAAAGTGCTGGGATTAAAGGCATGAACCACCGCGCCTGGTTTAAATTTTGTTCTTGCTCTGTCTTATGGTGCTGATCAAAATTTTCTATAAGTAATTTTATGTATAATTTTGTTCTCTAAGTAGCTTATAAACTCTTTGAAAGTAAGAACTATTGGCTGGGTGTGGTGGCTTATGCCGGTAATCCCAGCACTTTGGAAGGCCAAGGCAGGCAGATCACCTGAGGTTGGGAGTTCTAGACCAGGCTGACCAACATGGAGAAAACTGTCCCTACTAAAAATGCAAAATGTGCCATGGTGGCACACGCCTGTAATCCCAGCTGCTTGGGAGGATGATGCAGCAGGATCGTTTGAACCTGGGAGGTGGAGGTTGTTGTGAGCCAAGATCAAGCCATTGTACTTTACCTGGGCAACAAGAGTGAAACTCCATCTCAAAAAAAAAAAAAAAAAAAAAAGTAAGAATTATCTTCTACTTTTTGCAGCCCCTCCCCCATCACACTTCTAACACTATGCCAGTCATCAATTCCAAGCTAATATTTGATGAATGAAAAAATCCTCAAAATAAACTTTGTTTTCCATTAAAGAGTAAACAACTGCTATCCTTGTGAGAATTTCATAATTTAAATATAAAACAATTGATACGGTTTGGCTGTGTCCCCACTCAAATCTCCTGTTGAATTCCCATTACTGTGGGGGGAACCTGGTGGGAAGTAACTGAATCATGGTGCCAGGTTTTTCTCATGCTGTTCTTGTGATAGTGAATAAGACTCACAAGATCTGATGGTTTTATAAGGGGCAGTTTCCCTGTACAAGCTCTCTCTCTTTGCCTGCCACCATCCATGTAAGATGTGACTTGCTCCTCCTTGCCTTCCAACATGATTGTGAAGCCTCCCGAGCCATGTGGAACTATAAGTCCACTAAGCCTCTTTCTTTTCTAAATTGCCCAGTCTCAGATATATCTTTATCAGCATCATGAAAATGGACTAATACAACAAAATAAAGCTGATTTAAAAATTGTTTTTATTTTAATATATTTTTTGAGACAGGGTCTGACTCTGCAATCCAGGCTCACTACAGCCTCAAACTCCTGGGCTCAAGTTATTCTCCTGCCTCAGCCTCCTGAGTAGCTGGAACCACAGGCATGTTTCACCAATATAAAAACATTTTATTAGATTCAATTTTTTCACCCACCAAATTAACAAGAATAAAATATATGAAAATAATATACTGTGGTTAGGGCATGATGTTAATACTATGTATGGGGATGCAAATTTCTGCAGGAAGAATATGTCCAAAGAAAATGACTTTAAAGTTGGATCAAAATTTAAGTATGAAGATCAGAGACATATAAGAGAAAAACACTAAATAAATGTTCAACAAGAGAATAATGATTAAGTAAATTACAATATAACTAGATGATTTAGTCATTAAAATGATGTTTACAAAGAAATTTTAAATAACATGGTGAAATTATTACACTAAAATTTTGGGATTGAATGCAGGATACATAACATTTCCAGTAAGAGTTTAATTAATAATACACATAAATGCACAGAAAAAGATCAGAGATATCTATAATAGAAAAGGTGATATTACTTGAGATTGTGGGTAATTACATTTTTTTCTGTATGCTACTGTATATTCCAGATTATTCTTAAATGCCCAGTAGCTAGTAGACACTTGAATATTTGTTGAATAAAATCCATAATTTTCTGTTTGTTTATGTAATTAGAAAAAAAATTAGAATAATATCAAATGTTATTGTCTTTATCCTTTTTCTCACTTACCTCTGAAGGATTTCACACTATCCAATAATTCCTTCTTAAACACTTTTTTATCAGCTGTAGGATAAAACATGATTAATAATGTTTCCAGAGATTCATAAAAATTAAAATATATACTTATAGGTAGGGAAAGCTTAGAAATTTGTTAGAATTCAATCTCAATGAAATGAAAGATGCTTGGAAAACTTAGTGTAGTGAACCTATCCACTGGATAGAATACAAACTATTGTTAGCAGTGCCCTACTATGCTGAACTACATATAGCCTTTTCTTTCTTGTTTGCTTCCCCCTAATTTACCTTTGTCTTTTCTTTCTTCACCTTTTCTACACCTTCTGCTCTTACCTTTTTTCAATTTATACCTTAAGTCTTATATTTCTCCTAGGGGGACCAAAGAAATTGTCTTATGATAGAACTTTTAACTGAAGAGGTTCCTGTTTCCTAAACCAACATAATAATAACAGGATTTTTAGAAATGCTGGGACTGGGACTTTTAAAAAATATTTTTAATTGACACAACCGTTTCAAATACTAGACTTTCTAATACAAAACATTGAAACCAACCTCTTTGATGTTTTCAGGAGGGTAAGTACTTGGGGAAACAAGCATGGTCCCGGCTCTCTCAGACTTTAGATAGTACCATGCAGACAATGATCTTCAATAAGTGTTGAATGAATATATTTTTAGACATCAGTGAAGCAGAACACATGTAAATGCTTACCAGAAACTGGCAGAGTTTTCAGCAGCTTTTTGTGCTCCTTATTTGTGATCTCTATTCCCATGTTTTCCACGGTATTTTTCACATCCCCAGCAGGAATCTTCTCTCCTTTAAAGGGAGAGAAATAGTCATAGGTGAGAATATAAAAATTATGTCATATTTTATATTATAATATTATAATTATGCATTAGTCCATTTTCATGCTGCTGATAAAGACATACCTGAGATTGGGAAGAAAAAGAGGTTTAATTGGACTTACAGTTCCACATGGCTGGGGAGGCCTCAGAATCATGGTGGGAGGCAACAGGCACTTGTTACATGGTGGTGGCAAGAGAAAATGAGGAAGAAGCAAAAGCAAAAATCCCTGATAAACCCGTCTCATCTTCTGAGACTTATTCACTGTCATGAGAATATCATGGGAAAGACTGGCCCCTATGATTCAATTACCACCCCCTGGTTCCCTCCCACAACATGTGGGAATTCTGAGAGATACAATTCAAGTTGAGGTTTGGGTAGGGATACAGCCAAACTATATCAAATTATGTACAACATTATATGTAATTATAATTAACATAATAGATGTAATTATGATTATATAACATTATAACTACATATAATATAATGCTATGTAACATACATATATACCTGTGTTTGTATATATAACTAGTGGAAATGTTGTGTTTCCTGCATTTAATCCATACATATATACATTATATATATATACATTGTATATATACACACATAATATACGTATATATGTATATATATACACATCATATATATGTATATATGTATATATATACACATAACATATATATAATATATGTATATGCATACATAATATATGTATATATATGTATATACATACATAATATATGTATATAGATATGTATACACACACACACACACACACACACACACACACACACACACACATATATATAGTCCTCAGCTGCTGGGGGAAGAGCAAAGCACAAAAAAGCTTGCTTAGCTATTTATTTATTTATTTATTTTCAGACAAGTTCTCACTCTGCCATCCTGGCTGGAATGCAGTGGCACGATCATGGCTCACTGCAGCCTTGACCTCCTGGGCTTAAGCAATCCTCCCGCCTCAGCCCCTCAGAGTAGCTGGGACTACAGGCATGCGACAGCATATGGGGTTAATTTTCTGTACTTTTTTAAGAGATAGGATCTTCCTACGTTGCCCAGGCTGGTCTTGAACTCCTGGGCTCAAGCAATCTGCCTGGCTAAGCCTCCCAAAGTGCTAGGGTTGCAGGCGTAAGCCACTGCACCAGCCATTGTTCAGCCATTTAGAGTTAAGGAGAGGAGTCAGAAATTCTTCTTTTAAGCTAAGTAAAATAAAATCTCTTACAATGATGAAACAATATAATAAGTAAAATAGAAATTGTACCGTTTTTCAATAATTTGGGATCTGTTTCATGGTTAATATAAATAATTTGACTACTACAAGAACACCTCTATTTTAAATTTTCTTTTTCTTCTTCTTTTAAGTCCTCCCTATCCCCTTCCCTCTTGTTTTTTTGCCTGAATTATGGGGTAAGTTAAAAATGACAATAAAACCTGACTCCCTGTAATAGATTTCACCTCAAGTGAATTTACATTTATATAATTACATTGTAAACTTGGGAAGGCAGGGATCATGTCTTTCTCCCAAAATCTAGCATAATGCCTGGCACATAGCCAACAATCAACTAAATGTAGAATGAGTTACTTAATTGCTTGAACATCAGTAAAGCAAAACACATTACTGATTGATTGAAACCTCAGATAGTTCATTTACTTGATCATTACTGAGTGTTTACTATGTGAAGAAAACAAAATTTTTGAAGGGGTAAAACTGACATTTAAACTACTCAATATATAAAACATAATTAGGCCAGGCGCAGTGGCTCATGCCTGTAATCCCACCACTTTGGGAGGCTGAGGTGGGCAGATCACTTGAGGTCAGGAGTTTGAGACTAGCCTGGCCAACATGGTAAAACCCTGGCTCCACTAAAAATACAAAAATTAGCTGGGTGTGGTGGCATGTGCTTGTAATTCCAGCTACTCAGGAGGCTGAGGAAGGAGAATCACTTGAACCTGGGAGGCAAAGGTTACTGTGAGCAGAGGCTGGGCCACTGCACACCAGGCTGGGTGATGGCATGAGAATCTGTCTCAAAAAAATAAAAATCATAATTAACAAGCAAGACTATGACTTTTTTGGCAAATATTATTGCAACGTTTGCTAAAATTGATCATATTTTAAGACAAAAATTTAAATATCAATTAATTACTCAAAGGCACAAAGTATATCAGTTATACTCTAATTATAATTTAAAATCAACCACAGAAAGAGATTTAAGAAATCCTCTCTACTCAGAAATTATAAATAAAATACTATAAATAACTGCTGAGTTAAAGAAGTTGAAACTGAGATTACAAACTACTTAGAAATTATGAACACAACTTCTGTTTCCAACAAAACAATAGAGTAGGACATCCTACTTGCTACAAATATCTAAAATGGACTTTAAAAATGACAAAATAATTGTAGATGCATGGCTGAGTTTGTAGGTAAGAAAGAGAAATTTTTGGTTTCAGGAGATGGAGAGGGGTTTAAGAGTCAGTTTGCTATGTACTCAATTTTCTCTCTTTCTTTCTTTCTTTTTTTTTCTTAAACTTTCCTCTGGTGCTAAGATATGTACTCAATCTGATGTGGAGATAACCCTGGTGGATTATCTGACCAGATCTGGGAACAGCTTTGGTTTTAATGACCAAGCAGGAGGAGGGAGATAAGTCCTTGGGCACATGATAGGGACACAGATTTGAAACACTCCATTATTTAAACTCCATTAAAGAGGCTGGGTGTGGTGGCTCACATCTGTAATCCCAGCCCATTGGGAGGCTGAGGCAGGTGGATCACCTGAAGCCAGGAGTTCAAGACTAGCCTGGCCAACACTGTGAAAACCTGTCTCTACTAAAGAAAAAAAATTGGGTGTGGTGGTACATGCCTGTAATCTCAGCTACTTGGGCGCCCGAGGCACAAGAATCACTTGAACTAAGGAGGTAGAGGTCAAAGTGAGCTGAGATCACGCCACTGCACTCCAGCCTGGTGACACAATGAGACACTGCCTCAAATAAATAAATAAATAAAATTAAATAAAACCCACTAAAGAGAAAGAAAGGGCATGTATAGAACCATAAGAATAAGAAATCGAGGAAAAGAACTGGCTAATGTGCGAAAGATCTAAAACAATATCTAGAAATAAATAGTTGTTATTGGCATTTTTTTTTTTGAGATGGAGTCTTGCTCTGTCACCCAGGCCGGAGCGCAGTGGTGTGATCTTGGCTCACTGCAACCTCTGCCTCCCAGGTTCAAGTGATTCTCCTGTCTTAGCCTTCTGAGTAGCTGGGATTACAGGCACCTACCACCATGCCCAGCTAATTTTTGTATTTTTAGTAGAGACAGAGTTTCACCATGTTGGTCAGGCTAGTCTTGAACTGCTGACCTCGTGATCCACCTGCCTCGGCCTCTCAAAGTGCTGGGATTATAGGCATGAGCCACGGTGCCCGGATGTGTTTTTGGCATTTTCAATAAACAGTGTGAGATGGAGTTGGAAAGACAATTAGTGAAGTGGAAGAGAGATTTGAGAAATTCTAAAAATTAGGACAAAGATATAAAAAGTGGAAACTATGGAAAAAAGAAAGAGAGAATAAGGTCCATCATATACATAATGGGAGTTTCCAAAAGTAAAAGAAAAAGAGAAGAGGAAATATTTGAAGCATAAAAGCTGAGAATTTTCAATAATTGAAGAAAGGCATGAATTTTTAGTTTCAGAAATCACAAGTCTTGAGCAGAAAAAATGAAAAGAAGTCTAACTTGGAGACATTATAATGAAAACTTCAAAAACAGAGATAACATAGCTCAGAGATAGTATGACTGTCTCCCAGAGATGGGCTGTTAGAACTTTGTTTCTCCTTATTTTGTGGAGAGGCTGAGAAAGTATATCTTCATTTATGTGAAGAATAGTTGCATCTTATTAGGTAAAAACAGAGTTACTTTGTTGATAAATAGAAGTTCAAATATATGTCAAAGGATTGTAGCTGAGTAGCTGAAAGAGTATTCTTCCAGCTACTTAGTTATTGTCTCTCAGCTCCAATCCTACCCTTCTATGCTTAGCTTTATGATACTGAGACTCTGTAAACTATGTTTCTGGCTCCATGTTAAATTCTGCCAACAGGAAGTGCTAGAGGGAGTCTGAAAGGCCGGAAGATGAAGTTCCTTCCTGCAGTAGTGGTTGAATCCAGTTTTCAGTTTTTCAACCTTGTGGAACCAGCTTTATTACACTCTCCTTAGGGACAGACACTAGCATTAGTTTCTAGAGTTCTAAGATAAAATGACAATCTACAAGTCTAGATTCAGCGAAACTATGATTCAAAGATGAATGTAAAATAAACATACTTGTAGACAAAGGCTGGCTTTTGTTGATATCACTAAGCAGGATGAGCCCCAAAAGGACTAGGAAGTTGAAAAGCATCAGTGAGTAAGGAAAGCTTTAAGTGTATTTACATCTTGCAGAAGATCGGCTTTAAGTTACTCTGCTCTTGCTTATTATATACTCAGTTGACAAAACCCCATTCCTGGTTAAATGCAAGTCTCTACTACTCTGTACCTGCAGCTGTTTAGCTAATTAGAGCTAAAGGAAGTATGCTGACTGCCCTCACTTTACATTGATGATCATGAACTTCGAGTGGGTCTTTAATGTCCCGGGGCAATCATACTATACTTTGCTGGTTCCTTAATTTTCCTACTCTTCTTTGTGACTGCTTCACGCCTTCTTTCCTCTTTTCAAACCAGTTTCCTCTTCTTTCTTGCACCACTACACCTGGCTAATGTTTGTATTTTTAGTAGAGTTGGGGTTTTACCACATTGGCCAGGCTGGTCTCTAACTCCTGACCTCAGGTAATCTGCCTGCCTTGGCCTCCCAAAGTGCTGGGATTACAGATGTAAGCCACCGTGCCCAGACTCCCTATTATTTTTTTACTTGGTTACTCAGCTTCAGCTACCTGACCTTCTTGTTCTTTGAATACACCAGGCATGCTCCTGCCTTTGGTCCTTTGTCTTTAATTAAAAAAAGAAGCCTCTTGCCACCATTTTAACCACTTTATTTATCCCCTTATTCCACTTTGCCCTCTTTTGTAGTGAAACACCTTAGATATTCACAGAGTTTCTAAATCCTATGTTCCTATTATTTCAAACTCATTCCACTTAGGCTTCTTTCCATCCTCACTTCCTGAATTTTCTCTTTTGGATAGCACCAGTGACCTCCATCTGGCTATATGCAACCGTCAGTTCTCGGTTCTCATGTTACTTGGCCTATCAGCAGCATTTGACTGCTGATTTGCCCTCTTGTCTGGTAACTGTAGCAGATGCTATAGATGCCCTGCTCATATCCCCTCATATCAATATATGCTTGTCCACTTCCCTTACTAGTACCTCTTTGTCTGAGGGATTTCTTCAGCTGCCAGAGTTCACTCTGCCTATGCTCAGATGGCTAGAAATGCCAGCAGAGTAATACTGCTTTCCCCTCCCCTAAGCAGTTCTTAATCAATGACTGATATGAGTTGGTGTGAAAATAATCTGGTTCTATAACCCCTCCCTTGAGGCCATGTCATTTACCAGATGTTATTTCCCAGTGCGATTAAGCTCCAGTTACCTGCTATGGTAACTTGTTTGATAAACACTTAATTGGCTGTTTTTATCTATGTCTCATTTCTCTGCTTCCCTGAGCTCACTACCCAAGCAAACTACCTGTATACGTAATCCTCGTTTCAGGGTTTATTTTCTAGGGATACCCAACTTGATTTAATATTCCTCATCTGGTTTTCAGGGCACTATATTATCTTGGTTTTCCACCTACATCACTGGCTATTCCTCATCTTCTTTGCTTTAGGACCTCTTAATATTGAAGCACTCCAGGTTTCATTCTGTAGTCCTCTTCTCTTCTTCACTTATACTCATTCCCTGAGTGAATTCATTCAATCTCATGGCTTTAAATACCATCTATATGCCTATGACTTTCAATTTTATATTTTTTACCCAAGATGTATTTCTTGAATTTGAGTCTGTTTAGTAAGTTTGTACTTGACATCTGCATTTGGAGGTCTATTAGTTATCTCAAAATGTCCCGAATTGGATTCCTAATTTCTTCCACCCAAACTTGTACTACTGGTAACTTTTTTTCATCTCAGTTAATGGCAAGACTATCCTTTTAGTTAGTTGTTCAAGACAAAAATGTTAGAATCATTCTTTACTTCTCCCTTTATCTGGTACTTTGTATCTAATCCACTAGAAAATTCTTTTGATCTTTAAAAAATATGTCTGGAGGGCCAGGCATGGTGGCTCACGCCTGTAATCCTAGCACTTTGGGAGGCCGAGGTGGGCGGGTCACCTGAGGTCAGAAGTTCAAGACCAGCCTGACCAACATGGTGAAACCCCGTCTCTAAAACGAAAATTAAAATATAAAATAAATAAATAAATTTAAAAATGTCCAGAATCCAGCCATTGCCTTCTACCGTGGCTGTGTCACCAGCAACCCTAACATTGATTACTCTAAAGGCCCTCTAAATGGTTTCCCTGTTTTTTTATCTTCTCTTCTCGATTCTCTCCTCTCCTTCCCTTCTATACGTAGCTTTATGATACTGAGCTTGAGACTCTGTAAACTGTTTCTGGCTCCATGTTAAATTCTGCCAACAGGGAGTGCTAGAGGGATTCTGAAAAGCTGGAAAATGAAGTTCCCTTCCCCTCCCCTCCCCTCCCTCCTCGTCTCCCCTCCTTCCGTCTCCTGCACTGTGTGCCACCCCCAGCTAACTTTTATATTTTTAGTAGAGACGGGGTTTTGCCATGTTGGCCAGGCTGGTCTTGAACTCCTCGCCTCAGGCAATGCACTCACCTCAGCCTCCTAAAGTGCTGGGATTTCAGGCATGAGCCATCATGCCCAGCCAAATGGTTTCCCTATTTCTACTGTTGATTCCTTCATTCCAGCCCACCCCCAGTCTATGCTCAACACAAATCTGGAAAGATCTGATTAAAACCTAGGTCAGATCATATTACACCTTGGTTTTAAACCCTAAATAGCTTTCTGTTTACCTCAGAAAATAAGCCCGTCCTTTCAGGGCTTTCAGAAATATGTAATGTATCCATTACTTTTCTTATCCCCTATTACTTTTTTTTTTTTTTTTTTTTTGAGACAGAGTATGGTTCTGTCACTCAGGCTGGAATGCAATGGGCTGATCTTAGCTCACTGCAACCTCTGCTTCCTGGGTTCAAGTGATTTTCCTGCTTCAGCCTCCTGAGTAGTTGGGACTACAGGCATGTACCACTACGGTTGGCTAATGTTTGTATTTTTAGTAGAGATGGGATTTCACCATGTTGGCCAGGCTGGTCTCGAACTCCTGACCTCAGGTGATCTGCCCGCCTTGGCCTCCCAAAGTGCTGGGATTACAGCATGCCCGGACTCCCTATTACTTTTTTACTTAGTTACTCAGCTTCAGTTACCTGACCTTCTTCTTGTTCTTTGAATACACCAGACATGCTCCTGCCTTTGGTCCTTTGTCCTTATCCTCTCTGCCGGCAAAACTTTTTGTCTAGACATCCCCAAAAAACCCTCATCTCTTTCAAGTGTTTGCTCAAATGTTACCTTTTCAAGGAGGCCTGATTACCAATTTAAAAAATATGCCTGACTCTTTCCCCAACACATGCTGCTTTCCCAACCTCCTATATCTACTTCTCATTTATTTCCATAGCATATATCACTTTCTAACATATTATATAATGTACTTATGTTTAATGTTTATTGTTTATTTCTCCTGCCAGAATGTAAGCTCTATGGGGCAGTGACCTTTGTACTGTTTACTGATATAGCTACATGCTTAGAACAATGCCTGGCATGTGATAAATCCTCTATAAATACTTGTTAAATGAGTGGAAGAAATATTATTGTGTTAAAAATATACTTCCATATAAAGCTTTAAGATCACACAATGTAGTATTTACTGTAACATCTCACTCACCTGTAACATTTTTAACTTCATCCATCATCACGTTCAAATCAATCTTCCCATTATCTTTAAGATAAAAAACATCAAAAAGATTTATGAAAAATTATATAAGGTCCTTGCATTTTTAAATAGAAACCCAAAAGTCAATTATTCAAAAACATTTCCCTAGAAATTTATTTTTCCAAGTCCAATGCTCATGAATTTAATTAATATAGCTACTACTATTTACCCTACAAACAATCAAAATCTGTATTTCACAATGCGATAGTAAAGTTTAAAGCATTCTTCTTTTCTTCAGGACAATCTATTATCTAGTAAGTTAGTCTTTTCAGGGGTTGGAAATTTGAGAAAAAATTTCATTTAAAAATGGCATTTCCATTTTTGTCAATGCTGACTTGACTTTAGGCTTATGATCACTTTGGCACTAAGTTATCCACTAAAAGATTAGAGTGTTGGTATCCATGTCTGGTTGCTCTTAGGTTGCCAACATGATAAGTATCATGCTGATATACCCAGTTAAAGTCCATTTGTGATGACAAAACTTTTATTTTGTTGTGACCATTCTCAATTAAAATATATTTTCATAGATCATGTACTTAATTTCTTTGATCAGTATTTCTCAAATTAAAGTCTGAAGTCACTGGAAGTCAAGTGGATAAATGTTAAGCAGTTTGTAAGATTGCAAATTTGAGAAACACTGGATAGGGAGGCTAAGCTAGTAGTTGAGAGACATTATTACTCTTATAGGCAAGTTCAGTTTGGAACCTTAAAGCTGCTGAAGGACATGCTGATTTTTTACTTATGACTTGGTCAAGGGTGTCAATTCATCACTGCTCAAATATGTTTTCACTGTTGTATTATTTGTAATATTCCTAAGACTATAAGTTTATCTGAAGACAGGATACCAAGAATCACTTTGCATTCTTACTATCACCTAGGCATTAGTGTAATGGTTTGCACAAGATTGATGCTCCATAAATATTTACTAAATAATCGTTTTAGCAAAATGCAAACATATTATAAAGAATGAATTAGCTTTAAAATTATTATATTCCAGGTTCTTAGATACAGAATTTATCTTTGTTCTTTTAAAATATTGCTTATGACAATCTTTTGCTGGTATTCTTTTTTCTCTTTTTGAGATAGGGACTCACTCTGTTGCGTAGGCTGGACAATCCACCTGCCTCACTCTCCCAAGTAGCTAGGACTAAAGGCACATACCACCATCCCTGGATAATTTTTTTTTTTTTTTGAGACAGAGTGTCATTCTATTGCCTAGGCTGGAGTGTAGTGGCACGATCTTGGCTCACCGCAACCTCCACCTCTTGGGTTCAAGCAATTTTCCTGCCTCAGCCTCCTGAGTAGCTGGATTATGGGTGTGCACTACCATGCTCAGTTAATTTTTGTAATTTTAGTAGAATTGGGGTTTCACTCTGTTGCCCAGGTTGGTCTCAAACTCCTGGCCTCATGCGATCCATCTGCCTTGGCCTCCCAAAGTGCTGGGATTACAGGCGTGAACCACTGTGCCCAGCCGTTCCCGGACAACTAAAAGAAATACTTTTTAGAGATAAGGCCTTGCTATGTTGCCTAGGCTGGTTTTGAAGTCCTAGCCTCAAGAGATCCTCTTGCCTCAGCCACCCAAAGTGCTGGGATTACAGAGGTGAGCCACTGCACCTGGCCTGGTATTATTTTACAGTTTTATAATACCTTATTAATATGGTTACTATTATAACTTTTAAATAGGACAAGGAAGAAGTTTTTTTTGATAAAAGTCTGCCTGTAAATGACATGCCGCCACACCCTTCACTTTCTGTGTTTCCAATTAGCTCTACTGATATTGTTTCAGGCCCATTAGGTTCTGAAACAATATTCTATCCTATCTCAGATGATTAAACAGATGTACAAGATATTCTACAAGAATGATATTAAGGGCCTCACACTTTAAATCACTGTGCTGGTGATGTTCTAAGATACTAGGACAATGGGGTAACTGCAAATATCTACATTTATTGCATTGGTAGGTTGAAAGGGCTACAGAAGAGATTTAAAAACAAAAGAAAAAGTCACTTTTTGAAAACTGCTTGCTCATTAAGGTAAAGGTACCATGGGCTTAGAACAGTGCCTGATGCATAATAGGCATTAAAGTCAATGGACTCAAAGAATAAAAGGTACTACTGATTTAGAAAAGCACACACAGTATTCACTGACTTGGGTTAATTTTATATTTTTACTATTTCCTCTAGGGAGCAGTAGTCCCCCAAAATTTTCTGATGAAATTTTTTCAGTTCCACTAGCATAAGACCATCTAAAATATGCCAAGTTTAATGAATTTCATTTGTAACATTACTATATACCTTTTAAAATTTGTTAATTCAATTAGCTCATGGAAGTATAGCATCGTGGTTAAGAGACAGTTTCTGAAGGCTGATTGCCTAGGTTCTTTTCCTGGCTCCATCATTTACTAGCTTTCTGTCTTTGGGCAAGTGACTTTTCTGTGCCTTAGCTTCCTTATATGTAGAATGGGGATAAAAACAGAACCTACCTTTTAGGGTTGTTTGCAAGATTAAATAAGTTGATACATGAAAGTGCTTAGCATAGTGCCTTGCATGTGTCAGGACCCTACGGTGTTGGTTATGGCTATTTAATGCTGGATTAGCAGTAGGGACTAAAAGATTAATGTCCTGTGTATTTTTGTTAAATCTTGGCATTTCCTGTGGTGTTACATAGTGAGTTGACACTTGCTATTTATGTTGGCAGTATTCTTGGTGATTCTTCCCACACGGTAGCCATTGGGTTCAGTTTGGTAGCTGCAGTGAAGGCCTTATTCTTTCATTTCTTTTCATATATATCCTATTTTCAATCATTTCAGCCCCTTCAATCATTCCAGCCCCACTACTAGCCTTATGCTCAAAGGTTTACTAAGGGGTACACTGATGTTCAAACACTCACCATCAACTGGTAGGTTGTCCTTCAGTGACTGGATTTCTTTCTCCTTGAGATCAATTCCTGTGCTTTTCAGGAACATTTCCATCTTATCTGAAGACACCTTTGTTCCTTAAGAAATAAGGGGATGAATGCAAGAAAATTTATAATGATATAAAGAGTGGAGATTTTTTGCTCATATCTAGGCATCAATACTATTCACAGAATGAAGGGCAAAGAAAAATTAAACTATTCAAGTAAACATGGTTTTTGGTATATAAGTCAGGAATTTCTAAACCCCTAGCTGTGGGATTCTGTTATGGCTTTTAGCAGAACTAAACATTAAAATTAACCTTTATAAATGTGTCTGCATCATAAGATTTAAAACTTGCTAAAATAATGGAGAAAAATAAATAATTGAGTAAAGTTCATGGGTTTACTCCATCATAATCCCCTGGAAATATTTTTAAAATTTTTATATTTTAATTGACATATAATAATTGCATATTTTAAAGGGTACAATGTGATGTGTTGATACATGTAAACATTGTGGAATAATCAAATCAGTGTAATTAGTATATCTATCACCTCAAATATTTATCATTTCTTTATGGTGAGAACATTAAAATCCTTTCTTGTAGCCTGAAAAACACAACACATTATCATTAATTATAGCCATCTTGCTCTGCAATAGAACACCAGAACTTATTTTTCCTAACACTAACTTTGTATCTGTTGACCAATATCTTCTGGGACAGTTTCTTTTCACCTTTTCTGTTTATTTGTTCACTTAAAGTTCTGGGATACATATGCAGAACGTGCAGGTTGGTTACATAGGTATACATGTGTCATGGTGGTTTGCTGTACCTATCAACCGGTCATCTAGGTTTTAAGCCCCACATGCATTAGCTATTTGTTCTAATGCTCTCCCTCTCCTTGCTGCCTAGCTCTAAACAGGCCCCAGTGTGTGATGTTCCCTTCCCTGTGTCCACATGTTCTCATTGTTCAACTCCCACTTAGGAGGGAGAACATGTGGTGTTTGGTTTTCTGTTCCTGTGTCAGTTTGCTGAGAATGATGGTTTCCAGCTTCATCCATGTCCCTGCAAAGGACATGAACTCATTCTTTTTTATGGTTGCATAGTATTCCATGGTTTATATGTGCCACATTTTCTTTATCCAGTCTATCATTGATGGGCATTTTGGTAAATAATTTCATTATTTATGAAATAATAAAATTGAGCAGGTTGTTCAATTTCCATGAAGTTGTGCAGTTTTGAGTGAGTTTCTTAATCCTGAGTTTTAATTTGATTGCACTGTGGTCTGAGAGACTGTTATGATTTCTGTTCATTTGCATTTGCTGAGAAGTGTTTTACTTCCAATTATGTGGTTGATTTTAGAATAAGCACCATGTGGCACTGAGAAGAATGTATATTTTGTTGATTCTGGGGAGTTCTGTAGCTACCTATTAGGTCTGCTTGGTCCAGAGCTGAGTTCAAGTCCCAAATATCCTTGTTAATTTTCTGTATTGTTGATCTGTCTAATATTGATGCTGGGGTATTAAAATCTTCTACTACTATTGCGTGGGAGTCTAAGTCTCTTTGTAGGTCTCTAAGAACTTGTTTTATGATTCTGGGTGTTCCTGTATTGGGTGCATATATATTTAGGATAGTTAGCTCTTTTTGTTGCATTGATCCCTTTACCATTATGTAATGCCTTTCTTTGTCTCTTTTGATCATTATTGGTTTAAAGTCTGTTTTATCAGAGACTAAGACTGCAACCCCTGATTTTTTTTGCTTGCCATTTGCTTGGAAGATATTCCTTCATCCCTTTATTTTGAGCCTATGTGTGTCTTTGCATGTGAGATAGGTCTCCTGAATACAGTACACTGATGGGTCTTGACTCTATCCAATTTGCCCATCTGTGTGTCTTAATTGGGGCATTTAGCTCATTTACATTTAAGGTTAATATTGTTATGTGTGAATTTGATCCTGTCATCATGATGCTAGCTGGTTATTTTGCACTTTAGTTGATGTAGTTTTTTCATGATGTCATTGGTCTTTATATTTGGTATTTTTTTTTGCAGTGGCTGGACCAGTTTTTCCTTTCCATATTTAGTGCTTTCTTTAGGAGCTCTTGTAAGGCAGGCCTGGTGATGACAAAATCCCTCAGCATCTGCTTGTCTGGATTTTATTTCTCCTTCGCTTATGAAGCTTAGTTTGGCTGAATATGAAATTCCGGGTTGAAAATTCTTTTCTTTAGGAGTGAATATTGGTCCCTCCTCTCTTCTGGCTTGTAGGGTTTTTGCAGAGAGATCTGCTGTTAGTCTGATGGGCTTCCCTTTATAGGTAACCTGGCCTTTTTCTCTGGCTGCCCTTAACATTTTTTCCTTGGTTTCAACCTTGGAGAATCTGATGATTATGTGTCTTGGGGTTGCTCTTCTTGAGGAGTATCTTTGTGGTGTTCTCTGTATTTTCTGAATTTGAATGTTGGCCTGTCTTGCTAGGTTGGGGAAGTTCTCCTGGATAATATCTTGAAATGTGTTTTCCAACTTGGTTCCTTTCTCCCCATCACTTTCAGGTATACCAGTCAATCATAGGTTTGGTCTTTTCATATAGTCTCAATTTCTTAGAGGCTTTGTTCATTCCTTTTCATTCTTTTTTTCTCTAATCTTGTCTTCACACCTTATTTCAGTAAGTTGATCTTTAATCTCTGATACCCTTTCTTCTGCTTGATTGATTCAGCTATTGATAACTTGTGTACGCTTCACCAAGTTTTTATGCTGTGTTTTTCAGCTCCATCAGGTCATTTATGTTCTTCTCTAAACTGGTTATTCTAGTTAGCAGTTCCTGTAACCTTTTATCAAGGTTCTTTGCTTCCTTGCTTTGGGTTAGAACATGATCCTTTAGCTTGGAGGAGTTTGTTATTACCTACCTTCTGAAGCCTACTTCTGTCAATTTGTCAATTTCATTCTCCATCCAGTTTTGTTCCCTTGCTGGAGAGGAGTTGTGATCATTTGGAGGAGAAGAGGCATTCCGGTTTTCGGAATTTTCAGTGTTTTTGTACTGGTTTCTCCTCATCTTTGTGGATTTATCTACCTTTGATCTTTGAGGCTGATGACCTTTGGATGGGGTTTTTGTGTGTGGGTCTTTTATGTTGATGTTGTTGTTTTCTATTTGTTAGTTTTTCTTCTAATAGTCAGGCCCTTCTTCTGCAGGTCTGCTGAAGTTTGCTGGAGGTCCTCTCCAGATCCTGTTTGCCTGGGTATCACCAGTAGAGGCTGCAGAACAGCAAAGATTGCTGTCTGCTCCTTCCTCTGGAAGCTTTATCCCAGACGGGCACCGGCCTGATACCAGCTGGAGTTCTCTTGTATGAGGTATCTGCCGACCCCTGTTGGGAGATTTCTCCCAGTCAGGAGGCACAGGGTGAGGGACCCATTTGAGGAGGCAGTCTCTCCCTTAGCAGAGCTCCTGCGCTGTGCTAGGAGAATCTCTCTTGTCAGATCAGCTGCTCTCTTCAGAGCCAGCAGGCAGGAACGATTAAATCCACTGAAGCTGTGCCCACAGTTGTCCCCTTCCCCCAGGTGCTCTGTCCCAGGGATATGGTGGTTTTGTCTGTAAGCCCCTGACTGGGGCTGTTACCTTTCCTTCAGAGATGCCCTGCCCAGTGAGGAGGAATCTAGAGAAGCAGTCTGGCCACAGCTACTTTGCCAAGCCCAGCCCAGACCTCCCAGCTTCTTAACACTGTCAGGGGAAAACTGCCTACTAAAACTTCAGTAATGGCAGATGCCCCTCCCTCTACCAACCTCAAGGTTGACTTCAGACTGGTGTGGTGCCAGAAAGAATTTCAAGCCAGTGGTTCTTAGCTTGCTGGGCTCTCTGGGAGTGGGACCCACTGAGTGACACCACTTGGTTCCCTGGCTTCAGCCCCCTTTCCAGGGAGTGAATGGTTTTGTCTCACTGGGGTCCCAGGTGCTACTGGGGTACAAAAAAATACTCCTACAGCTAGCTCAGTGTCTGCCCAAATAGCTGCCCAGTTTTGCACTTGAAATCCAGCGCCCTGGTGGTGTAGGCACATGAGGGAATCTCCTGATTGGCAGACTGCAAAAACCATGGGAAAAGTGTAGTAACCTGGCTGGGTAGCATAGTCCCTTGTAGATTCCCTTGGCTGGGGGAAGGAGGTCCCCGACTCCTCGTTCTTCCCAGGGGAAGCAATGCCACACCCTGCTTCTGCTCGCTCTCCGTGGGCTGGACCCACTGCCTAACCAGTCTCAATGAGATGAACTGGGTACCTCAGTTGGAAATGCAGAAATCACCCGCCTTACGCATTGGTCTTGCTGGGAGCTGCAGACAGAGCTCTTCCTATTTGACCATCTTGGTACCCTCCTCCTTGAAACTTTTTAATAACATGTTTCTAGGTACTACCTCTAGAAATCCAAGAGCAATATGACAGAAAAAGGGCCTAGTGATATGAATGCTAAAACAGTGTTTTTGTTTTTCCGGTGATTCTGATGCACAACTTTATTTTGAAACCACTATTTTTGGGTCTACTGTAGTTAAACCATTTTAGTGATTGCAGTGTGCCTAAAAGCCTATAAGGATAAACACTGAATTAATAAACAGTTGGAACAGCAGGATTAGTAATCTGAAAATTGTGAAATAGGAAGGGTTTTTGAAAACAACAGTAAAGCTTGAGGACCTCAGTTTTACCGGCCTTTTTACCTTACTTCTCACTCACCTTCAAGACCCCTCAATTCTTTCATCAGTCTGTTCACATATACCCTTCCTTTGGCTGTAAGACAGAGAAAAATTCAAGTCTCAGGAAGCAATGCAGATATTTAAAAAATAGTACAAAACATGAATAATTTCAGAACGTACACTTTAAAATGTTTTATCCTAGAAATTTATACTTTTTCATTTTCAAGAATAAAACTCAGGAATGGAAACAGTTCTCAATTTGATGAAATCATTTTGTTGGTACGACATGAAACATTCCTTACATAGAGTATTAGTCACAAAAGTTCATATGCTCAACCTTCTTCGAGTTACTTTGTTATTGTTGAGACAGGGTCTTGGTCTGTCACCCAGGCTGGAGTGCAGTGGCAGGATCTCACTTCACTATAGACTCTGCCTCCTGGTCTCAAGTGATTCTCCCACATCAGCCTTCCAAGTAGCTGGGACTACAGGTACGAGCAGCCATGCCTGGTTACTTTTTAAACTTTTTTTTTATAAAGATGGGGTCTCACTATGTTGCCCAGGTTGGTCTCAAAGTCTTAAACTCAAGTGATTCTTCTACCTAAGCCTTCCAAACTGCTGGGATTATAGGCATGAGCCACTGCACCTGGCTTTACTATAATTTTTAAAATTTAAATTTAAACTTTTTGAGACAGGGCTTGACTTGTCATCCAGGCTGGAATGCAGTGGTACAATCACTGCTCAAAGCAGTCTTCACATCCTGGGCCCCAGCAATCCTCCCACCTCAGCCTCCTGAGTAACTGGGACCACAAGCATGTGCCACATGTTTGCCTGGTTATGTGATATTTTTAATGCTTACCATCAATTGGAAGATTATTCAGCAGTTGCATGCCTTTATCTTCTGCGAGCTCTATCCCTATATTTTCCAGAAAATTTTCCAGGTTCCCAGTATCAACCTTCTCACCTTTAAAAAGTAAAAAGTGAAAATGGTTTAAAGTTTGAAGAATGATGATTCTATATTAAGAAAAATGTTCATGTGACATCATTTGCTGATTAAACATTAATGAAATAAATCTGGCAAGAATGCCAGCTATTGCTCAGACATAATCCTAAAGCTTTTTGCTAAAACAATGATGGTCAAAATTAGGCTGTGTGTCATTAGATGCAAACATTCACCAGTAAATAGGTAGAGTGAGAGAATGCATCAAAAAGGGAAACAACTGCATTTAAAATAGAATTTTGTGTGAACATTGGAATCTTGGTTTTGTAAAATTTTCTTAATTGCATGTTTTGGTACCATACAGGGCCTTTCTCTAGGGGTTTTGTTCTTAACCTCACCTGGTTCTCTGTCATGCCTCAGGGATTTGGTGGGTGTGTGTTCCTCTTCCTGATAGCTACAACACGCAGTGCATTTCCTGTGCTTCCTTCCTTAAAGGTGGCTAGGAAGTCAGATGCAACCTCCCAAGCTCACCTCTTTTTGTGTGCCTCAGGAACACTAGCATGTACAGATTTTTTATTCTTAGAACTTTAATGTAAAGTGCTAGAGGGAAACCGACAGGTGATCACCAAACTATCACAAGCATGAATGACACAAAGCTAACAAGTTTATTTGGTAATGAACTTAGTTTTAGTTCCTCATTATGAGAGTGGAAATCAGTTATCCTTGCCCCCTGCAACCATCTCCCAATCTGCTCTTAGGATGACTGTGTACAATTTTCCTTTACCACAGCTCTTTTCTCTGGCTTGAAGATGCAGTTTCTTTCTTTATTATCTGAACATAACCTCAATATTTTATTGTTTTCTTAATAAAACAAAAGATAAAGCTCAGAACTGAATCACTTGGTCCTTTCTTGTTCTAGCTCCTTCCAGTTCTTTTAACAGCCAGCATTCTCTGAGATCTGCAGATGGGCTCAACACACACTTACCTCAGCACAATCTTCTTGGTAGTTTTAGCCTTTTCTGGAAAATCGGCTTAGTCTGCCCATCATAGCCACTCTGCTTCCTGTCATAACATGCTTTCCCTGGGCATACAGAGAATCCTTGCTCTCTTACACTGTGTCACTTTGTGGGGCTGGTGCTTGCCATACTTCCTACAGAAAGTCCAATGTTCCAAAGTCCAGAAATATTGGAAACAAATGCGTCCAATGTTTTATGTCCCACCAACAAAATGATTTCATCAAATTGAGAACTGTTTCCATTCCTGAGTTTTACTCTTGAAAATGAAAAAGTATAAATTTCTAGGACAAAACATTTTAAAGTGTACATTCTGAAATTATGTATAGAAACTCCAGTAGCTCTATTGGTTGGGAACAAAAGCTAAAGATGCAGTTAAGGCAGACAAATCAGATGTCCTAATCCTTTCCAATTCCAGCAAAAGAAAATTCTTGCTTTTGGTCCTCTGGAACCACAATACAGTGTTTCCATTGAGAGGGAAACATCTGGGAGTTAGCCAGTCATATGCACAAATGCCTGGAAGGAAATGCGCACAAGGGTTGTTTTCCCCAAGATGCCTCAGAACTCTCTTGTGAAGCCTTGGACCACTGGGACTTCTACTATCCCCCTGTCACCAGCCAAAGGAGTGACTCTTCAGACTCAAAAGAGCAGCCTCCCAGTCTTCTAATTTGATTAAGCTTTTGACAAGATACAGAGCTTTTGCCTCAAGGGAATTGGTCTAACTATACCTTTTATCCATGTTGCTTTCATTTTCCAGAATGAAAGCCCCTCTAAATTTTCTGGCCTCTCTGGTCTATTCTGTTTTATTACATTGATATTTTCTTTCTATTGCTAGCTTCTTTTTAACCCTTCTCAGATTGCACTCTGAAATCATATTTCATTAAATGTAAATTTCTCTATATCTTCAGTCTCTTTATAGACTTTTCTTTTAACCTTCTTTCTTAACTGAACTTTGCCTCTTCCTAATAGAATTTTCTATGACTTACTTTTATTTTTGAGATAAGACTGCTCATTTTTCTATGTCCTAATTGTGTCAGGGCTTGGCATTCTTCTAGATTACAACTGCTGCTTTCCAACCAAACCCAAACTTCTCTTTTGAGATTTATGAAATTTGGCTTTCTTTGTATTGCCACCCACTAGCTTCTTGGTCACTTCAGAAGCTTGTTCCATGACCCATAGTCTTCTTCTTCCTCCAAAAACTCCTGGCATCATTATAAGGAATTCTAGCCTTTATTCAGATAACTCATTCAAAGACTGGCCTCCAAATTTCTTGACCTTCTTATCCTCAATGACTGTCTATTAAATTCTACGCTAGTTAACTCTCCAGGACACATTCTGGACTTTGTCATCACCTAGAAATGCTTTACCTCTAAAATCTTAAATTCCAACATGCTGACTACTGGCCAATACCTTGTAATTCTTCCATTTATTTTAATTCCTTATTCATCCACACCTGTTATATCCTTAGAGGGAATTTTCATTCTCCTCTCTCACTTTTCTCTAAGTTCACAACTTTACTTCTTTCTGTGTTCACACTAGACCACATAATCATTTTCCTGGTCTACATGGTTAAGTCTTTATGCTTTCATTCTTTTGGTACATGAACCTTAGAATCTCCTAATTTGGGCCAGCTGAAGATTACCATATAATAATATGAAAGGTTGCTGTTATGTTTTTTTATTTTTTATTTTATTTATTTATTTATTTATTTATTTTTTTTTTTACTGTTGTTTTAATTATATCTAACTATGGTTATCTCTTGGCACTTCTCCTCAATGACTTCATGTATTCCTTATTAACTTTAGTTCATATTTTCTATCAAAGTTATATAAAATCAAATTAGTATAGCTGTTATGGAAAACGGTATGGAGATTTCTCAGGGAACTAAAACATGGAGCTGCCATTTGATCTAGCAGTTCCACTACTGGGTATACACCCAACAGAAAATAAATCATTATATTAAAAAGATATCTGCGCTCTTGTGTTTATTGCAGCACTATAGCAGAGATGTGGAATCAATCTAAGTGTCCATCAGTGGATGACTGGATAGAGAGGATGGAGTATGTATATACCAAGGAATACTACTCAGACACTAAAAAAATGAAATGATGCCTTTTGCAGCAACATGAATGGAACTGGAGGCCATTATCCTCAGCAAAATAACTTAGAAACAGAGGGTTAAAGTACCACTTGCTCTCACTTATAACTGGGAGCTAAACAATGGGTACACATGGACCTACAGAGTGGAATAATGGACATTGAAGACTACAAAATGTAGGAGGGTGCAGGGGTGAGGGTTGAAAAATTACCTATTGGGTACAGTATTCACTGCTTGAGTGGTGGGTACACTAATAGCCCAGAATTCACAATGATGCAATATATACATGAACTAAATCTGCACTTGTACCCCCCTACATATGTAAAACTAAAAACAAAAACAAGAAACAAATTTATATAAAATCATCGATACTCTTCTTGAAATTCCCTACCCCACCACTGTGCCCTTCCTGTTAGTAGATGATCCTGTTTTCTACTTTACAAAGAAAATTGAAGCTTTTAAGTAAACTCCTTTGAATTTTACTCCCACATTTACCTAGATTATCTATATCTGTGCCCTTTCTAATTTGAAGTCTGCTTGTCTCGGAAAAAGAGGTGGCTTCAGATTCTTACTCATATATTCAATTGTAAGATGATGTCTTTAGATGTCTCACAGAAACCCCAAATTCAATATGACCCAAAATGGAAACTCTATCTTTACTTCTAAATCTTTTACTGAATTCCTTATTTTGGTCACTGTCACTATCACTCACCCAACTACCCAACTCAGAAACGAAGGAGTCACCCTTTACTTTTTCCTTTCTTCCAATCTCCATACCTGATCAGGAATCAAACCCTGTAATACTGTATCTATAATATCTCTTATATATATCCCTTTCTCCCAAGTCTCATTGATAATTATTACCTCTGTCTTTTGCCAGGACAGTGATAATTTGCTTCCTAACTGCTCTCCCTGACTCCTCTTGCACATACACCTTCGTCCATTCATCCACTCTCTATATTGCTGCTGAAGAAATCTCTTTCTCTCCCTCTCTCTCCCTCCCCCCCTCCCCCCCTCCCTTCCTTCCCTCCCTCCCTCCCTCCCTCCTTTTCTCTCTCTCTCTTTCTTTCTTTCTTTTTCTTGGCATTGCTCCATCACCCAGGCTGGATTGCAGCGGTACAACTGCCTCAACCTCCTGGGCTCAAGCGATCCTCCCACCTCAGTCCCCCAAGTAGCTGGGACTACAGGTATGTGCCACCACACTTGGTTAATTTTTGTATTTTTTGTAGAGACGAGGTTTCATCACATTGCCCAGGTTAGTGTCAAACTCCTGAGCTCAGGCAATCCACCTGCCTTGGCCTACCAAAGTACTGGGATTACAGGTGTGAGTCATTGCGCCTGGTCAGTCTTTCAATTTGCACATCTAATCACATAGTCTCTAGCTTAAAATTTTGGAAGGACTCCCTACTCCACAGAATAAAAGTCACACTCCTTTATTTCATAGTCAAGGCCCTCTATGATTTGTCCCCTGTGTTTGTTTCCGGTTGTTGTAACAATTTGCCAAAAACTTGTTGGTTTAAAACAATACATTCTTTTTTCTCTTAATGGTTCTGGAGAATGACAGTATCAAATCAGTTTTATTGGGCTAAAGTCAAGGTGTCAGCAGGGCTGGTTTCTTCAGGAGGCTCTGCTGGAGAATCTGTTCCCTTGCCTTCCACTTCTAGAGGCCCCTTATATTCCTCGGCTCATGTTCCTTCTTCCATACTCAAAGCCCTCATTGTAGCATCTTGCTTCCTTTGTCACACTGCCTTCTACTTTGTCATCAAGTCTCCCTCTTCTAAGGATAGTTGTAATTACATTTAGGGTCTACTTAGATAAAGATAATCTCCCCATCTCAGGATTCCTAATCATATCGCCTAAGTCACTTTTCCCATATAAGGGAACATTCACAGGTTTTGAAGATTAGGACCTGGATATTTTTAGGAGCCTACCACATCCCCTTTCTTGCTTTTTATTTCTTGCTAAACTCCTGACAGCATTTTATGATCCAGCTATGCCAAATTATTTCTAGTTCCTTAAAGTTCCATACTGTTTCTCATCTTGGTGGCTTTTATGCTTTTTTTTTCTCTGTGAGAAACACTGTCTCCCTGACAAACACTGTCTCATTTTTTTTAAGGATCAGCTCATATGTTACCCACTCTACAAAACTATTTCTCAATCTCTTTTCCTCAGGTGCAAACGACCATCTTGCCCCTTCTTTACCTTGCATATGGTCTTCACAACCTATAACATTGTATTGCATTTACTTGTATTTTTCCTGCCTCAACCACACAAGCTCCTGGAAAGTTGGTTTTTATAGATCCATATATGGGATATAATAGACACTCAATAATGAGTTAATAAAAATCTAACCTACCTGTAAAAAGATGTCCTTCATCCATCACCACATTCACATTAACTCTCCCCTCATCTGTAAGACAAGACAGAATCCTATGCATGAAGACAATAATAGAACAGAAGAAAGATGTAACAGTCATACATTGGCCAGGTGCACCTGTAATCCCAGCACTATGGGAGGCCAAGGTGGATGGATCATTTGAGGTCAGGAGTTTGAGACCAGCCTGGCCAACATGGTGAAACCGCATCTCTACTAAAAATTCAATTTTTTAAATATTTGTATAAAATATAAAGGGGGCTGAGCAGGAGAATAGCTTGAACACAGGAGGTGAAGGCTACAGTGAGCCAAGATCATGTCACTGTACTCCAGCCTGGGTGGCAGAATGAGACTCTGCCTCAAAAAAAAAAAAAAAAAAAAAAAAAAAAGTCATACATTGAAGTTAAACGCAAATTTGTATGAGTTATTCTAGAATTCCATCCTTTTATTCTGATATTTATTTATTTTGTGTCAGGGTGTCATTCTGTTGCCTAGACTGGAGTGCAGTGGTACGATCTCTGCTTACTGCAACCTCCGCCTCCTGGGTTCAAGTGATTCTCCAGCCTCAGCCTCTCAAGTAGCTAGGATTACAGGTGCAAGACACCACATCCGGCTAATTTCTGTATGTTTGGTAGAGATGAGGTTTCACCACGTTGGCCAGGCTGGTCTCCAATTCCTGACCTTAAGTGATCCACCTGCCTCGGCCTCCCAAAGTGCTGGGATTACAGGTGTGAGCCACTGTGCCTGGCCTAGAATTTTATCTTTTAAAACTCCAAATGGAAAATGTGTAAAGAAAAATCTCTGATTATAAAAAGGATACTTACTTTACACTTCTAATATAACTTTTTATTTTATTAAGATAGTTAACCTCATGTGGTAGAATGCTGGGCTGACACACTGAAGTAGTAGTCCTCTCTACTTTGATATCTGGAATAACTCTGTTTTATTGATCACAATGCTATCAAGCAACTTAAAAAGGGAAAATGCTCCAGCAGGGAAGATTTGACTTGGAGCATTAACAATCCATATTTCTGCAAAAACCCCCTCCCCTAAACCAAGAACCAATGCCTATTTCTACACTCAATCCATACTTAGCTTAGTCTGTCTGTCCTTATTCTACTACCCACTTCAATATCAAGAAAAGGGCTGGGAGTGGTGGCTCATGCCTGTAATCCCAGCACTTTGGGAGGCTGAGGCGGGTGGATCACAAAGTCAAGAGATTGAGATCATCCTGCTTAACATGGTGAAAACCTGTCTCTACTAAAAATACAAAAATCAGCTGGGTGTAGTGGCGTGCACCTGCGGTCCCAGCTACTTGGGAGGCTGAGGCAGGAGAATCGCTTCAGCCTAGGAGGCGGAGGTTGCAGCGAGCCAAGATTGCGCCACGGCACTCCAGCCTGGGTAACAGAGCGAGACTACATCTGGAAAAAAAAAAAAAGAAAAGAGATTTCGATCAATCTAACTGAACTTTAACAATATTTTCAAAATTTTGTTTTTAAACTTTATTTTGTATTTTTCTTTTTAAAACTTGTATAAATTTAAAGGGTAGAATATTGTTATATGGATATACTGCCTTTTAAAGTGAAACTTTAAAGAGCCTTATAGGCCAGGTGCAGTGGCTCATGCCTGGAACCCCAGCACTTTGGGAGGCCAAGGTGGGCAGATCACATGAGGTCAGGAGTTTGAGACCAGCCTGGTAAACATGATGAAAACCCTGTCTTTACTAAAAATACAAAAATTAGCCAGGTGTGGCAGTGGGCGCCGGTAGTCCCAGCTACTTGGGAGGCTGAGGCAGGAGAACTGCTTGAACCTGGGAAGTGGAGGTTGCCGTGAGCCAAGATCACACCACTGCACTCCAGCCTAGGTGACAGGGCCAGACTCCTTCTCAAAAAAAAAGAGGCTTATAGATGGTCAGTTCCTTGGAGGAAGATGTCTTATCTATTCTCATGTATTTTATTTTTTTGAGATGGAATCTGGCTCTGTTGCCCAGGCTGGAGTGCAGTGGCACAATCTCAGCTCACTACAACCTCTGCCTCTCAAGTTCAAGTGATTCTCCTGCCTCAACCTCCTGAGTAGGTGGGACTATAGGCACACACCACCATGCCTGGCTAATTTTCCATTCTCATGTATTTTAATTATTTCCATAGAAGACTTATGAATAGCTTGAATGGTATTTATATGAATATTTCTAATGCTATTTCCTAAGATCTCATTGACTTGAAATGTAGTACACAAGGAGAGGGTTGATTCTTCTACAACCAAAGTCATTGTGGCATTCCAGCAAAGTTACAAGATACTTGGATAATGAATAAGAAAAAGTATCTATATCCTTTTATAGGTAGATAAAAAATATTGAGAAATGATATATTTTCAATAATAAAAAAATCCAATGGAAAATTTACTTTCTTTTGACCAGAACAGAGGTATAACTAGGTGACATTGTGTTGAGATGAATGTATATTGATTATTATTATTGCTACTAATAAAGCTAAATAATTTACAACTATATCAAAGATAGCTATTATTTTCTTTTTGACAGCAGGGAGCTAAGATTCAGAGTGGTTAATTTGACCAATCTTGCACAGCCAAGAATTTTCAGAGCTGAGATTCAAATCCCTGTCTGGCTAATTCCAATTCCAACTTCATTCCACAATGACATATAATCAGTAGAACCAGTGGGATGAACCCCAGGTTTCTGCTGTTTTTCCCCAGAGGGTTATTATTTTGGAAATTTTTTTTTTGGATACTTGTAGTTCTCATTATTATGAGTCTATGCTGATGTATGGTAGATGTGATTGATGTAAAGGGGAATTATTACTATTGCCCACCTTAAACATCATTTTTGCTAGGTTGGAATTCACTCTAGATAAATTCTTTTCTATCTCTTACTACTATTTTCCTCCTTATTTTATTTGTTTATTTTAAAACTTTCCCTGACAGATATTTTCTCCATTTATTTACTTTTTGGCTTTTCCTTTTGGTCTACTAATAATCTCATCATTGCTCTGAAACATTGCTAAAGCTTTGCTAAATTTGTGGTCTGCTAACTTCCTAAAGATAAATAAGATGAATTATTAGAGTATTCATTTCCAACCATCTCTTCATTCATATGGCTAAGTCAATGTCTTACAAGTATCTCAAACTCTACCTTTCTAAAACTGAAAATACTCTCCTGACACTGTAAACTGAACCTCCTCCTGAATTGGCTTATAATATGACTGATGACTTACTCATTAAGATATCCCTTCCTAAAATTCTACTTTTTCACACCTCACATGAAATCACTCACCATGCCCTATTTGCTTTACATTTTTATTAGTTTTAATAAATAAATTTAAATTCTAAAATCTTTCTCAAGTCACTCTGTTATCCATCATTAAGTTCGCTTCCCTTGCCTAGGCTCTCACTGTCTCTTGTTGGATCATGGAAGTATCTCTCAAGTTCCAGTTTTCGCTTCCAATAACGCTGTCTACGTTGACAATCAGCACTGATTTTACAAGAGAGAAATACTCTGGACATACCACTACTTACAGTATGAAGGCTAAAATTGAAGGGAGAAATAGACAATTCAAGTATAATAGTTGGAAACTTCAGTACCCTACTAAACAGAAAAGTAAGTAGGATAAAGAAGACTTGAACAATATTATCAACCATGGAATATTCACCAGGCTAGACCATATGCTAGGCCATAAAATATGTCTCATTCCGTTTAAAAGAACTGAAATTATGAAAGTATGTTTTCTGACCACAAAGGAATTAATTCTAAATCAACAACAGAAGGAAATTTGGGAAATCCATAAACATTTAGAAATTAAACAACACATTGCTAATTAACCCATGGATCAAGAAGAAATTACCTGGGAAATTAGAAAGTATTTTAAAATGAATGAAAATGCAAATGCAAATATGAAATATTTCAAAATGCAGCTAAATCAGTGCTTAGAGGAAGATTTATACCTGCAAACACCTGTATTAGAAATAAAGAAAGGGCTGGGCATGGTAGCTCACACCTGTAATTCCAGCACTTTGGGAGGCTGAGGTGGGTGGATCATCCGAGGTTAGGAGTTCGAGACACGCCTGGCCAATATGGTGAAACCCCTTCTCCACTAAAAATATAAAAATTGGCCAGGCATGGTGGCAGGCACCTATAGTGCCAGCTACTCAGGAGGCTGAGGCACAAGAATCACTTGAACACAGGAGGTGGGGGTTGCAGCGAGCTGAGATAGCTCCATGGCACTCCAGCCTGGGCAACAAGAGCAAAACTCTGCCAAAAAAGAAAGATTTTAAATTAAGAATCTAAGTTTTCACTGTAAGAAGAGCAAACTAAACTCAAGGTAAGCTGAACGGAGAAAAGAACGAAGATTAGAACTGAAATCAATAAAATGGGAAACAGAAAATCGATAGGGAAAATTAATGTTGGTTTTTGAAAAGGTCAACAAAATTGACAAATCTTTAGCTAGTTTGACTAAATAAAAAAGATATAGATCAAAATCAGGAAAGAGGACATCATTACTGACTTCATAGAAATTAAAAAGGAATATAAAGAAATACCGTGAACAACTTCATGCCAACAAATCAGACAACTTAGATGAAATGGACAAATTTCTAGAAAGATACACACTACTGAAAGGCTCACTAAACTACACAGCTTTCTAGTCCTGGCAATCTGCATTTCCAGCCATTTTTTTCCTGCATTTTGTAACATGAAGAGTATATTCTAACCACAAGGAAATTTTTGCTGCTCTCCTAAAATTCTGTGACTTTGCATGCATTTATGCTTTTGTTCATTTTCCTATCTGGAATGCCTTCTTCTGGGAGAATTTCTGCATATCTTCTGACAAGCATTTCTCTGATTCCCTTCCTGTAAAACTTAGCTCTTCCCTCCTTTAGAATCTCACTGAATATATTTTTATATATTCACAACCACATAGCATTATGATGATTTGTCTGCATATAATATGTATTACTAGACTATGAAATCTTAGAGGTCAGAGATCCTGTCATCTTCATTTTTGTATTCCTAATAGTTTATATATATTAGATGCTCAATAAAGTCTACTGCATGAATAGATTAATTCTTGAGGGCTAGACTCTTACCTTTTTGCGCATCTATTTATTTATGCATTTATTTATTTATTTATTTTGGAGACAAGGTCTCACTCTGTTGCTCAGGCTGGAGTGCAGTTCTTTTTATTTTTTATTTTATTTTATTTTTTTTGAGATGGAGTTTCGCTCCTGTTACCCAGGCTGGAGTGCAATGGCGCAATCTCGGCTCACCGCAGCCTCCGCCTCCTGGGTTCAGGCAATTCTCCTGCCTCAGCCTCCTGAGTAGCTGGGATTACAGGCATGCGCTACCATGCCCGGAATTTTTTGTATTTTTAGTAGAGACGGGGTTTCACCATGTTGACCAGGATGGTCTCGATCTCTTGACCTCATGATCCACCGGCCTCGGCCTCCCAAAGTGCTGGGATTACAGGCGTGAGCCACCGCGCCCGGCTTCTTTTTTATTTTTTTAATGCTTCTGCACAACTCTAAATATACTCTCAGAAGTTCTCATATATGAATCCAAAATTTTGCTTAAAGAGCAGCTCACCATCAATGGGCAGGTTGTTTTTCAGATCTTGGTATTCCTCTTCCTCAAGTTTAAAGCCCATTTGTTCCATGAAGGGTTTTAGCTTATCAACACTAAGCCTCACTCCTTAGAAAAAAAGAGGACAGGATTGCTTATAGACATTATTAGAGGTAACGAAAAGAGAAAAAGAAAAAAAAGAGGGCAGGAATGAGAAATGCAAACAATAACAATAAAGTGAAAACTACTAGGCATTTCCATGACTAGTATTTAGAGGGTAAACAAACAAATAAATAATAAAGTTGTTTGTATGAAAAGAATTGTCATGTGAATCAGGAGCAGAACCTGCTCTCCCATTTTTGTCTAGAGGATCTGACTATAGCTTTCATAGGACATTTATAAGGAAAAAAAATGAAGAGTAGCAAGTCTGATGAAATTTGGCAATAAACTGTCTTTATAATTCTAATTGTAAAATACATTTTAAATGCAGTGATAGAATAAAAAATCATTTCCCTAAAGGTACTATGTTCAAAGTAGTAAATGATGAGACAGAGACACTTAATATTAACAGGTTAATTGCCAAACTTGTCATCACCACAAATATATATTTTGGTGGTTTTAAAAAAGTTAATGCAATTGGTTTTACCTGATTTCTCACTTACCTGGGAGAGATCTTAAACCATCCAGCAACTTATGCTTATACAACTTTCCAGCAGCTGTAAGATATTAAAGCACACTATAGCAACTGATAGGGAGGCCTGATAAAATATTTTAAAACCCAGCAATTTCAGAAGAATAACTCTTATAACTTTACTCAAATCTTTTCATGTTTTTGTTTATACCCTAAATAAGAATTAGACCAACAGGAGAAAGCTCTTAAGATTGTAAATCTACCTACTTTTTCTTTTTTGACAATCAAAACAGTTAGTGGTACCTTGCCATGCCTTTCTCATATCTCTTTTCTTCCGATTTTTCCTTTTCTACTCCTCTGCTTAAGATCATACATATTAGTGTTCCCCAGGATAATGTTACGTTTAGCTCAGCTGACTCCTGAGCAAAAAAACCTGATGACTATGACAAGACTTCTTTGAATGCTAGCATTGAGCATTTCTACACATTTTTCACATGATATCAGATGGATATTGCTTTGTATTTTCATTGACAGGCCCATGAAAATAAATTCTTCTTTAAGGTAATCAGTGAGATATTGTCTGTTGCCATGACAGGTTTCATATTTACAGAAATTCATCTATTCCCACATAGGTGGTGAGGTAGCATGGATTTCTGCTTCCTCTCCACAGATCAACCCTGGAGTAACTAAAATTTGAGCAGAAATTTGGATTTTAGAAACCAAGTGAAAAGCCACATCAAAGTTCTTGGGAAATGAAAACCTGTACGTAGTGTGTGTGTGTGTGTGTGTGTGTGTGTGTGTGTTTACAGCCTAGAGTAGAGGGCTAGCAGTGGCAGTTAAAGCAATCATGAATCTAAGGTTATCATTGCCTACTCCTTCACCGTAGAAAGCAGCAGCAAAAGGCTAGACCAATGGTCAGCACATAAACTCTTCAGGAGGGAAGGACTAATGTAAACAAGAGAAGACTGATAAACTGCCCTGTGGCATTTTATCCTCCTTTAACTTTTATGGTTGGAAGGTTGCATTCTTTCAACTCTATGTTTCTCTGTGGTGAAAGGTGAAATTTACATATGGATTTTACCTAAATTATTGATTAAATCCAGTGAAATTAATAAAGTATTTCATCACATATTGTGAATATCACTGTGTACTCTATACTATATCAACATGAAATTATACATGGTTCCTCAAACATGGCATGTTGGGTAAGCCTCTGTGCCTTTATTACGTTTTTCTTTTTAGTTCTTGCCATTTCCTCCTGTTAAATTCTTCAAGCTCATTTGAAATAATATCCACTCTGTGAAGCCTCAGAGTCTCCAGTCATAGCTGGTCAATCTTCTCCTTTTACTTTCATAGCAGTATGTATTTATTAATATTATAGCACTTACCATGGTGCATAGCATTTTTTTAGTATGTGCTGTCCATCTATACATTGAATTCTTTTAGGACCTGGACATTGTCTTTTTTATTCTTTATGACTCAGGGCCAAATATAATGTCTAGTACCTAATGGCAACACATTAACTTTTAGTGAATGGATGAATAAATACCTCATTGTAACTTAAATGCTTACCATCAAGTGATAAACTTTTCATCAACACCGAGTTTTCCTTCAGTGTGAGGCTTAACCCCATGTTTCTCAGAATATCTTCCAGGTCTTCATAGTTAATTTCTTCCCCTTAAAAAAGAAAATAATGGCAAAAGATCACATTTCAATAGTAATTATAAAATAAACTATGTCTGTGTAGCACCATCCTCTAATATAGGATAAAAAACAACAGAATCATCAGTGTTGTCTGATTACCCAGAATGAGAAGGGAGATTTCAAAAATGAAACTTCTTTCTGGTAGAAGAAAGCTCTTTAATGTTGGGAACAAGAACCAAACACAGCACACAGAAAGTTACTGTTTTTGTAATAGTTCACTAAATGAGGTGGTATGAATAATTATGCCAGCATGTAATATTTGCATGAACTTATTATTAGTAGCCATATTACCTGTATGTGTAATTTGTACTGCTATTTTGCTATCAAAACAGTAAAGAATGAAATTATATTATTGAAAAACTCCAAAGAATATAGGACATGTTTTGTAGGCATTACACTGTGGCCTTTTAAATAAGATGTAGGTAACAACTGATTATATTATAATAATTAATAACATTTAGTTTATAAAGGATGTCTCTTTAGTTGTATACACATTGCCAATAAAAACAGATACAGTGTCAGGATTAATATGTTATGGACAAAATAACATAAAATACTTTCAAAATAATTTCTTTTGTTAAATATTTAGATGATTTTTATTGTCTTATCATCATTTCTTCTGACTCACCTAAAACTTCATCTACTGCATTCAGAAGTAAATCCAGTTTAACTGTTCTCTCATCTATAAGACAAGACACAATTTTGAAATGGCCCTGCTAGGGACTGACTGGATTATATCCCCCAAGATTCATATAATGAAGCCCTAACCCCCAATGTGACTGTATTTGGAGATAGGGTCTTTAAAAGGTAATTAAGATTAAATAAAATTATAAGCCTGGGTCCCTGATCCAATGTGGTTGTGGCCTTATAAGATGAGGAAGACAGAGATCTCTTTCACCCTCTCTCCATCTTGTAAGGACATAGCAAGAAGGTAGTCATTTATAAGCCAGAAAGGGACCCCTCCCAGAAACCAAATTGGCCAGCTCCTTGATCTTAGACTTCCTATCTCCAGAACTGTGGAGAAATAAATTTCTGTTGCTTAAGCCACCTAGTCTATAGTATTTTGCTATGGAAGCCCAAGCATACTAATAGTGGTCCCAATTACATAAAATTCTTAAACTGTGAAGTAAAGTGTTAAGGATTTGGCAGTTGCCCAGAATTTTTTCTAATTATATATATATTTAGAAAAAAAGTGTGTGTATATATACACATGTGTGTATATATATATATATATATATATAATGTAAGTATATATATATTTTATGTATATACTTTTATACATCTAAAACTACATATATACACTTATACTCTCTCTCTGCATGTGTGTGTGCACGTTTGTGTGTGTGCACATGTGTGTATGCATATACACTTCCTTTTTAGAAACAAGGTCTTGCTCTCTTGTCCAGGCTGGAGTACAGTGGCGTGATCACAGCTCACTGCAGCCTCAACCTTTAGGGTTCAAGTGATCTTCCCATCTCAGTCTCCTGAGTGACTCAGACTACAGGCATGTACCACCATGCCTGGTTAATATTTTTACAATTTTTTTTTTTGGTACAGATGGGGACTCCCTATGCTGCCCAGGCTGGTCTTGAACTCCTGGGCTTGAGTGATCCTCCTACCTTGGCCTCCCAAAGTGCTGAGGTTATAGGCACAAGTCACCCCATTTAGCTCTAATTAGATCGTTTATTTTTACTTATTATAAGCATAAAATTGAGAAAGGAAAAATAATCTAAATATGATAAACACATTTATTCTATTCAGTCAATTTTTCCTGTTTTTGTTATTCCCTCACTAATGTGAAAGAGGAGAATAGAGAGAAATTCTTTTTATTTTTAAATTCATCAAATACCTGATGGTCTGGGGAAAAAATTCTAAAATTCAGATGGAACCAAAAAAGAGCCAAAGCAATCCTAAGCAAAATAAAACAAAAAAAATCAACAAACAAAGAAAAACCAAAGCTAGAGGCACTGTATTACCTGACTTCAAAGTACACTACAAGGCTACAGTAACTAAAACTGCATGGTACTGGTATAAAAACTGACACATAAACAAATGGAACAGAATAGAGAACCCAGAATAAATCCACACACCTGCAACCATTTGATTTTCAATGAAGTCGACAAAAATAAGCAATGGGAAAAAAACTCCTATTGAAAAAATGGTGCTAGGATAACTGGCTATCCATATGCAGAAGAATAAAACAGGACCCTCTACCTATCACCATACACAAAAGTTAACTCAAGATGGATGAAAGCCTTAAATGTAAGACCTCAAACTATAAAAATCTTACAAGAAAACCTAGGGAATAGCCTTTCTGATATTGACATTGGGAGGGAATTTGTGGCTAAATTTTTTTAAAGCAATTGCAACAAAACCAAAAATTGACAAATGAAACCTAATTAAACTAAAGAGCACACAGGAGCATGGCAAGAGAAACTATCAAGAGAGTAAACAGATAACCTATGGAATGGAAGAAAATATTCACAAACTTTACATCTGACAAAGGTCTAATATCTAGAATCTATTAAGAAACTTAAAGAGCAAAAAATTATTACTCCATTTAAAAATGGGCAAAGGACATTAACAGACATTTCTCAAAAGAAGACCTACAAGCAGCCAACAGACATGAAAAAAATACTCATCATCACTAATCATCAGAGAAACGCTAATCAAAACCACAAGATACCATCTCACACCAATCAGAATGGCTTTTCTTGAAAAGACAAAAAATAACAGATGTTGGTAAGGCTGTGGAGAAAAGGAAATACCTACACACTGCTGCTACTGCTGGTGAGAATGTAAAATAGTTCAGCCACTGTGGAGAGCAGTTTGGAGATTTCTCAGAGAACTGAGAACTGAACTGCCATTTGACCCAGTAATTTCACTACTGGGTGTATACCCAAGGGAAAGTAAGTCATTCTACCAAAAAGACACATGCACTTGTATGTTTATCACAGCACTATTCACAATAGCAAAGACATGAAATCAACCTAGATGCCCATCAATAGTGGACTTCATAAAGAAAACATGGTATATATACACCATGGAATACTAAATACTATGCAGCCATGTAAAAGAACAAAATCACATCCTCTGCAGCAACAGGGATGCAGCTGCAAAGCATTATTCTAGGCAAACTAACACAGAAACAGAAAACCAAATACCACATGTTCTCACTTATAAGTAGAAGATAAACCTTGGGTATTCATGGTCATAAAAATGGGAACAATAGACACTGAGGAATATAAGAGGGGGGAGTGTGGAAGTGGGGTAAGGATTGAAAAAACCCCTGCCTATTGATTACTATGATCACCATCTGGGGGACAGATTCTTTCATACTCCAAACCTTAGTATCATGCAATATACCCATGTAACAAGTCTGCTCATGTACTTCCTGATTCTAAAACGAAAGTTGGGGGAAAGAAGAGAAATCCAATATATAATATTTTGTAAGCACTGTAAAATGACAGTAAAAATGTCAGTGAAAGTGAAATCAACAAGGAATATCTAGCCACATACAAATTTTATTAAAATCAATTTGAATAACAGTTCAAACTAAGAATATTTTACAAAAATCAGTGAAGTACAAAAATCAGTGAAATACTTAAGGGAAAGCCTTGTGATTAGAGTCAAAGGATTTGAATTCATTGAACTGCTGCCAATGCTAACTTAAGGTTATAGAAAAACATCAAATCTGGCCTTGTCCACTACTGTTCACTAAATAGAACGTTATCATTTCAAAAATATGTTCAAATCATAAAAATACTTGTAAGTATTAATAAAATAATTACATTCTTAAAAAAATGTATTTGTTGGGTGCATACCCAAGCTCTGTTTCAGTGCTGGGGATATAATAGCAAACAACATGAATCTCTGCTTCTGTGATGGCAGTCACTAATGTAAAAGCAATCACTGGGTTATGAACTATTTCAAACCCAACAATAGGGCACTACATTAAAGCATTGAATGCTTATTTCCTCCTACTTATTCCAAATATTTTAAATGGCTCTCTAGCTGTTCTTTATATCTCTTTAGTTTATTGCTGTACTTTTGTTTTTTTTGGTTGTACTTTTGAAACTTAGCCTTCATAGAACAGAGTTAAACTCTAGTAATATTTATTTCAAGACATTAACTGGTCTCTCCTCTAGATAATTTAAAGTGGGGCCATATCCCCATTTTAATAGGAGCTTTAAATACTCTTGCTTGGTTCATGTGTTATACAGTTTTGTGAAAAAAGGATTAGAGGTTGGGCAAGAAATAGAAGACCACTTTTTTGGCAAGCAGAAAGTCTTATAGCTTCAAGCATGATAGATAATGTTAGATAAGCTTTGGTAATTCAGGACTTCTGAATGCTTATCAAACTATTACACTATCTCATGCTGCTAACGATGTTAATTAAGATGCTCAAGATGCTGACACCAAGAGTTAAACAGAGTGCTCTGACAAGATTGTGTTGCTAAAGATCATGCAAAAAGGTGATAATCCCAAATACATATATCAACGTATATTTTCCTTTATTGTAAGGGTTAGCTATTTCAACAAAATTAACTGTAGTGGGGTTGCTTATATAAAATGAAGATTCATGGGCTCCACCCTAGATCTACTTGATCATAATCTCAAGGGAGGGGTGGTTTCTATGCAATCTAAAGTTAAAGACCTATGAATTTATTAAATGTGATTGTTAGAAATGTGTTTTATATATTTTACAATAGTACATACAACTTTTAACAATTTCCACCATTTTCTTTTTTCTCTCTTCTTTATTTCTCTCTGAATTATTTCATAATTTTCTCCACCTTCTCCTCAAATATTCTTTTTCTTTTAACTTATATACTAGATCCCAACACTGACCATGATCTTATTTTGGTGCTTTTGGTATAGAAACTCTGGTAGCAGCAATGTAAGAAATTATATATATAATTATATATAGATCTACATATACACACACACACATACACACAAATTTGTGTGTATATATATATTTACATTTATATTTGAAAGAGGGTCTCATTCTCAGAGTCATCCAGGCTGGAGTGCAGTGGCACCATCACAGCTCACTGCAGCCTCAACCTCCTCAGGGTCAGTTGATCCTCCCACCTCAGCTCCCCAAGTAGCTGAAACTACAAGCATCCACCAACACACCTGGCTATTTTTTTTTTTGTTTTTGTATATTTTTTGGTAGAGATGGCATTTCACCATGTTGCCCAACTGGTCTCAAGCTCCTGGACTCAAGAAATCCGCCCACCTCTGCCTCCCAAAGTGCTGAGATAACAGATGTGAGGCATTGCACTGGGCCCAATTATTGATATTTTATCTCAGATTAATAATAAGGGACACTATTTCTTCACTCTTCGGACTGGGTCTCTATATGCTTCTGACTTTTTACACAAAATTAATAAGTATACTTGAGGTGTTCTCATAGAAAAACAAAATTTTTGTTACAGGGCCCTGTATTTTTGAAATGCTCACCATCAATTGGCAAGTGTTCACACAGCTCCTCAATTTCTTCTTCTTCAAGTGGGATTCTCATGTTTTCAAGAGCATCATCTATTTTATCAACATTAATCTTTCCTCCTTAAGAAAGAAGGGGATAAGAATAAAATAAATTTGTATTGATGCCAAAGAAAGAAAAATGCTTGCTTATTTCAGTCAATCAACACAGACAGAAAGCACCATAAAGCTCTTGAAGTGAACAAAAGAATCAGTTGTGGAGTAGGAACAGAAAAATTTTCCCTCATCAGTGTTCCAGAAAACACTGTTACAGCAATTTCTAGGATGAACTGACCCAGAAGAAAATGAGCAAGCAAGACTCATGAATTGTTGCAGAGACAACCAATCCAAAGACTTCTTAACCACAAAATAGTGTAGGCTATTACACAAAATGCAATTGTGTATAAGTAACAATGCCAGCTCATAATTGGCGCTCATAATATTAGCTCATACTAATATAAAACATAATTAGTAATCTAATCATGGGGAAATAAGACAGGTTTTAGAAAAGTAAATGCAAAAGCTTGAAGAACTCAGTTTTATCTTTCCTAGTATGACTTTTACTCACCTCTGTAAGTCTTCACTTCATCCATCAACCTATTTTTATATACCCTTTTATTATCTGCAAAATAAGGGTCAATTTAATTTACAAGGAAGTGGAAATTTAGAAAGACGTCAATGCTTATTAGCAAATTTTTATAAATTTATAATAATCCAAAGAAGGAAGTAAAGAAATTAATGTTTCTCAAGGTTAACTATATTCTGGCATTTGGTGTGCTATTAGTGGAACTCTAACATGTTGAAATAGATTTTTTTCTTTCCTTTTTTTCTGAGGTCCACCTTCCTTCCTTTCTATAATTCTTTTATCATATTTTCCTATCTTTAGCTTTAGTCTTGTTATAGATGCTGAGTCTCACATTTAGAATTGTTTATCCCATAGCAGCAATACCCCAAAGAAGACATTATCTCACAAATTAAGACATAAATGGTAAGGACAGTATTTTTATATTAGAATTGGCTCTTCCTATGCTTAATTTTCTCTTAATTTTGAATAGGGCTTTAAACAATTATACTTCTAGAATGTTATGTGTACAACCTGTAAACCCAGGATTCTGTGAAATTGACTGCATGGTCTGAAATGCTTACCATCCAATGGTACTATGTCCAGTAGATCTTGGTTTTCTTTATTTGTAAATTCAATACCTACATTTCCTAGATAAAGTTGTGTGTCACAGGCATTAATTTTACCACCTTAGAAAAAGATGGGAAAGATGATAAGCAAATATTTTCACATACAATGATTCTAAATTTAGAAAATTATAATAAAACAGTAATATCTCAACTTGCAAGAGATGTAATTGCAGAAGAATAACAACACAATGAGGATTATCTGGCTGCAGAGCACTATAAGAGGAGCTAATAATAGAATATTTCCTTTAAGCCTGGTCAAAAGAATGCTTTTATTCATGCTCTAAAAACAATGGAAAAAAATGCTTTTATTTATGCTCTAAAAACAATGGAAACAAGCCAGATACCTATAATAAAATAGACTTCTTTAACAAAAAGATACTTCTAAAAAGGTAGGCAATAAAAAAACTCATCGCTATTCTTAAAAACAAGCATGTTAGCAATACTGTGGTGAAATAAGACTTGCATGTCATATATAATACTGAGGCATTCCATAAATAAATATATTACAATATTTTTACATATAATAAGGTATCTTGATTGTATATCTTTTTGTTAGTACTTCTCACTTACCAGAAAATAAACTGGCTGCCCTGATCATAGAATTCAATAAAACCTTTCCATTCTCTGAAATACAAAGCATAAATAAGGTATAAACAAATCTTTTTATTGCTATTAGGAATGAGATCTCTTTTTTCCATAAAATTTTCTAAGTTATTGCTCTCATAGAGGGCATTTGTTAATTTTTTGAGTAGTTTTCTTATACTCAACTACCTTATAGAATTCGAAAGACCGGCTCAGCTACCTTACAGAACTCAAAAGACTGGCCGGGCGCGGTGGCTCACACCTGTAATCCTAGCACCTTGGGAGGCTGAAGCCGGCAGATCATGAGGTCAGGAGTTTGAGACCAGCCTGACCAACATGGTGAAACCCTGTCTCTACTAAAAATATAAAAATTATCTGGGCGTGGTGGTGCATGCGTTTAATCCCCTCTACTTGGGAGGCTGAGGCAGAAGAATCGCTTGAACTTGAGAGGCGGAGGTTGTGGTGAGCCAAGATCGCATCACTGCCCTCCAGCCTGGGTGACAGAGTGAGACAAACAAACAAACAAAAAGAATTGAAAAGATCATGTTTTAACATGCTAAATTGGATCTTAAAGTCTTCTCCTAAATTGTCCCTTTGACCTAAAAGATATCTGTCCAATGCCAGATGAATGGTTTCATGTCAGAAGTGGTTGATCGTCTATTTCAACTCCACTCTGACATTCATCTTGTATTTGTTCAATAAAAACATGATCACCTGCACCTTGCTTTCTTTCTTTTTTTTGAGATGGAGTCTCACTCTATCTCCCAGGCTGGAGTGCAGTGGCACAGTCTGTGCTCACTGCGACCTCTGCCTTCTGGATTCAAGTGGTTCTCCTGCCTCAGCCTCCAGAGTAGCTGGGATTACAGGTGTGCACCACCATGTCTGGCTAATTTTTGTATTTTTAGTAGAGATGGGGTTTCACCATGTTGGCTAGGCTGGTCTCGAACTTGTGACCTCAGGTGATCTACCTGCCTTGGCCTCCAAAAATGCTGGGATTACAGGTATGAGCCACTGCACCCAGCCTTGGACTTCTTACTTTCTAAGTGAAATTGAATAAGCAAACTCTCAGAGGTTCTACAAGAGGACTTTAAAAATTCTTCAGAAAGAAAGTGATAAATGGTAAATGAAATACCATCAAATTTCAAATGGTCCCGCAGATCTTTCATTTCTTCTTTTCCAAGTTTGTAGTCCATATTTTCCAGAATGGTTTCTAGTTTATTTTCAAAGACCTTCCCTCCTTAAAAAGAAATACGTGAAATAAGAAAAATGTGAAATAATATCTTAACTTTAAAAATTCTGTTGAGGTATATGCCCTAAATGCCAGTGAGAGAGAGAAAAGCAAAGTCACAATGCAGATGTTCAGAGAGAACATAAAACCAAGGTGGCAGGGGATTGGGTAGGGATATGAGGAAAAGAACAGCTCCTTATATGTGTTACATGATACCCTGCTAACAGTTTAAGTAGACTTTTGAGACAAAGAGAATGAATAAGGTTTATTATTCGTTCTTCAATTATGTCAGAAACAACAGCCATAATAGCAGCCACTGAATTTGAAACCTACCATTATAACAGTAAATTGTCTGTACAAATTTAGTGTTTATCTGAGCTTAAGCTACAAGTCATAAAAGGAAAGAAAAACATTAGCAAACTAACTGCTAACTATAGCACTAACTGTTGAATCAACACCTCTCTTCTGTGAGATGGTGATAATAAAAGTACCTACCTCGTAGTATTCCTGTGAGAATTAAATAAATTAATAGAAGTAAAGTATTTGGATTAGTGCCTGGTAATTAGAAATTAGTTATTGCTACCATTAAGTAATTAAAAGGACTTTAAATTCTTAAAAAAATTTTTTTCCAACTTTCATTTTGGGTTCAGGGGTACGTGTGCTGGCTTTTAACATAGGTAAATTGTGTGCTGCTGAGGTTTGGTGTACAAGTGATCCCATCACCTAGGTAGTGTGCATAGTACCTGAGAGGTAGTTTTTCAACTCCTGTCCTCCCTTCTCTACCCATCCTTGTAGTCCCCAGTGCCCAGTGACTATTATTCCCATCTTTATGTCCAGGTATAGTCATGGGCCAAGGGCTGCCACCTTGCTCTTCCTCTAGGAGGGTTTTTGGAAGGCACAGGAACCCCTCGTGACTTGACAGCCGGCTTCGAGGGAGTTGCCAGGTCTGTCCTCCCCTCTGCGTGGCTGACATGCCAACTCCTACAGGTGTCCCCACTGCTAAACGCACTCCCTGCAGTAGGAGATGGTTCAAAGTGTTAAAGAAAGAATGGCCTGTTCACACACATGGTGGCTTTTAGGCAGCTGCTTCCCATAAACATGGAAAGAGATCCACAGTCCATTTCAGTGGAAAAGAAAGATGACAGAACTGTCAGTATAATTTAATCCTAAAGTATGTAGACCACGAGAACTTATAAGTTCTCACTTATAAGTGAGAACATGCAGTATTTTCTTTTCTGTCCCTGTGTTAATTTGCCTAGAATAATGGCTTCCAGCTGCACCCATTTGCTGCAAAGGACATGATTTTTTGCTTTTTTTAATGGATGCATAGTGTTCCACGATGTATATATATTACAGTTTCTTTATCTGATCCACTACTGATGGGCATGTAGATTGATTCCATGTCTTTGCTACTGTGAATAGCGCTGTGATGAACATACAAGTGCATGTGTCTTTTTGGTAGAATGACTTATTTTCCCTTGGATATATAGCCGGTACTGGGATTGCTGGGTCAAATGGTAGTTCAACTCTCAGTTCTCTAAGAAATCTCCAAACTGCTCTACACAGTGGCTGAACTAATTTACATTCTCACCAACAGTATATAAGTGTTCCCTTTTCTCCACAGCTCCATTACCATCTGTTATTTTTTTGTCTTTTTAAATAAAGCCATTCTGACTGGTGTGAGAGCATATCCTATTCTGACTTTGATTTACATTTCTCTAATGATTAGTGATGTTGAACATTTTTTCATCTATTTGCCAGCCACATGTATGTCTTCTTTTGAGAAGCATCTGTTTTTATCCTTTGTAAAGGGACTTTCAGAAAGGAAATACAAAGCTTAAGGATTTCAGTTTTACTTGACTTCTTATGATACATATTACTCACCTTGGAAAGTCTTTAAACGATCTAGTAACAGATTGCGATACACCTTTCCATCCGCTGTAAGACAAGAGATAATTGATGTCACAGAGAAAGTGATACAGAAACTCGTAACAAGAATATATAGACTATTATTTCATAAAGACAACAATCTTACATGATTTGCCTTACAGATTTAACCAGTTTAGCATCCACAAATCCTTCTCTTCCTTGGCTTTAAGAATAAAATGAAGGAGTAGAGAAAAGTTCTATATTTATTGGTATTACTATGCTGAAACTATCTCTCTGCCTTGATCCTTTTTATTCTTCTGTTAATACCTAACTTCTCTTTTTTCTTCTTTTTCTTTATGCTTTAGGACTTCCAGGCATTCCCAAGGTATTATACTAAATTAAAAATATTTAATAAATTAAAAAATCTTTATTCATTTACAAAGATTTCAAGCTCAGTCCCAATAAGTACGCTCCATCACCATAATAGTCTTTATGAGAGCCAGGACTTTTCTCTTTAATCTCATTACCTAAGAATTACTCAGTGAATATGTTGAATATAAACATAGGTGGAATAAATGATTTCCCACTACCCCCAATAATATTGTCACCTAAACTAAGTTCCCCCAAAGGCCAAAGCTGTATCAGAAATGCTCACAAGTAATTGGCAGAGTTTTTAGTAGCTTCCAGCGTTCCTTAGGTGTGAGTTCTATCCCCATGTTTTTCAAAATATCATCTACTTCATTAGCATTAATCTTGGTTCCTTTGAAAAGATGGAAAAGATGATGAAAAAATTGAAAGTGACAAACGATTTTAAACTATGAATGTCATCTAAGTTTAATTGCAGGCTTAAATAGTCAAAATGCTGAATCAATATTCTAAGGGGATGTCAGAAATAGAACTCAATCTCATAATTCTAGAGAGGAAAGTACCTTCTGAATGCTCTAATAACAATGCGATAAATCAACACTCTGAAATGGGGCTTGTATAAAGGTCTATGCCTATGACTATTGTATAAACGACTATGTAAATAATTATTTGAAGATAGGTAGCATCCATATTTGCCTATGTGATAAGATGAATTATTCCCAAAAAGAATTATGACAATGTTTGTTTCACCAGTTACATGGTAATCTAGATTTCTGGCTGTTTAAACAATGGAAAAGTGATGTTCATTGTTGAAAAAAACCCAGAACATATAGGGTATTTTATCAAGACTTTATAATTTAGTAGTTTTGCTCAAAAAGTATATAGTAAAAAACTAACCTGGGTTGTTAGATAATAGAAGATTTAAAAGTATACCAGAAAAAGTATTAGAATATAGCTATATACAACAATTTTCCCTATAACTTTTTTTTTTTTTTTCCTTGAGACGGAGTCTGGCTCTGTTGCCTAGGCTGGAGTGCAGTGGTGCGATCTCGGCTCACTGTAACCTCTACCTCCAGGTTCCAGTGATTCTCCCACCTCAGCCTCCAGAATAGATAGGATTACAGGTGTGCACCACCACCCCTGGCTAATTTTTTATATTTTAGTAGAGACTGGGTTTCACCATGTCGGCCAGGCTGGTCTTGAACTCCTGAGCTCAAGTGATCCATCTGCCTTGGCCTCCCAAAGTGCTGGGATTACAGGCATGAGCCACTGTGCCCAGCCTACCTATAACTTTTCACTCACCTGTAAATGACTCTACATTTTCCATGACCTTATTCAGTTTAACCTTCTTTTCATCTGTAAGATAAGGTACAAATGAGACCCAGACATAATGACTCGGACCCAGAAAATACGCTATAAAGACCTTACACTGTAGAATAAAACACTAATATTCCTAAGTTTACCCTGATTTGTTCTATAAATGTATTCATTTTCATGCCCATATGAGCATGGAAGTGAATAATAAAGTTCCAAATATGATAAATATATAGCACAGAAGAAGAAATTACAGTATATAAAATGGTGCTAGGAAGTTTTAAAAGCATTGCTTTGACTTCCTTTCCACTTGCCTGTCCCACTTTAGAATCCAGGAATAACCCTATGTCTATCACTTAATTACTACAGGATTTAAAAGAAATATGTTCTATAATATTGGTGTATTTACCTACCTGAAAGGTCATAGCTGGCTACTTCTACATGCAACTGTTACTCAGCCCTTTCGCCATGCTTCCAACTCCCTGGCACAAAGATTTCCAATCTTTGCTGACTCTCATTTAATTTGTGTACTTCCTGGTTGATAATTCTCATTTCTAGGGCCACATCACACAACCTTCTTAAAGAATCATTCCTGTCATGGTCTGTGTGGCTCTGCTTACCTCCCTTATGTGAGGCAATATGATTTGGTAGAAAGGGCAAACCTTTGAAGTTATATATATCTGAGCTCCCATCTTTACTCTGCCACTTAGCAGCCACATGGCCTTGGGCAAATCAGTTAACCTCTGTGACGGATCTCAATTTCCACGTCAGAGAAATTAGGATGATAATCTTGTTTGCAGAGTTATTTTGAGGATTACTGCTAACATATGTCAAGTACCAATTATTGTTTTTGGTATATAGTAGGCAGTTAATACTTGATAATTATTATCTGTGGCTATTTCAATAGAGGTGATTAGTTTATATTACCAGGAATATGAGAGCATGAGAATAAGAGAAAGGACTGGCCAGTTTCCTACATTAGCTACTTAATTAGTACACAATTCTGTGTTCATATTAATTAAATTAACATTATTTTATGCAAATAGTCTTGCAAAATATGTGTCCAAGTGGGTAAGACTGACCTGATTTATATTAGCAAAGGTTTCTAGTAAAAAGACTTATTAAATAAAGGAAGACTTCATAAAATTCTGAATCAATGTGCTTTGAATCAGAAAGAGACATAGGTGTGATACATTTTTATAGTGCAGTAAGGATCTTAGTGAATTGGCTTTTAAATCAACATATCATTAATAATCTCAGACCCACACAATACACTGTAATACTCAGGAAAGTCACTGTGTTGCTATCAGAGAGAAGGATGTATTTTCTATTTCTTTTTCATAGGATTTGAAAAACTATGCTTTTTACATGATCAAAATAACATGCTTTAAAATGTTTACTCATATTATTATCCCTTAGCTGGGGGTGAGAGGTGGGTATGCCACAATTAAAAAGGTCCTCCCTGCCACAATTGGCAAACTAGCATCTATTCCTGCTTCATTTGGTAACAGTGCTTTCCCTTTTTGGGAGGGTATAGTGTCTTATCCTCTGTGAGCAATCTGTGGGCAATCAAAGTCCCTACCTTACCCTGGGCACCAAATGGTAAGGTCTAAAAAGATCCAATCAACAGTGAAAAACCAAAGGTGGATGTTGGTATTCTGGTCACCACCAAATGGCCAGGATAAGGTAGGGACTTTCATTGCCCTGCCCACAAATTGCTCACAGAGTGGTAAGACATATATCCTCTCTTGAGACTCTGAATCTTGAAAAGCACTATGTAAGGGTGATTCATTTCTGCTTCACTGCCCTGATAAAACTGTTAATTAGTTCCTGCGACATAGGCTCTTTGATGCTGCCTTGGTTTTCTCCTTTTTGATCCTGGTTTTTCATTTGTTTCTTTGATTCTGTGAACCGCTCCATGGCCTGGCAAAAATTTCTTTTGTACTTAAATAAGCCAGATTTAGTTTCTTTTGCTTGTAGTCACAGAACCAGAATACTAAGAGCCACCTTGGTTTTCTCTTTGATTGGGTCTTTTTAGGCCAAGCTGGCAGAACATTATTTTTCTTAGTGTCAGGGCTAGTTATAGGTTAAAGCATCATGGAATATGTATGCTGATACCAGCAGGTTGCTTAACTATACCAGCCAATCACCAGTCTATAGAGAATAGTTCATCAGTGGTGAACTATTTGCTCTAGATTCACTTGCAGTAGCTTGTGAATGCTGGTAATTTATCTCCTCCTTTATCAGGTATGGAATGGAGAAGATTGTGATTTACAGTATTTTAAAGGGTGTGCCGGGCACAGCAGCTCATGCATGGAATCCCAGCACCTTAGGAGGCTGAGGCAGGTAGATCTCTTGAGCCCATGTGTTTGAGGTCAGCCTGGGCAAAATGACGAAAATCCACCTATACAAAAAAATACAAAAATTATTTGGGTGTGGTAGTGCAATGGCATCAGAGTTTGGCCTTGAACGTAGGACTCACTGTAACAGATTATTGATCTCTGATTTAAACATTTGAATCTGAGATAATAGATTTTTTTATATTAATACATTTTGAATTTTATTAGAGGATCTCAGAGCTTCCTTAGCTACTCGGGAGGCTAAGGTGGGAGGATTGCTTGAGCCTGGGAGGTCAAGGCTGCAGTGAGCTGTGATTGTGCCACTGCACTCCAGCCTGGGCAACAGAGACAGACTCTGCCTCAAAATAAATAAATAAATAAATGAAATAAAGTGTGGCTTTTTCCTTGGGTCTGTCTCAGTTTATGATCCTATCCCTCAGGAAGTAGTTCAACTTTGTCTCAATTGCTTATGGCATCAGCAAACAGCTTTACGTAGGTTAAACCAGAGAAAGGAGTGTTCTTGGCCTTTTATTAAGCAATGTCTGTTATATATATATTTTAAAATGAATCTTCAATTTTTTCTTTTTAAAAATTATTTATTGCTTTAAAGTATATCAATTTAAGAGAGATCCTGGTGGATGGTCAAAAGGCTAGATTCTTCTTCCTGAATTCATTCATCTGCTCCATAGATTTAAGAAGTCCTGGTTGGGCACAACGGTTCACGTCTGTAATCCTAGCACTTTGGGAGGTCGAGGTGAGCACATTGTCTGGGCTCAGGAGTTCTAGACCAGCCTGGGCAACATGGCTAAACCCTGTCTCTACTAAAAATACAAAAAAATTAGCCAGGTATGGTGGTGCACACCTGCAATCCCAGCTACTCAGGAAGCTGAGGCAGGAGAATTGCTTGAACCCAGGAGGTGGAGGTTGCAGTGAGCTGAAATTGTGCCACTGCCCTTGCTCTGGGTGACAGAGCAAGACTCTGTCTCACGCACAAACACACAAAAATCCCGGTCCAAGGTTACGTTTTCCAATCTTGTTGTTGGTGTTCAATTCTATTATATGAGGGGAGAATATACCAGCTATGCTTTCTGAGATTTCTAATAACCCTCATTCTGATGTTGGCTTCTGGCCTCAATTAGGGGACTACAGTAAAGGGTTAAATGCCTACTTTCTGCTCTTTTATTTCTACTAAGTCGTATCTTCTTTCAATCTTGGCTTCACTATATGTAGAAACAGATAGGTTTATACATAAACTATCTAGGAAACAAAATAGGAATATGTAGTCATTATGTAAAGTGAGGTTTCTTAATGTATTTAACTTATAAACTCTCTTTAGAACCTTATCTTTTTTTCTTTTTTTAAAATAAAAATTATTTCTTTTAATTTTAGCAGTGAGATCTAAGTGTATAGAACCTAACCTTAAAATGAAACTCCATTAGCTCATTTAATCCTCATAACTATAAACTAATCTATTGCTTATATTGATATTGAGGCTTAATATTAGGACAGAATGGTGTAAACTCTGTGGACAAGCAGGAACACTTTTCAAATCTCCACCTAGCACTTTTTTTTTTTTTAAAACTTTTATTTTAGTTTCAAGGGTACCTGTGCAGGTTGATTCCATAGATAAATTGTGTGTTGTGGGGGTTTGGTGTACCCTATTATTTTGTCACCCAGATAATAAGCATAGTAGCAGATATTGAGTGCACATGGATACAAAGAAGAGAACAGCAGACATCAGATAGCAGTTTTCTGATCCTCACCCTCCCCCTACCTCCAAGGCTGAGGTAGGCCTTGGTGTCTGTTGTTCTCTTCTTTGTGTCCCTGTGCATTCAATATTTAGCCTCCACTTATAAGTGAGAACATGTGGTGTTTGGTTTTCTGTTCCTGTATTAGTTTGCTTAGGGTAATGGCCTCCAGCTCCATCCATGTCTGGCACTAATTTTCTATTAGGGATTTATTAGTTATCTTAAAGCCAGGATGATTAGGCATGTTGTCTCTTCTGTCACAATATCTCCCTTCCTTTAGTCTAGTTAGACTTTATGGTGACTTAAGGGATTTTCTTTTTTCCGATTGATTTGTATCTTCTCTAACTTCATTTTCCTTTGAAGTGTTCCTTTGTTTCATTTCTCTGTTCTTACCTTTGTCAACTTCCTCAATGGCATAAGAGTTTAGTCTTGAAGGTAGGACTCACTGTAACAGATTACTGGTCTCTGATTTAAACATTCTAATCTGAGATAATAGATTTTTTTATATGAATACATTTTGAAATTTTATTAGAGGATCTCAGAGTTTCCTTGAATATATAATGATATGCTCACCAGTTGTTGGCAGGTGGTTCTGCAGGTCTTCAATTTCCTCATCTTCCAGCTCATAACCCATGTTTTCCAGGATAGTACCAATTTTAGAGACATTGCACTTTCCACCTTAGGAAAGAAGGAAGTGATAAAAAATAGGAACCGATAGCTAAAAAAAATTCTGATTCTAGTCACTCATCAATAACAATCAAATAGAACAAATCCATTGTACGGTAATAATTAAAAAAAAACTATTTAGGGCCGGGAATATAACGTTTTGCCACTCTTATTTCAGGGGATTCTTTCTATAGTTTGCAGAAAAGGTGTATTTAAAAGAAAATTACATATTACATAATATATAATTTTATTATATACTAATTATGTGTACTACTTTGTATATTATAAATTACATATGTATTTTTTAAAGGAACCTGATGAATTATGTTAGATTAGAATTAGAGCTCTAGTTAGCAAACAGAATTTAAAACTTTTTCAAAGTATAAATTATCACATTAAATATAGTTGTATCTAAGACCTATAGGCTAATGGGACAATAAAATAAATAATCTAATTATTATCTAATGATAAGGTCTTTTAATAGTTAAGGTAAAGCTTATAAGTCATAGTTTTACTTGCCTTATTGGGATTTTTACTTACCAGGAAATGATTTCATCTTATCAAGCAATACATTTTTATATACCTTTCCATCATCTGTAAAATAAGGCACAGTTAAGATCAAAGAAAAATTACATAGACAGTCAAAGAAAGAGTAGAAAGAACATAATTTTTTTTTTTTTTTAGATGGAGTCTTGCTCTGTCTCCCAGGCTGGAGTACAGTGGCACAATCTCAGCTCACTGCAACCTCCACCTCCCAGATTCAAGGAATTCTCCCACCTCAGCCTCCTGAGTAGATGGGATTATAGGTGTGTGCCACAGCCTCCCAAAGTGCTGGGATTACAGGCATGAGCCACCACACCTAGCCCGATTTTTAAATGTGGATTTTAAAAAAGTACTTTCTTAATTTGCATTCCTACATTTCCTATACCCACATCTCTTCATAGCTTAAGTCAAAAAATGAGAAGAAAATTCTTAATGCGGACAGTACATTCATTATACCACACTGAAACAGATGTGCCTTTTCCCCCACTCTGAGTTTTCCTTTTTCCGTCTCTTTGCTACCAGCTAATTCAGCTTTCTTTTTCTCTTTGCCCTCAAGCTTTATTTAAACTCAGGATAATGATACTCTTAATGGCAGTACTCAGGTTTGAAGATATGACAGTTTCTCAAAACTATAAATTTAAATGTCAAATGCATAATATATTTACAACCGGAGGTTAATCTTTTTCTTTTCTTTTTTTTTTTTTTTTTGTGACAGGGTCTCACGCCATCATGCAGGCTGGAGTGCAGTGGTGTGATCTTGGCTCACTGCAACCTTTGCCTCTGGGATTCAAGCAATTTTCCTGCTTCAGCCTCCTGAGTAGCTAGGATTACAGGAGTGTGCCACTACGCCTGGCTAATTTCACCATGTTGAGTTTTATCATGTTGGCCAGGTTGGTCTCAAACTCCTGACTTCAGGTGATCTTCCCAATTTGGCCTTCCAAAGTGCTGGGATTACAGGTGTGAACCACCATGCCCAGCCTCTTTTTGTCTTTTTATAGGAAATCAGAGGGGCCTATTTTTATGATATTCTCACATTGAAGTCCCCAATAGCACAAAGATAAATATCATAGTAGTGCATAAAATACCTACCAGTAATTGGCAAGATTTTCATCAGGTTCCAGAGCTCCCTATTTGTGAGCTCTATCCCCATGTCTCCCAGTACTTTTTTTATGTCCTTGGCTTGAATTTTTCCTCCTTTTAAAAGACGGGAATGTGAGACAGGTGAGAAATGCCTACTGACTCAAAATGATGAAAAGTGTTTATGTTTGTATAGTATTATCTATAGCTTTCAGATGAAGAGCACAGGAAATGGAAGTTAGTTCTTTAAATCTAAATAAGATCCTTATTTATAACGCTCTTAATGACTTAGAGAACTGAACCCAGCTCATAGTAAAGGGTTGTACAAGTTACTCAGTGATCTAAATATGTATAAGCTGTTACCTAATATGAATCATATGAATCTGGTAAAATCTGTGTTACTTTTGCTTTGCTTGAATTACGAGATAGATTAGTTTCACTGACTACATTATTTGTATACCTGTCAAAGTTTTACCTTAATGTTTACTGTGTTACTGTGGGGCTAAGTAAGTGTTTTGAATGAATGAACACATGTGTTGCCTATTTAATCACAGTGAAATGAATCACAAAATAAAAATGAGGTTTCAGAGTATAAGACTTGTTAGAGAGGTGCAGCACCACAAAGTTGATGCTAAAACATAAATAATCCAGTGGAATCTTCATCATTAAACCCAAACTTTAACAATTAAAAAAGAAGTTAATAAGTCAATGATAGAATAAGAAAATACAATTTTAAATATGTATATGAAAGTGAAATATTTTCATTTTAGTTTTATATCTTTTCACAAAATGTCTTGCTCACCTGTGAATTTATTTACTTCTTTTAGTAGTTTATGCAGATCAGTCATCCCGGAAGCTAAAAAATAATAAATACAAACAGACATAATTGTGTGCTGATTCGAAAAGATTGTCAGAGCAAAGGAATCATTTTCTTTATGATTCGTTTTGAATTATAGCCTAATAACATACATAGATAAGCATAAAATAGGGAAAATTACTCTACAAAAATGTTAACTATTAATTTCATCAATGATTCTCCCCTTCTCTCTTTTAAGATCTCAACCTTTACACATCGTGGAACATCTTCCCTCCTGGGGCATGGTCTCTTTACACTATCTACTACCAAGTCCTAACAACAAGAGGAAAACATTTCCATTTGGAACCTTAAGATATTTCCCCATTGAACATACCAACATTCCACTTTTGTACTTATTTTTTAGTAGATATGTTCATTATATCCTCAAAGATACATTCATTACATACTCAAAATAAAAATAAATCAAAGTGCTTTTAAATAGAGAATGTTTCTACTTATTCTATATCCCATCCAGACATCCTAACCCAGCATACTAGCATAAGACTTTACACATAGCAGTATTAAATACTTCAAAATTAAATGGTGGATTGGAACATATTACAATGGCACAAGTAACTCTCAAATCAGCATATTTTCTCTAAGTTGCAGATGCAGTCTATTTCAGGGTAAGAAGAAAACTAGAAACTATGCACACTATTGGTGTTTTGGTATTTTCTTGCCGTAAAAGGTTGTTTTTATTTTTTATTTTTTTCCAGACAGAGTCTCACTCTGTCACCCAGGCTAGAGTGCAATGGTGCAATCTTGACTTACTGCAACCTCCACCTCCCTGGCTCAAGCAATTCTCGTGCCTTAACCACCCAAGTAGCTGGGATTTTAGGCGTACACCACAAGTTGACCCGACTAATTTTTGTATTTTTAGCAGAGATGGAGTTTTGCCATATTGACCAGGCTAGTCTTGATCTCCTGGGATGATCCGCCTGCTTCGACCTTTCAAAGTGGTGGGATCACAGGCATGAGCTACCCAGCTTGGCCAAAAGGTTATGTTATTTATTAGTATGCAATCCCATCCTTCCTTGGGGGTAGTTTCCATAACACATTTTCCATACATTTAGTTAGCAGATTTGCATGTTGGGGACTCTAATTATATACAGAACAATGTATTACATAAAACTCCTATGGAGCACAGAAATAAAACAATATGAAAAATAGTGAAGAGAAGTTTAGGACCATGGAGGATACAGCAATAAGGTTTACCTTACATTTAATCAGAGTTACAGAAGAAACAAACCTATGGATTAAAGACAATATTGGAAGAGATGATAACTAATAATTTTTCAGATCTGATAAAAGATTCCAATTGTCAGACTCAAAAAGCCCAGTGAATCCCATGGAGAATAAATGAAAACAAATACATTCCAATCTTCCATAGTGAAACTTCAAACCAAAGACAAATGTCTTAAAAGCAGCAGCAGCAGCAGCAGCAGTAACAACAACAATAACAACAAAAAGATTACTTTCTAAGGAAAAATAAATAGATTCACAGTTGACTTTTCATCACTTCTCATCAGCAACATTAGAAGGCAGAAGATAGTGAAATGATATCTAAAATGTGCTAAAAGAAAATAACTGTCTACCTAGACTGCTACATCCAGAGAAAATATCTGTCAAAAAGTAGAGCAAAACAAAGATATTTTCAGACCAAAAAGAAAAAAGGAGTATTTGTCACTAGCAGATCCTAAATAAAGGATATTATGTTAGTGATCCCAAAGGGAAGGCTTGAAGTACAAGAAAAAATGAAGAGCAAAAAATAGGTAAACATTTGGGTAAATCTGAATAGATGCTGACTTGGTAAAATACTATTACTTACATAGTTTTGCTGAATTAAAAGAAAACAAGATAGCATGAATGACATAAAAACAACATTAATATGGGGAAGGGGAAAAATAGAGTTAAAATGTTCTCAGGTCCAGAAGAAAATGAATTTGGGGATGTAGTAACCTGCAAATTTATATGATTTTCTTTATCAAGGTCAGCAATAGAAGTGAAGATCTGAATGACTGGGTTGATCAAAATTTGTTTAATAGAGCAGGAATGACAGAGAGAGTAGTTTGACAACCAAAGAAGTTAGAAAATAGTTTATATATTGAAAGGGGATGGAGAAATCCAGGAACTGGCATTTTTGATGAAGATGAGGTATATTTCTTGGGAATAAGAGAACTGGAAGGTTAAAAAAGAAGCTAAAATATTGCTTGTTACGATTTCTAAAGTAGAGGAGATGAGACCAAAGAAGGAATAATGTGAGCCAATGCCAAAACACAGGAAGAATGGATCATGAAGTTGGTATATCACAAAGGTATAGAGAAATGTATAGCTGGATGATAGGACCTTCAAATGTTATTATACTATATACTAACAAAAATAAAAAAATAAAAAGTTACTAAAATTATGTACTTAATCTGAAATTAATGACCACTTCTCTTTGGTTAATAAGCTATCTAGCAACTCTCAAGTACAGACTTATTTATAACTCACTCTAACACATATACCATGTACCCTGAAATTAATAAAAATGCACCAAATCAAAATGTGTTCTTATATTAGGACTGAGTTCTTCTCTAAGTTATAAAAAGCCATATTAGCACCCAAACAGATCTAGCCTTAGGAATTCTCATACATAAGCCTATAAATAAAATTTCCTCAAAAGGTCTAATATTGTCTATGTTGCTCACCATCAACTGGTAGGTTTTGTGACAAATCTTTAAGTTCCTTATCTGGAACCATGATTTTCATGTTTTCCAAAATGTTTTCCAGGTTACTAACATCAACCTTTCCACCTAAGGAAAGAATCAAGAATACGAGGGAAATCACAAGAAAATTTCAGTTAATCCCCATGTACTGTGGCTATCAGCAAAAATATCAATGACCCAAATGTTTAAGTGCATAAAGGTGGACAAGATGGGATTAGAATTGTAGCCTCTTGGCTGATCTTGAAAATCCTACAAATTACAGATTGATTTTCCAATGAATTACAATTGTGGAGACAAAGTGAAAACATCTTTCTGGTAGGAAGGGCCTAAATGCTCAGTTTAGTTCTTTCAGTTACTGAAATGCCCTGAACAACTGCCAATAGTTCACTTCACATTTTCTATGTAGAACCAGATTTAAATCTGCTTTTCAACTAAACTGGGCAAAAGCCAAACTTGGCAGCAAAATGAAAGATGATTTGGAAAATGCAGCTATATTTAGAAACAGCAGAATAAATACAGAGTTTATTATTATAAGAGATGGTGAGACCTGTAAGAGAATAACCAGGCAAATTTGAGGCAGGAGGATTCTCTTCATGCTTCTTACCTTTGAATGATTTCACACCATCTAGCAATCTATTTTCAGATATAGTTCCATCATCTACAGGAAAAGGCAAGATTCACAGCACAGACAAAGTGATACAGAGATTTAGAAAACTGGTACAAAATATCATTTCATAAAAATATTTCTAAATGATTTGCTTTAGGAATAATTTTGATTTTTGCCATCCCATGAGTTTGGAATCACAGAATGGAGAAAACTCTCAGAGTGCTATTAAGGGGCCATGGAGGATACAGCAATAAGGTTTATCTTACATTTAATCAGAGTTACAGAAGAAACAAACCTATGGAATAAAGACAATATTGGAAAAGATGATGGCTAATAATTTTTGTGAATCTGTTTATTTTTCCTTAGAGAGTAATATTTTTGTTGTTGTTGTTGTTGCTGCTGCTTTTAAGACATTGTGTTTGGTTTGAAGTTTCACTATGGAAGATTGGAATGTATTAAGTATATTAATGACTTAATTAAAGTAATTATTTAATCATTTAATAGTGGTAAACAGCTTTAAAGGAATATGAACGTGTCTTTTACTTTTCTTCTATAATTATTCCTTCTTTCTTCTACTTTCCTATTCCTTTCACTTTCCCATTTTTCCTCACATTTCTCAGCTCAACTATTAGTTGTCAGGGTGGAACCAAAAATAACAAAAATTTTTATATCCAATGGCAAGATTTCAAGAAAATAGAGTTGGTGACTCTCAAAGAAATAATTATATTTTCCAAAGGAAGAACAAGTTCATGCTAAAATTTCTTCATCATTTTGCTTTTTTAAACTAGAATATCTAATAGGTATAGGTTTTTGTTTTGTTTTGTTTTTTGTTCGGTGTGTGTGTCTTTTGCAGTTGCTAGGTTGTCTTAAGTACATAGGGCTAAACTTCTTCAAAAGGTCCATTAGTATTTGAAGTGCTCACCATCAATTTGCAGATTTTGTACCAGTTCCAAGTATTCTTTAGGTGTGAATTCTATTCCAAGGCCTTCAAGAATATTTCTCAGATTTTTCGCATTAAGTTTTTCTCCTTCAAAAAATAGAAATGACAAGTTTAGTTGTTAATATTAAGAATTATCTATGTATTCAACAATATGAAAGAAAATTGTCTTTGTTTATACATTACCATCTCTAACAGCTGATAAAAAACAAAGGCATACCAAGACCTACTGTGTGGAATAACTGTTAAAACTCATAAATGAATTCATTAAAGTTGCATGATACAAAATCAACATATAAAAATTAGTAGTGGGTTGGGTGTGGTGGCTCATGCCTATAATCCCAGCACTTTGGAAGGCTGAGGCAGGAGGATTCCCTGAGCCCAGGAATTTGAGATCAACACAGGGAGCCTGGGAAACACAGGGAGACCACATCTCTACACAAAATAAAAAAAAAAAAAATTAGCTGGGTGTGGTGGTGTGTACAAGCACTCAGCTACTTGGGAGGCTGAGACAGGAAGATCACTTGAGACTGGGAGGTAGGATGCAGTGAACTGCGATTGTACCACTATGCTCCAGCCTGGATGACAGAGTGAGACCCTGTCTCAAAAAAGAAAAAATTAGTAGTGTTTCTATATCCCAGCTTTGAACTATCTAAAAAAGAGAAAGAAAATAATCCCATTTACAATAACATCAAAAATTTTAAAAATGGGAATAAATTTAACCAAGGATTTGAAAGATCTGTACACTGAAAGCTATAAAACATTGATGAAATAAACTGAAGAAGACACAAATACACGCAAAGACATTCTATGTTCATGGATTGGAAGAATCAATACTGTTAAAATGTTTATACTATTCAAAGTGACCCATATATTCAGTGCAATCCCTATCAAAATTCCAATGTCATTTTTGACAGAAATAGACAAAACAATCCAAAATTTTATATGGAACCACAAAAGACCCCAAATAGCCAAAGCAATCTTGAACAAAAGAGAACAAAACTGGAGGCATCACACTTCCTGATTTCAAAATACATTACAAAGCTACAGCAATGAATATCGAATAGCAGTGGCATAAAAAAACATATTGGCCAGTGGAACAGGACAGAAAGCACAGAAATAAACCCATGTATTTACAGTCAATTGATTTTCAACCAAAGTACCAAGAACATACAGTCTCTTCAATAAATGGTGCTGAGGAAATTGGATATCTACGTGCAGAAGAAATAAATTAGATCCTTATCTCACCTACATATAAAAATCAACTCAAAATTGACTAAAGACTAAACAAGACCTGAAACTGTATAGCTACTAGAAGAAAACACAGGGGAAAACTCCATGACTTTGGTTTGAGCAATGATTTTTTAGATATGATCCCCAAAGTATAGGCAACAAAAGCAAAAACAGAAAAATGGGATTATATTAAATTAAAAAGCTTCTGCACAGTGAAGGGTTTCTTGATGGGAGACTTTTTATTACTGATTCAATCTCCTTGCTCTTCATTGGTCTGTCAGATTTTCTATTTTTTCATGATTCAGTCTTAGTAGAGTGTATGTTTCTAGGAATTTTTCCATTTATTCTAGGTTGTCCAAATTGTTAATACAATTGTTCATAGTAGTATCATCGTATTATCCTTTTTATTTCTGGGTATCGATTGTAATGTTTTCTCTTTCATTTCTCATTATGTTTATTTGAGCCAGCTCTCTCTTTTTCTTAGCCTAACTAATAGTTTGTCAATTTTGTTTACCTTTTCAAAAGAACAACTTTTAGTTTTGTTTGTTTTTCTAGTCTCTATTTCTGTTCTTACCTTTGTTATTTCCTTCTTTCCCTCTGCCAAGTTTGGGGTTAATTTTTTCTCCTTCTGTATTTAACCTGTCATTCATTTACTGAATCTTGGCAATTATACATATCTTACCTCTAAATGTTTTATTTTTGAGAAGTCAAGTGAAAGCACAATGAGGCATCAAACCATATACCTTGTAAGGAGCTAATATCTAAAATATATACAGAACTCAACTCAATAGCAAGAAAACAACCTAATTAAAAAATGATAAAGGCCCTGAAAAGATATTCAAAAGAAGACATATGAATGTCAACAGATATTTGAAAAAATACTCAACATCTCTAATAATCAGGAAAATGCAAATTAAAACCCCAGGGAGATATCCCATTACATCTTTTTTTTAATGTAAAACATGACCACATTTAATGTTTACATAGCCATTATATATGTATTATATTTAAGTCTTTATAATACACATTTGAAGAAGATAAAACAAAATATAAAATAAATGATTTCAGCATTCAACTCAATAAGCAAAGATTGAACAACAAAATGAACCAAAGGAAACTAGAAAGAGGGAATGAATTAATGAAAGTAGAAGCAGAAACTGATGAAACAGAAAAAAAGAGGTTGATAAATTAAACCAAAAGATAATTCTTGACAAGACCAATAAAATCAAGAAAACTCCCAGAAATATTATTTTTAAAAAAGAAAGAGAACATAAACAACATAAGGAATGAAAAAGGAACTATAACTACAAAAGACACAGAACAGTTTAACAAAATCACAAGAGACTCTTATGTAACTTGATACCAATACATTATCAAACCTAGGGATAGTAAATAGCTTTCTATTAAAATACAGACCAGAATATAGACAAAAAATATACCAATATTTACTGAAGAAGAGGTAGAAAAATCTGAATCAACTGATGATCATAGACAATATTGATAAAGTTATTTAGTACTCTCCCTAAATGCACCAGAACCCCCAAAACATTAAAAGCTTCTAAACTCATGGCTGATTTTATCCTTACATCCAAAGCAGGAAAAGATACAAAAGAACACACATGACATGTACACACAAGAGAATTAGACATGAAACGTGTGTGTGATATTGATTGGATTTCATTGCCTTGATTCTCTCTATGGAAGCTTGGGCAGGTGGAGGGAAGTTTTGTCTTTGTTCCTTCACCCTCCCTCTACTCATCTCTAGAATCTCATGTCCACACGCAGCTCACCGAGATCACTTTGCGTATAGTCCCATGGCAGTTCCACTGCACCCAAGTAGTATCTTCTGGTGGCACTTCATTTTGTGGATGTTGAAACTTAAGCACGGAGAGGTTAGGCAACTTCTGCATGGCCACAAAACTTGTTAGTGGTAGCATTCGAATCCATGTACTCTGGCTCCAGAAGTCATGCTCCTAACCACTATGCTATACTTCTGTAACTGGGTCGTGGGATGGGATGGGCTGGGGCTCAGCTCCTCCCCCACATTTGATGTGCCCAAGGTTCTTGGGCTTCCTCGCCCCAGGAATGGGGAAGAGGCCATGGTGGCACAATGAGCTTACCGGTTAAGTAAGTATTGGATCCAAAGAGTTTTGCAGAGAGCGATTTATTAGGCAGAGATAGAAAGAGAGAGAAGCAGAGCGAGCTCCCACATTGCTGTGGGGGGGGGGGATCCCAGAGAGGGAAATCCCTCCTTACACCTCTTAGAATAGCTGTTATCAAAAAGACAAAAGATGTCCAGGATGTGAAGAACAGGAAACACTTGTACACTGCTGGTGGGAACATAGATTTTTAAAAAGGAAAACAGCATGGAGGTTCCTCAAAAGGGTAAAAACTGAATTACCACATGATCCAGCAATCCCACTTCTGAGTATATATACAAAAGAAATGAAATAAAAGTGTTGAAGAAATACCTACACTCCTATATTTATTGCAACATTATGCATAATAACCAAGACATGGAATCAACTACAGTGTGCATCAATGCATGAAGGGATAAAGACAATGTAGTATATATGCACAAAGGAATAGCGGGCCACCTTTAAAAAGAAGGAAATCCTGTCATTTGCAACAACGTGGATGAACCTGGAGGACATTATGTTAAATGAAATAAGCCAGGCAAAGAAAAACAAGCACTACCTGGTCTCATTATATATGGAATCTAAAAAAGTTGAACTCATAGAAGCAAAGAGTAGAATGGCAGTTACCAGAGGCTAGAGTCAGGGGTATGCTGGTCAAAAGGTACAGGTTTCAGTTAGACAAGAGAAATACATTTTAGTGAACTCTTGTACTGCATAGTGAGCATAGTTAATAAAAATGTGTATTTCAAACTTGCTAGGGATAAAAGAAATTATCAACAGAGTAAACAACCTACAAAATGGGAGAACATTTTTGCAAACTGCATCTGACAAAGGTCTAATATCCAGCATCTACAAGGAACTTAAACAAATTTACAAGAAAAAAACAAAACAAAACAAAACAAAACAAAAAACCCATTAAAAAATGGACAAAGGACATGAACAGGTACTTATCAAAAGAAGGCATACATGTGGCCAACAAGCATATGAAAAAAAGCTCAACATCTGATCATTAGAGAAATGCAAATCAAAACCACAATTAGATATCATCTCATACCAGTCAGAATGGCTTTATTAAAAAGTCAAAAAATAATACATGCTGGTGAGGTTGTGGAGAAAAAGGAACGCTTACACACTGTTGGTGGGAATGTAAATTAGTACAACCATTGTGGAAGACAATGTGGTGATTCCTCAAAGACCCAAAGTCAGAACTACTATCTGACCCAGTAATCCCATTATTGGGCATATATCCCAAAGGAATATAAATCATTCTGTTATAAAGATACATGCACATGTAGGTTCATTGCAGCACTATTCACAATAGCAAAGACATAGAAACAACCCAAATGTCCATCAGTGATAGACTGGATAAAAATAATCTGGTACCTATACGCCATGGAATACTATTCAGCCATAAAAAAGAATAAGATTATGTCCTTTGCAGGGACGTGGATGGAGCTGGAGGCCATTATCTTTAGCAAACTAATGCAGGAGCAGAAAATGAAATACCACATATTCTCACTTACCAGTGGGAGCTGAGTGATGAGAACATAGGGACATATAGAGGGAACAACACACACTTGGGCCTAATAAAGGGGGGAGAAGATCAGGAAAAATAACTAATGGATATTAGGCTTAATACCTGAGTGATGACATTAGTGGTAAAACAAACTCCAATGACACACATTTACCTATGTAACAAACCTGTACAACCTACACATGAACCTCTGAACTTAAAAGTTAAAAAAATTGCTAAGGGTAGATTTTGAATATTCTCACCATAAAAATGATAAGTAGGTGAGGTAATGACCTCACCTACTTGATTAGCTTGATATAATAATTCCACAATGTATACATATATTAAAATGTCACATTGTACCGTATACCTCCCTTCCTCCCTCCTCTCCCTCACCCTC